AGGCAGATCCTTAAGTTACAGTCAACAACTCGTACACATCACACGTGGATCGCTCAGAACAGGACGCAGGAGCATGTTAAGGATTGGACAAAAATTGATTGGCGAGCTACTATGAACATTGTTCATGATAGCAACCTACCGAAAGGACTCTTCACCAGCCCAGCGGACTGCCAAAAGCGAGCGCACAGGATCAAGAAACTCCATGGAATGTTGCCTACACAGTCATATATGAGACACTGGAGGCCAGACCTTTATGAAGACGGCAACTGCAGAGTGTGTGGGACAGAGGATGAAGACACATCGCACATCTGGAGATGTCCAAGGACGATGGAGACTCAGGCCGAGAAGTGGAAGGAGATAATCCAAAATGTGAATGTGATAGGGGAGAGGACATGGAGGAAAGAGTTGAAAGCAGTGCAGGAGCAAGCACAAAGGGCCAGAGAGAGAGGTGTAGACCCACCAAGGACAAAAGAGCCAACTTTTACTGCGGCAGAGGAGGACTACATTTGGAAAACTCTGGAGATGCATATCGATGGTGTGCGAGAAGTACGACGCCATGGTGATAGGAACGGCGATGATGAGGAAGAGAGAGAGCACGCACCAGATTGGTCTGTGCAGGACATTTACCATGGACTTACGCCCAAGTCCATTGCTCAGAGTTGGAAAGTTGGCTTCAAGACAACAACAAGGATAGCTACATATATGGCAGGGCGCTTCGTCAAGGCCATAGAAGAATTCGGTCGTACAGAAATCTGGAACAAACGGTGTAAAGTTACTGTTGAATGGGAAAAGGCTCGTGGAATCACTGCTATGAGCAAACGCGCTAGAGGACGCAACTGTGTTGGGGAGCACAGACGTAGTAGCAATGATTTCCTTGTCCCTTCCCTCAGACAAAGACAGAAGCTGAATGTAAAAGAGATCTACAAGATCGCGGATGACCGAGTCCGGGACAGTTACCTTGGGAAAACCAAACTGGACGTGATGGAGCGGCTAGGTGGAATGAAGTTTTTGATGACTATGGATAGCGGATAATTTGTCGTGTTGCGCAACAGGCCACGTCGGAAAGGCGGACTTTGAGTACCAACCACGGCGGTCAGGGTTTATGAAATCATGGATACAGCGGCTCTTGTCGTTGTGCAGTAATAGCTGTATATTGACTATAGTTTCTGGAGCATTTTGTTCATAGAATGTAGAAAATAAATCCCATGACCCTGAGGGTCCTTGTTATCAAAAAAAAAAAAAAAAAAAAAAAAAAGTAGCAATGATTTCCTTCCCATGACCCTGAGGGTCCTTGTTAAAAAAAAAAAAAAAAAAAAAAAAAAAGAGAAGCAAGGTATTCTATCCAATTCAAAAATATATTTGAACCTTTGTAATTTGAACTGAAACATTTATTCTGATATCAAATTCCATGCCGGCCACCGCATTGTTAAAACTGATTGCCAATTATTGATTATTTTCCGAAGTTGTATCCAAGCTCTTGTATTTCTGCAGAAAGCACACCACTCTTTGCAAAAATACCCAAGATAGATCACGTCTTTTGCCTACTTGCTTGAACAAAGTAATTCTTGCCTTTACCCCCCTTTTTTCCTCTTTCATTCTCAATACTGATCCCTCTTTTTTTTTTCTTTTTCTTTTTTTTGATCGCCCCTACGTTTAATGTACTTTTGATTGCAAGGGAGGTACTTGCATCGGTTTTCAATAATTAAAAGGTTTTGTACAACTTGGGATGCTGTACGTTCAAGGAAAGGGGATAAGGACAGTGTTGAAAAAGAAATGCCAACGTAAATGCTGGAGAAGTCTAAAGAGAATGTAAAAAAGAGGTCTGGGGGTAGCAAGGGGAGGAAGCAATCAGCCATATATATCGTAAAGACCGTCTTGGGATAATCATGGCCTGTCCCTATATCCTTAAATCAAGACAAAGAGTTTTTTTTATCGAGTATATTGAATGAAGGCTTCCCATGTCGTTTTTTCTGTTAACGACAGCCTCTTACTTTCATCCTAAGCTTAGCCAGAGAGGATTTGGTCTTGTCCACTGATATTTCTCAAGGGTAAAAGAGGTACAATAATAATACGAGTCATTGAAAATAAACAATAAATGCAACGAAAAGACGGGCACAATAGACAGTTCTTAGTTATCCAATTCCATGTCACTGCTGGACTCTTCGTCCTGAGCATTTTGAATTTGATCATTCGTCATAATATGAAGTGTCGGCTATAGACGAATTTAAAAAAAAGAGGGGAGGGCTGATTAGACCATGATAGCGCTATAAAAGTCTTTTCATTAATGCTCGTTATTATTTCCTAATAATCTTCATGGTTACCATCCTGCTGAACTTGGCTGCGAGGGGGGAAATAACACTGGCTATTTCAATAAAAGCTTCGCGCTCCTTCGGATTTGCGCCCCCAAACGTGGCAATCAAACTATAGATAAGAAAGTTAAAAAAAGGAGAAAGAGAAAGAGTATAAAGTTGATATTGGCATTATTTTTCTACAGCTGTTTGTTATATCGTTTTTATCAACATCCATTATATTGATATTATTGCAATGTAACAAACCGTTTCCAAACGATCGATGACAAAGGGAACCGACATAGGCATGCTACAAGTGCCCTTCGGCATTGATCAAAATTGCCTACGGCTGCTTCTTCCTCAGCCCATCTACGAAGTTGTGCGGAAAAAAGAAGTAAGCATTAAGTTAAAGTCAGAGGCAGAAGACGATGACAGCCTGGGAACACATGCCAGCATACCTCAAGTACAAATCCAAGTTTTCGGGAAACATTCGAATAAATGTATCTAAAAGAACATTTCGTAACTGGCCATACGACTCCTTTGAGATCCGCCCCCATACACATTCCACAATCTTATTGACCTGTGAAAAGTCCGTGAACGGCATGACCCTGGTTTCGTCCTCAAGAGAGTGATCATATGGATTTGATCTTAGTGTAATAATATGGCTCTTGGCTGAAGCAACGATACTATCGAATGTACCGATTACAGGAGCTCTATCCAGATTTTTCATGATCGAGTGCACTACGAACCTATGAGAAAGGAAACCATATCATAGTTACTAGCCTGGATCAATTTTAAAAAATGCATGCTTAGAATATTTATAGCATACGTACTCTGTTTGAATAATAGAAATTGACTCCTTAGGTAGAATTTCCAATGCCGAAAGGAATGCCGATTGAACCTGTGAGTACGAACTGTCCTGCTTCCCAAGGGCCAATAAAGACAAGTAATTGAGCCATAAAAAGACATTCGTTCTGCAGAATATGATGCTGACACGTGTGGGGGGCGGGTTAAATGAGTAAGGAAGCTCAAGGCCCAAAAGCTTTTTGTAGAGACATATTGCTAATTCTGAGCGGCTAAGGTTTGTTTGATACCCGTTATCGATTATAAAAAATGCAAAAGAACACTGCTCAAGGCATCCAGCTTTAGCTTCAACTGGTAACAGGCGTGCATATCTGTTCCAGAGATATGGCTGAGTTGGTACTTCCTGGATAGCCCGCATAAAAGTATCCTTCATATCGCTTTCTCGACCAAAATACTAAAAGAAAACGCATGCACAAAGAATAAATAATAATAGTAATAATGATAAAAAGGTCAAGTCCAACGAATCATTCAACTCGAAGGAAAAGTAAAAAATGAAAAACACTAAGTTCCCGAGCAGTAATAAAGGATAACACTTACCATCTGAACTTGGCAGAAGAGGTCACTAATCTCGGGAGCCGAGTGAGGTAAGCTCGAAGGATTAATAAGCTCAAGGACCTCATCTTGCTCCTGACCTTGTGCCATCAGAAATCCTACAAAATTCTTCAAGATAGCTACCAAGGACGCTCGAGCATGGCAATCGACAAAGTACAGCGTTAAACCCAGAAAAATGTCATATACAATAGTGTGAAGCTCGCTCTCCTGCTCTAGCTCCGCTGTGTTTGGCCATTGAATCATGAATAGGTAGGGATCCGAAAGATAGTCATTAGGATAGGCAAAGAAAAGCTGTTCGGGTAACTCGTGAAACCATATTAAATACACAAACACTAGCCATAGAATACAAAGATCTTTGGATGTCAACAGCCTAGCCGCAAGAGTCCCTCCGATATCCCCAATCATCTGTTGCTCTCGCCATACATCATCCAGTTGTGCATAGGAGAGGGAAGAAGGAACAACGGACTCCCATGAGCTACATGTCAAGAAGTTTTGTATCCAGTTTTTGGCCGTCTCCACAAAATTTTCTATAACCATGTTTCTGGTGATTTGGAGCACAACATCAAGTATGAAGCGAGAACGAGCAGTCTCGTCATCCAATTCACGTGGCGCCTGACAAGCTCGTTCTAACATCCTATCAAGTACAAAGACCCGTTCGTCCCGACCCTTTTCCCATAAATGGTATCTAAAATCCAAATGGCCATTGCGGAAACATTAGTGCCTACGAAAAAAAAAAAAAAAAAAAAAAAAATTCAAATACGACAGGCATTCATTTTGAATTTACCTAAACCAGATCAACTGAGCTTCTGGAACATATTGTACAGCTTCTTCAAACATACAACGTGTCTCTGCATCTGTCCCAACACGCATAAAGAGATCCAGGTACAGACTCCATAGGTTTTCTGATGTTGGATGAGCTCCAATACCACGAGCAAGGATAGCAAGGGCGCTGTGAATACGGTCTTCAACTTCATCTAGGCCTTCTGCCAGGACTGCAATTGCGTAATCAATCCAAATTGCTTCATTAGATTGACCATTAATGATCATTTTCTCATAAGTCTCCACCTGCTGCCGCTGATGGTACCGCTTATTTTTGGATGCTTGGCCTGAAAGAGTTTTCGAAACAATACTCATGACAATTGGGCGCTGATCCAACGGGTTATCGTCGATTCCTCTCGAATTTGCTGTAACACGACTCAAAGCACGGTTTTCACCGCGTGACGCCAAATTTCCTCGTGAACTCAAGCTATTCACTGTTTCTCCGGAATTAGGCTCAGCAAGACGCTCCCCAAAGTTGATGACCCGAGTAGGATCTTTGACAAATTCACGATGGTTTTTCACAATCGAATCGACCAAAAGATCAGTATTATGGATTCCTGATGCTCGCAAATGAGCGAGTTTGGCCGACAGCATATCTGCAAACAGCTGGCGGGTATGAGGCGTGCTTCCTTCAGCATAGCGAGCCAAATCGATGATCAGGTCCTCATCTGTCATTTGATAATCCCGCTCATGCTGTGATTTGCATGAATCGTCATTACAGGACCCACCAGAAAGTTCATAAAGGCACATCGGCTTCTTTGGATCAATCTTATTACTGAAGGTCGATGATCGATAGCCTCCTCTTACAATTCCTTGAAACTGGTCAGAGAATCGAAAAGAACGGAACATGGTTAAAGGAGAAACATAATCCAACGGACTTTTCGAGGAAATAGCGTGTCCACGATCTCTGCTGTCGGGAGTCCCATTAGTTTCGATCTGAGATGGATTATGTTGGCTGGGAATGAAATACTGAATGAGACCTGAAGGATAGCATAGTTGGTCTAGTTCAATCAGACATTCATTCTGAAGAACAAGTTTCTTGATCCCCATTGCTGATTTCCAGGATAGCATGGTAGACTCCAAGGCGGGAGAAGAGTCTAGAACGGGATGTATAGGAAAGACCTTGTTCTGTGCAAGAAAATGATCGAGTTTAGTAAGATCAGCAGGAGGAGGGTGCTTATGTTCAGCTGTCGGCAAAGCCCTTGTGACTTTAGGTTGTTGTGTTGGCACGGGACCCTTTTTGGCCATTAAAGCTGACAACATTGAGGAAGAGCCATTAGTCTTTGGCCAAGATCTAGAAGTCAATTTCAAAGCCGAGTCACTGGTGCTGGGAGGTGAAGGTTGACTTGCTGTGTTATTCGAAGCCAGAGGTTTCGCTGCTTGTAACAAATCTTTCTCTCGCTCCAGTTCTTGCACACGTTTCGCCAGGACAGAAAGCTCCTCGCGGGCTTGCACGCGAGGTTTCTTAACGGCAAATTGAGGGGATTCTGGCGCCCCTATAACTTTCTCATGTTTTTGAGCTACCGTCAAAAATATACAGCAAGTAAATATAACGTCAACTAGCTATATATCAAAGAGCTGATGCATAGATACGTAAGGGAATGGGAATTACCAATATTGTTGTTTGTTTCTGCGTCCGACCTGACAACTTGAGATGGCTTACTCACAGGCACTTGAATTATTTTGGAGGATGGGTCGGTATTAAGGACCATTAGACGAGTTCGCATCTTAATGATATCATGCTGAAGTGTCACAATCGATTTTTTTAATTCAGCTGACTTCTCTTCGGTGGTGCTGATACGATTCTTCAAGAAACGTTCAATGCCCTCCGCATCCAAGTCTTGTGAGAGCAATGGCTCGATCTGTGCTTTAGCTTGCTCTAGATGGCGTCTAGCTTCCTCAAGCTCACGTACTTTGAGCATTACTCTTTCCTCAGCCTCAATGATAACCTTTCGAAGCGCTTCTGGCCCATTACTTCCTTTCTCAGTGGAGGTAACCATAGCCAATGAGGTAGATGCAGCAGTCTTTTCTTGCTCATATTCTTGGAGCTCTGAGCGGAGCTGCTCCAGATGTAATGTCTGTTCGCTCAGCGCCTGCTTTAGTTCCCTAGCTTCCTCTTGCGTATTTTGGTGAACAGATGGCCCTGGAGGAGTGTTGGTTGCATGATCCTCATCCATGTAGGACATATCCCTAGAGGACCGACCGGAAGATTCTTCGAGCGGCAAAACTGCCTCGTTGGGAGCTGTTTTCACCGTTGCTGTAGCTGTTGATATTGCAGACGCTGCTGCCTGTCTGGCTAATTCCTTTGCTTTGATCCTTTCATTTAGTTCTTTCATTTCCTGCTGAATAGCTTCCAATGAACGTGGCTGTTCTCTGCCACTAGTCGAAGCTGTTCTAGATGTTGGTGCAGAGAGCTTGTCCATAGTCCTTCCTCGTACTCCATTCTCGATAGGATGGTCGTCATCCTCATCATCAAGATCAATTACATAAGATAGCATACGCTCTTGAATGAATGGGACTGGCGGTTGAGATTTTGTCATCATGTCCATCGCAGTAACTCGCTTTCCGAACAGTTGTGTCCGTGCCATGTTTGAAATGACCTGTGCGCCGTTGGCGTCCTGCTTCTCCGAGGGAGCTCCACTCAGTGATGCTGGTGCTGATTGAACTTGAAGTGGTTGCAAATTTCGCACTGCATCGAGACGAATGTGAGTCGGTCGCTTTGAGGCACTTTCAATATGGATGGAGTTTGTGGTGTTTATCGTATTTACAGCATTTAAAGTAAATGAAGTTGTCGATGCAGGCGGTGTCGACGACCTCTCATCCGTTGTTCTCCATATTCCTTTTAAAATGGTTGGGTGTCCAGAGTCGTCATCCAAATCCAAATCCATATCCATCTCAGCATCTTGAGAAGAAGAAGTCGAGCTCCTGCGTAGCTCGGATGTGTAGGAGTTTAAGTTAATGGATCTAGAGTCAGTGGCAGCAGGAATAGTGACATCTTTCTTGTCATTGTGTGCTGCCTGGACATTAGGATCGAGGTTCTTCCCCTGTCCGGGCATGCTTGTTTTAGGAGGATGATCCATGATGGTTGTTGAGGGCGGAGGCGGGGGTGGGGGCGGTGGTAATGGCGACGATGGTGGGGGGAGAGGAGGTGGGGCTGGTTGTCCTTTAGAGGGTCCTCTGGATGGTGCTGTTGATGGATATTGGTACTGTTTATTGAATAGCAACAAATTAGAGGCTGTGTGTCGTGAGCTTATATCTGAAGTATTTGTTTTAGTTGTGGAAACAGTGCTGTTACCACCACCAGTTACAGGCAAGGTAAATGGAATATTCGTTGCATGAGGAGAAGGCTGCTGAATCGAGGATAGCGAGAGATCGTTAAGTCTTGCTGTAGCAAAATTGGCGTCATTTTCGTCAGACAAGCTACGTGAATTGGAGGTTTGGCCAGCTCGTTCGTTGCTCAGTGTGGTGTGGTGTACAAATGACCTCTGTCTATCATTGTTCGGTGTTGTTCCCATCGCCTGCATCGGCTCAGGAGCATTGTTCAAGGCATAAAGTGGATGTACTGTGGCGTTGCTTTGAGTATTATGAGGTCCTGCTGGAGTAACTATTTGAGAACCTAGAGATACTGGCGGCACACTTGGGTTTGCATCTCGCTGTGTCATCAGTCTATCCCATCCTGGAGGGAGTATTTGAGACGTCAACGCTAAGATCATATCCAATGTTCGTGAAGCATCATGACCTATGATAGCCATTGACGTAGCCGAGACATTCGATATCTGCGGGGTTCCTTGCACCGGTTGCTGATGGACCAGACCCTGCCTTCCATGCGATTGGTTAGTAATAGTATCGAATATAGCATACTCTGTCGGTCTTGGTAACTGATGCGTAAATGTAGACTGCGTATTATATAGTTGTGACACCGAAGGGGATATTGAAGGCTGGGGATACTGAATCGATGAGTATGAGTGGCCGAAAGAGACAGGTGATTGAAAATCGAGGCGGAGGGAGTGGTTTGGTTCAGAAGGGGCGTTGGGTAGCAACCAGGGGTTCCTTCCAGTAGAAACATCGTAAACAATTGAAGGATCAATACCGTGTTGGAAAAGATACTCTGGACTGACACCACGAGCCAACAATTGCGCTACAAGTATGTGAGACTGACTAAGTACTATAGATCAAAATAGTAATTAAAATGTAAAATTAGTAAGTCAAAATAGATAGCATAGATACCATTCCATATGCGATATGAAACAAGGTTAATCCTTACGTTGGTGAGAGGGTAGATGTTGTGGTGCCGGACTAAATGAACCTGGTAGGGCTGGTAAATTAGTTATTGGAGGCGCAGAAATCGAGCTTGGGTGACTTTGTTGAATAATATGCTGAGTGTTTTGAACTAAAGGTGACTGTGAAGGATGGTCTTTAGACCGTGATAACATCTCCCGGGGATATTCCCCTGATCTAGAATCAGAGCGAATAAGAAATATAATATAGGGGAAAAGTTAGTAAAAGTAAGCAATCGGAAAATGCATCATAGAGCTTCATGACCCTTACGTATTTTCCCGTGACCCATGTTGGTTCCTTGGAAGTCCAGAGTGACTAGAAATATTTGAATGGCTTGCATGGGTAGAATGGTTCGAATGAGTAGAATGAGTAGAATGGGTAGAATAGCTTGAATAAGTAGGATGGCTTGTTGGATTTGGAAGACGTTGCTGGTGACGATCTTGCGCCCTCGACTCAGACATGGACCGAATAGAATTCCTAATGAGCCCTAGCCCTGGTATTTCTGAATCCGCAGCTTGGGAGTGGTTAAACCCCGATGATTTCATCCGGCTGTCTGTTTTTGCCTTTTGAAGTTGGTATTCTGCCATAAGGACATTGAAGTCCACATCTCCCTTGTGCTTCTCTTCGTTAAATCCAGCCTCTTTCTTTTTCTTGCTTCGTGTATTCATACTAGCCGATATAGGGTAGGAGGAGGATGATTCTTGAGATATAGGCTGTTCAACAGACCATGACTTAATATTGTGCTGAGATGGTCCAGTTGTTGCCTTTAGCAGGATGCCGCGTTCAATGTTATTTGCACTGTGATCAGATGATGGCCCTTTATGAATATCTGAGAAGGTTTCGCTCATAGCCTTGCCGATGTTATCGATGTCGTCATCACTGATCTCTCCATCCTCTTTATCTTTGGGATTTGTCCTTGCTGGAACAGCTGTTTCGGCTGTTTCAGCCACTGGAGTCCATTCTGAGTTCCGCGGTCCCGATGTTACTATATTTGTCGCTGATGACATGTCTTGCGACTTGCTTGCTGTATTATTATACGATTTCACGTTTCTAGTGGGACCTCGGATATCTTGAGAAATATTAGAATTGCTAGAAATACTGCTCTCCACTGTAAAATTAGAAGTAGTGGTGACAAAGTTACTTGGTTGATCAGCTGCTTCATTAGCGGGACTAGGATTAGAAACTGGTTTCCTAGACATTAGGACAGCAGCACGAAGTGCATCCAGATCCAAAGGAGTCTTTGACATGAGATCAAAAATGGGGATTAGAAGTATTTGAGGAAGGTACTTTGGAAGAGATGAATCAGTTGTTTTCAAAAAAAAATAATACAAATCTAAGTTGCGTTGAGAGTAGCATAGTGGCGGCCTGAAATACGTCATGGAAGATGAAGTCGCCGTAAGCCCTTCAGGTGCGGCGCGACTTGCCACTCATTACCTTGTTTAACGTTTTTCTTGTTAACAAGAACCCACAATTAATTCTATCGTCCTCAACTATAGAACAAGCAAAGCTCTCAAAGTTCGTACGGTATGGCTGTGAAGAGCCAATTCGTATCCATGATTTCTCCACCAACGTACACCGTGATCGGTACTCGAAGTCTATCTTTCCAATGTCCCTGTTATGCCCATGAAAAGCCGCAGAGGCTGGCATGCCGACTCTAGCTAAGGACGACTTTTTTTTTTTTTTTTTTTTGATAACAAGGACCCACGAGGTCATGTAGGATTTATTTAGATGTTAGCTCTATAAATGGGTTGCCCCATTACTGGGGTCGCAAATAAAGTGGTATCCAATAATCGACCGAAGCCGCATCGTCATACTGCCACAGTACTACATCCTGTCCATAAACCACGTCAGCATTGAGTAGACTTCCTTGGTCCCAGAGGACCTGTGGCACGGCTCTACTCCCTACTTGGTCTGTTGTGCGCGAAGGTCATCCTTTAGCCGCTGTCCTCAATCATCAAAAATTTACAGCTTTCCAGGCGCTCCATAATCGCCAATTCCACCTGTTGCCGGTAGCTTGCCGCCACTCGCCGGTCTGCCTCTGCAAGCGAAATCACTATAATAATTTTGTGCAACATAGTATTTCGCCCATATTTCTAGAGCATTCCTTGCAACAGGATATTAACTAGTATAAATAGGTCTACTTTTCTATCTAGTTCTGTAGCATAGTTCCCCCTGAATAAAGATACCTTTATTGCACCCTTAGATCCCCCTAGAACACTACCTTGATTTTTGCAGCCTCAGTCCTGATCGCCTTCACATCTGCTGTTCGTCGTTGTCCCTGGTGAGAGCCAAAGAATTCACCTCTGCTACGTCTGTGCCTCCCATGCAAAAGTCAAGGTAGTGTTCTAGGGGGATCTAAGGGTGCAATAAAGGTATCTTTATTCAGGGGGAACCATGCTACAGAACTAGATAGAAAAGTAGACCTATTTATACTAGTTAATGTCCTGTTGCAAGGAATGCTCTAGAAATATGGGCGAAATACTATGTTGCACAAAATTATTATAGTGATTTCGCTTGCATCCCAACACAGTTGCGTCCCCTGGCGCGTTTGCTCACAGAGGTGATACCATTGTCTCTTTCCCAGTTGACGGTGACTTTGCAGCGTCTGTTCCAGATTTCAGTCCTGCCGAGTTCCTCGATTGACTTGACAAAGCGGCAAACAATGTACCTTGAGATCGATGCTGTGGTTCTGAAGATCGTCTTCCATTTTTGTATCAGTTCCTTCGGCACCAAACCGTGGTACAAGTCTTGGACAGTCCAGTGGGCATCCTCACCCTCGTTTCTCCGTCCCATATCCACATCTCCCTCACCAAACAGAGTGCTTGCATGTCGAATCTCTCTGACGCCCTTGAGCATCGCTTCCAAAGAGCCCCAAATCACGTTGTCGGCTACAGGTGTAAACGAGGGACCTCCTTTATTCAGGTTTGGCTCCTGTGTTTTCCCTTGTTTGTCTTCCCAGAGCTTCTTCTCCTTCACTAATGCTCTTTTTCCATCCTTCGTGATGAGTTCTATGGCCTGCTTCCAACCTTTCAATTGCTCGTCCAGTGTCATGGGGCAACGCCAGATGTGTTCTATGTCCTCCTGCTCCTGTTCACACATCCTGCAGATGTCAATCACATACAGGTCCGGTCGCCACTGCCTCATATAAGTGAGTGTAGGAAGCATACCATGGACCTTCTTTATTCTGTGCGCTCTCTTGTGACAATCTGCTGGGCTGGTGAAGAGGCCTCTAGGCATGTTGCCATCGTGAAGAATATGCAGGCTTGCTTTCCATTCTACTTCTCGCCAGTCTGCAATATAATTCCTGACTCTGTTCTGAGACGCCCACAAGTAATGTGTTCTCACTGCTGATTGGAGCTTTAGCAGGTGTCTAAGATCATCCTCCACCACCTCGTTCTCGAAAATAGCGTGACAGCGCAGATCGTTGCCTACAGGCCTGACTGTGGTGCTTTCTAGGTGAGGTGGACTCACCGATAGCTTAAGGCTTTGCACAAAGGTTCTTTTAACTGTGGATCGACAGAATGTCCCGATTAGTAGATACAAAGTAAAAATAAAATAGTTATAATTAATTTATATACCTATTAATGACCAGCCACAACAGTCTGATATCACGTGACTATAATTATGAATAAATAACTTACAATATAGCATCCGTTCAACAAGTTGCTTTCCTAGCTCAGTTGGCAGAGCGTCAGTCTCATAATCTGAAGGTCGTGAGTTCGAACCTCACGGAGAGCAATCTTTTCCTTCCATTTTAAGTTAGGCATATAATAAGGATTAATCTATTTGGCAGCCCATACCAAATATAGTAATTTTTGCCTCTATTTGGCAGCCTACTTCTGGGGGCTGCCACTTAACTTCGCACTCTTGGGTGGCAGCTGGGCTGCCAAATACATTACTTTTTTTTTTTTTTTTTTTTTTGATAAACAGGGTCATAACATCAGTGGTAAAACAAGCAGCGTTCTGTGGATACATTGCCTTGCACAGCTAATGCCGCCGGAGGTACTAAGGACAGCGGCGATGACATCTTCACAAAACAGCCTTCAATGTACACGGTTAGGGAATGGTTTATTGAAGACGTCTAGGTAGTAGGTGAGACGCGTTTGCTCCGAGCGAAAACCTCTCATAGGCATTGATCTCCAAATGGCACCTCCAAAACTGTATGAGCGACCTACTTGAAAAAAAAAAAAAAAAAAAAAAAAAAAAAAAAAAAAAATAAATAAATAAATAGTTAGAGGCCAAATAGCCCTGGGTAGGCTGCCAAGTAAATAATGAATGTTATTTGGCAACTGGGCTGCCAAAGAGAGTCTTGAAAGTTGATTATATTTGGCAATGGGCTGCCAAATAATATTTAGCAACTAGGCTGCCAAATAGATTAATCCTATAATAATAGTATCGGGTGGCTTATCTTCCACGTACAGACACTCCCATTGAGAGGTCTTGAGGCGTAACAGATTTATTTGCAGAAGCGTAGCTTTTTTCTTCAAATCATTTTTCATTTATTCCTTCCCTTTCCCTTGCTCTTTTTTTCATACTTTCTTTAACTTCCTTTCCACGATTGCGACGCAATACAAAACGAACTACTGTTGTTGACGACGACGACAACGAATCAACCACGCTGCTGTGGCCATTGTACGAAATCATACAAAAAGAACCTTGAATCGATCACTTTTACAAACGCCGATTATCTGAGACTGATCTCCACCATCATTGTACATTGTACATCTATTTCCGTTTAGCTCTCTCAAGAAGTTTTCGTGGATCGTGATTGCCGTTGCTGTACTATATTTTCCCTACAATAAAAGTAGCTGACCTGCTTTCGGTAAGGGATCGAAATGGCATACCTCGTCTTTATCAGCTTCAGGAAAGGTACCTCCCGCTTTTTTATACTAATCATACTTTTCTCGGTAATCTTTTAATCCTTGCTAACTTTATAGGATCTCAGCCAGCTTAAAGCCAATTGTCTTTTGCCTTTTATATATATTATTTTGTAGTTTCCACTATTTCCTTGAAGGTGTGTATTCAACGATTTTTTTATTTATTTATTTATTTACATATTTACCAGTTTACTTAATCATCATACATTTATCCATACCAACGATAGATTCAACTTCAATATGGCTGACAAGATCGCGAAAGATCAACAGTACCAATACGCGCTCAATTCTAATCTGGTTCTTCAAGCAAACCGTTCAGATAACCCACGTCGTGGAAATGAACCAACTGGTGAGGCTGAATCACTGTATGGCCGCATAGATCCCAAGGAGTTTGGTAGTAGAGCTATCAGAGATTTGTCTAAAATTGAGGAGGTCAAGAAAAAAAAGAGCCAGACTAGTGAGAAAAGCGAAGAACGACGCAAAAAAAGAACTGAAGAAAAAAGCATTCGAAATGCATATAGCTATACTTCTGTCTTGGCTGCCACAGACAATCTTGAGAGTGGTGGATACAGGCCTAGGACAAAGGAGACGAGACATACTTATGAATTGATCCTCACATTTGTTCAGCACTATCTCGGTGATGTATCGCACGAGGTCGTCAGGAGTGCCGGGGACGAAGTTCTTGATATCCTCCACTCAGATACTCTCAAGGATTTTGACAAGAAGAATCAAATCGAAAAGGTTCTTGGCGAGCTAAAATCAGACCGATTCACGTTTTCTGACCTGGTGAACTTGGGCAAGAAAATTACAGATTACAACCCCGGTACTGAAGAAGTGGGTGTAGATCAAGACGGAGAGCTCAAGAAGGTCGGCGACATTGATGAGCAATACGGAGTAGCTGTTGTATTTGATGAAGAAGAAGAAGAAGAAGATATTTACTCTTTGCACTCTGAATCTGAACATGAAGACGAAGAAGGTCTCGACACCACCCAGGATGTTGTCGTCGGCGCTGGTAAGGTCGAGCAGGAGGAAGAGCAGTCATCAATGGATGTTGATGATGACGAGGCCGTGCGTGTTGGAGCATCCGAGGCAAAGGTTGATACATCAAAGAAACTTCAGCCCCATCAAGTTGATGCTTACTGGCTGCAGCGATTCATTTCTTCATTCTATAAGGATGAAATTGTTGCACAGGAAAAAACAGATGCTGCCATGGCCATTATTGCTTCGGAAGCGATCAACGTGCGCGATTGCGAGAACGAACTTATGGCTTTGTTCGACTACGACAAGTTCGAGTTGGTCAGTATGCTGACCAGGAACCGTGATGTGATTGTTTGGTGTACTAGACTTGGCAAGGCTAGTGAGCAGGAGCGCACAGAGATTGAGGCCAAGATGAGGGAGCTTGGTTTGGACTGGATTATTAAAGGTCTTGGTCATCATATTGGCGCCAAAGCTGATCTTCGTCGGAGGGGTGCGGGACAAACGCCCACTGCTGCTGGACCAATGGCTGTGCTGCCCAAGGAAAAAGGCCCTGCTCCTGTTACAGCGGCCCCTCGTCAGTTACTCGACCTTGAAGCCATGACGTTCACACAGGGGTCACATCTGATGTCCAACAAACGTGTTCATGTGCCTGAAGGATCATTCCGTCGTCAAAAGAAAGGCTATGAAGAAGTCCATGTGCCTCAGCCCAAGAGACCCCCAGGTGGTCGTAGACTCATAGCTAAGGATGAACTTCCAGAATGGATCCAGGACTGTTTCCCAGACGGACTGAATCAGATCCAGTCTGTCGCATACGATACCGCTTTTGGCTCGGATGAAAATATGCTTCTGTGTGCTCCTACAGGCGCTGGTAAAACCAATTGTGCTATGCTTACAGTATTACATGAAATTGAAAAGTATCGTGATCCTGATACTGGCGCCATCGATAAGGATTCCTTTAAGGTTGTTTATATTGCTCCCATGAAGGCATTGGTCCAGGAAATGGTTTCGAATTTTAGCAAGCGTCTCAAACCATTTGGACTATCAGTTCAAGAATTGACGGGAGATCGCCAAATGAATAAGCAACAGATTGCAGAGACGCAAATGATTATTACAACGCCTGAAAAATGGGATATTATTACTCGCAAGGCAACCGACCGGAGTTACACCAATCTCGTCCGCCTGATCATTATTGATGAGATCCATCTTTTGCATGATGACCGTGGACCAGTTTTAGAATCGATTGTTGCTCGCTCGCTCCGGCACATGGAACAGTCGCAGGAGTTGATTCGCTTAGTTGGTTTGTCGGCTACACTCCCTAACTATGTTGACGTTGCGACATTCCTGCGTGTTAATACAGATCGTGGAATGTTCCACTTTGATGGTACCTGGAGACCCTGCCCGCTGAAGCAAGAATTTATTGGTATCACTGAAAAGAAAGCAATTAAGCGCTTCCAGGTTATGAACGAGGTTACATATGAGAAAGTCATGGAGCATGTGACGCAACCGGAAGGCGATCAAGTGTTGATTTTTGTTCACTCTCGGAAAGAAACAGGCAAGACAGCGCAAACACTTCGCGATATGGCATTGGAGAATGACACGATATCACACTTTGCACGGCCCGATGGCGCTTCAAGGGAGGTATTGCTGGCGGAAGCAGAGCAAGCTACAGATCCGGCTCTGAAGGATTTATTGCCATATGGTTTTGCAACCCATCATGCTGGTATGACTCGTCTTGACCGTGCAGCTGTTGAACATCTATTCTTAGCGGGCCATATCAAGGTTCTTTGCTCTACTGCTACCCTTGCCTGGGGTGTCAACTTGCCGGCACATACTGTTATCATCAAAGGTACTCAGGTTTACTCGCCAGAGAAGGGTCGTTGGACGGAGCTTTCGCCCCAAGATGTCCTTCAAATGCTTGGACGTGCAGGCCGTCCCCAGTTCGACGCGTTTGGTGAAGGTATCATTATCACCACCCATTCGGAGCTTCAGTATTACTTATCTCTTTTGAACCAGCAGCTTCCTATCGAATCCCAGTTTATTTCTAAACTTGCTGACAATCTTAACGCTGAAATCGTCCTTGGGACCATCAAAAATCGCGATGAGGCTGTTCAATGGCTTGGCTACACATATCTTTATGTCCGTATGCTTCGCAACCCATCGCTATACAGTATTTCACCCGATGACCTTGAAGATGACCCCTACCTACAAAAGAAGCGGGTTGATATCGTCCATTCAGCATCTACTATCCTCGACAAATGTAATATGATCAAGTATGATAAGCGCACAGGAAAATTCCAGGGAACAGAACTTGGACGCATTGCTTCACATTATTATATCTCGCACAACTCAATGGCAACCTATAATCAACATTTGAAGCCCATGATGTCACATATTGAGCTATTCAGAGTGTTTTCACTCAGTGATGAGTTCAAGTACATTCCTGTGCGTGAGGAGGAGAAGGCCGAACTTCAAAAATGGTTGGAACAGGTCCCTGTCCCTGTTAAAGAGAGCATTGAGGAGCCTACAGCCAAGATCAACGTTTTGCTACAGTCATATATTTCGCAGCTCAAGTTGGAAGGATTCGCCCTTGTCAGCGATATGGTCTATGTAACTCAAAGCAGCGGACGTATTTTGCGTGCCATTTTTGAAATCTGTCTCCGTCGTGGATGGGCTCAACTGACTCGCAAGGCACTCGATCTCTGCAAAATGGTAGAAAAGAGACAATGGCTTTCAATGACGCCTTTGCGTCAGTTTAGAGCCATCAATCCTGAACTGATCAAGAAGATTGAACGTAAAGAGTTTGAGTGGGTTCGTTACTTTGATCTAACGTCTCAGGAAATTGGCGAGCTGGTGGGTGTTCCTAAGGCCGGCAAATTATTGGAGAAATATATCCATGAGTTCCCTAAACTTGATCTTCAGTCTCATGTCCAGCCATTGACTCGCTCCATGCTCAAGGTTGAACTCACTATTATGCCAGATTTCAAGTGGGATGAAAAAGTTCATGGAACAGCCGAAGCATTCTGGGTCTTGGTTGAAGATGTTGACGGCGAAATGATATTGCACCAAGAGTCGTTTATTCTCAAACAGCAATATGCCGAGGAGGAACATCTCATGACATTCACAGTGCCCTTGTTCGATCCTCTGCCACCAAACTACTTTGTTAGTATTATCTCAGACCGTTGGCTGCACTCAGAGACTCGCTTCCCCATCTCGTTCAAACACTTGCTTCTGCCTGAAAAGTATCCACCTCACACTGAACTCTTAGATCTTCAGCCTTTGCCCGTCACAGCGTTGCGTAACCGCGAGTTTGAGGAGATATATTCAAAGTCGGTTAATAAGTTTAACCCGATCCAGACGCAGGTTTTTAACACGCTCTATACGTTGGACGACAACGTGTTTATTGGTGCACCTACAGGATCAGGAAAGACCATCTGTGCAGAGTTTGCGATGATGCGTCAGTGGAACAAGAAACCACAAAAAGGTGCAACCAAGGGACGTATTGTTTACATTGCACCTCATCAAGACGTCATTGATGCTCGCCGCAGGGAGTGGCATACCAAATTTGGAGATGTTCAAGGTGGCAAGGCATTTGTGGCGCTCACAGGAGAGACCAGTGCAGATCTCAAGCTTCTTGAACGCGGAGATGTTATTTTAGCAACACCTAGCCAATGGGACGTTCTCTCACGTCGTTGGAAGCAACGTAAGAACGTTCAATCTATTCAGCTTTTTATCGCAGATGAATTACATCTCATAGGAGGAGATGTTGGCCCCACTTACGAAGTGATTGTATCCAGGATGCGCTACATGGCTGCGCAGCTGGAAACCAAGATTCGCATCGTTGCATTGAGCACTTCTTTGGCAAACGCCCGTGACCTGGGAGACTGGATTGGAGCTACCAGCCACTCTGTCTTCAATTTCCACCCCATGGTCCGCCCTTTGCCATTAGATGTGCATATTCAAAGCTACACAATCCCTCATTTTGCCTCCTGGATGATCGCTATGGCTAAACCAACGTATGCCGCCATCACAACGCACTCTGCCGAAAAACCTGTCATCGTGTTTGTTCCTTCGCGCAAACAGTGTCGTCTTACTGTTGATGAACTGTTAACACTCTGTGTCGCGGATGACAAACCTTATCGATTCCTTCACTGTGAACCCCAGGAATTGAATACACATCTGGAGCATGTTCAAGACAAAGCATTGGCGGAGGCTCTTCAGCATGGTATTGGATTCTATCACGAGGCTTTGAGCAAGAGGGACAAGCGTGTGGTTGAGACTTTATTCGAATCTGGTGCTATTCAAGTCGTTATTGCCTCAAGAGATACTTGCTGGGGCATTCCGCTGAGCTCATATATGGTGGTGGTCATGGGTACTCAGTTCTATGATGGTAAGGACCATCGTTATGCAGACTATCCTACAACAGATATTTTGCAGATGATGGGTCGCGCCTGCCGCCCTGACGACGATGAATCCAGTCGCTGTGTCCTTATGTGTCAGGCGAACAGGAAAGAGTTTTACAAGAAATTTTTGTTTGAGGCATTACCAGTAGAGTCCCACTTGGATCACTTTTTGCACGACCACTTCAATGCAGAGATTGCAACTAAGACAATCGAGAACAAGCAGGATGCAGTTGACTACCTCACATGGACGTTCCTTTACAGACGTATGGCACAGAATCCTAACTACTACAATTTACAGGGTGTGACGCATCGACATCTTTCGGATCATCTTTCAGAGCTAGTAGAGACGACAATTAATGACCTGGTTCAGTCCAAATGCATTAGTATTGAGGATGAGATGGATGTTTCGCCTCTTAATTTGGGTATGGTCGCAGCGTACTACAATATTAACTTTTCAACGGTTGAGTTGTTCAGTTCGAGCTTGACTCCTACGACAAAGTTGAAGGGTCTACTCGAGATTATCTCGACAGCAGCCGAATATGAATCGATCCCAATCCGCCACCATGAGGATCAGGTTCTGAAACGTATTTATGAGCGTCTGCCTGTGAAATTGAACAATATCAAGTTTACAAATCCACATCACAAGGCCAATATTCTATTGCAAGCGCACTTTTCACGTACACAACTGCCAGCGGATTTGGCATCTGATCAGGCCATTGTTGTAGGCCAGGTGATTCCATTGCTACAGGCAGCAGTTGATGTTATATCATCGAATGGATGGCTTCCACCAGCACTGGCGGCCATGGAGCTGGCTCAGATGAGTGTGCAAGCGATGTGGGACCGTGATTCACCATTGAAGCAGATCCCCTTTATGACTAGCGAACGTATCAAGCGTTGTGAGGCCAAAGGTGTAGAGTCTGTATTTGATATTATGGATATGGAGGACGAAGATCGAAATACAGCCTTGCAGGTGGATGAACGGCAGATGCGTGCGATTGCGGAGTTTGTGAACCGTTATCCAAGTATTGAGGTTGGTTATGAAGTTGAGGATGAAGATGAGATTAAGGCAGGACAACCTGTGGTGGTGGAGGTGCAGTTGGAACGTGAGGGAGATGAAGAGGAAGAAGTGACGAGTGTGCCAGCACCATTCTTCCCTACGAAGAAAGATGAAGGTTGGTGGATTGTGGTGGGCGATCCAGCGACGAAGACCCTGCTTGCGATCAAGAGGATTACTTTACAACGACGATTGAAAGTGAAGTTGACATTTGTATGCCCACAGGCGGGTGAACAGACGTTTAAGCTGTACACGATGTGTGACAGTTTCTTGGGATGTGACCAGGAAATTGATATGAAGCTGAAAGTGGGTGAAGGCGAGGATAGTGACGAGGAAGAGGAAGAGGATGAAGATGTGGAGATGCAAGAGTGAAAACAAAAAAATTATGATTTTTGAGCTACTAAAAACTTTTAAATAAATGTATTTACTTCTGAAGACTTTAGTGTGTTTTTTAATTAAATCGATTCAGCCCTTTAACTCCAGTTTCCATTGTTAGAAAAAATTACAATCAGACAACTAGGATTTGTAAGTCGTCTCTATTCAAAACTCTTGTCATCAGTGGGAGGCATTTTTTCATACATCTAGGACTGATAAGCTAATAAAGCATTATTTTTTGGGCATATGGTGGTCCCCTTTACTCATGGATACATCCGATTCGCACTTTCAAGGATTTGTTTTTAGAGCGACACTGAAAAGAAATTCAGTCCAACGCTTTGGAAGATTTTATGCATGTGACTGTGGCAGGCAGGCAGAAAGCGAGGTGAATAGAGCCCTACACACCATTGGCCGAGCTCTTTGTCCTGATAATGTATTTTTCCTCTCCATTCATGTTCATTCATTTGTTCATTCTCTCTAATTTCTTTGTTCCCAATTGTCATCGCTCTACTAATATATTTTTTTCTCTTCTTTTTTTTTTGCTCTATCACAGTGTCATTTTCAGTCTTTTTCCTTACAACAAAGTATTGTCTTTATTTATTTTTTCTCATGCCTGCAACTACACCCTTGTCGCTCTACAGGAGGATAGATATCACCACAATCACTCGGGAAATCGTCAAGGGCATCCCTGCTGGCTTGGTCATTTCTCTTAACGCTTGGGGTAAAAAGCATTTTGACAGTATCATGTTATGATCTTATATGGATATGATCCTTCTATCCTCAGGAAAAAAAAAAAAAAAAAAAAAAAAGTTGTCTTTGATCTCACTAATCCTCCTCCCTTTTTTTTTTTTTACCCTTTGAAAATCCCCTCTTCAGCCGTGTCTGCTTGGCTTAAAGGTAACAACTGGGGGCTCCTTTCTTCGAATAAGGGTTAAACTTCAAATCAATAGACAATAAATGTTTCTCAATGATCTTGTTACTTGATTAAATAGCAACCATCCTAATCAATTCGCAGCCGCGATGGCTCTTTCGCAAAAAGCGATGGAGCGAAGGCGAGATGCGTGCTATCAGTTGCTACTATTTGGTGGTAGCCTATCTTATGCTTCGTGTCGTACGCTTAACATCAAGTTTGACTAGACGACCTGGTCGACCCTATGGGGACTTCTTCCGCAACACTCGCCCTATCTTAGGCAAAGTCGCCATCTTTTCTTTAGTGACCATGCTTCTAGACGAATTCATTATGTTTTATATCCTGCGTAAATTTGGACTCGAAAAACGAAGGATCTTAATCACAGGTCGGCCATTGGATAAAAATGTTCAAGTGAGTGACGATGACTGCTGTATCTGTTATGGAGCCATGCTGGACGATGATGATCTTGCAGAACAGGCTGATTATTCATCCGGATCAGCAGCTAGTCAGACAGGATATCTGAGTGAGGACACGGACTATGTCCTTGAAAACTTTTGTGTGGTAAAGCAACATGTTGCACACAGGGGCTGTATCCGCAAGTGGTTCAATTACGGGCCGAAGGGGTACAGGCCCATGGACGCGTTCCGAATCTTTAGCTGGGGTACAACTCTTCACAGTGCTGTTGCGGGTATGAATGCCCCAAGGGCCGTTGGCGGCCGAATGGGTCTCGGCTGGCTTTTATCAACGAGAGCAGCGGCAGCAGCAACAGCCGCTGGAGAGACAGGTGTTCAGCTGCGTGTACCGCTCGGTCCAGTCTCCGATACGCCTGAGGATGATGTGACGGAATTGATCGGGGCAAACACACCAATGGACAACGGAAATAATCCAATCGAGCTCGAGCCCACGCATCGGATGGAGCCAGCATCCCCAACTCAACAAATGGGCTCATCATTACAGATACAGACGCAGACACAGATACAACAACCAACATTGCAACCTAATGAGCATACACATACTCAGATTGAAGTAGATTCGCAACAGCAGCAAACAGAGGAAGCAGTTGATGTAGCAGAGCCAGTCTTGCGACCATTATTTACTCAGCAAGATGATTATAGCCTGGCTCAAAATGCAGGCCATAAGACTTGTCCAGCCTGCCGTCAGCAACTGGTGCTCAACTTTGTGGATCTTGCCAAGGGCCGAAAAGAGATGGGATATAAACAAAAGTTGATAGAGCTTGGTCGAGACATGACCAAGTTTTCGGACTGGCGAGGCCTCATCTTGCGCAGCCTGATCACTGCAGGATGGGTAGGGGTGACAATCATAGGAGGCAAGCTGAGAATTGTAGCGGTGGACAAGGCCATCATGAAGCACCAACGAAATAGGGCACTTGCAACGTTATCTGCCCTCGCGGAATCGTCTTAAAAAACATATACCAACAAGCATCAACATTTATTCATAAATTTCCTAATATATCATATATCAAACCCTTGCCCATAACTTTTGCACAATGTCAATTCATAGACATGATAGAAAGTAAAATGTCTGTTTAAAATGACAAAAAAGATGAGTAAGCACAAATTTATTTACAGTGCTCCGTGCACTTTAGTCATGATAAGGGTCCCAAAAAAAAAAAATAAAAAAAAGCCAATTGACATAATTTACATGGTTCTGCTCCACAAGATTGCAACCCAAAGACTTTAAAGTTCCAAAAGACGCAACGACTGTCATGCAAACATTGCCTTCAAACATGGAAATACATACATGTATATTTATTTACTTTCTTTTGCAATAGGGCCAGTCCTATTAAAGACAGAGACTAAGAATTGCACATATCTCTCTAGGAATTCTGTGGTTTTGTTTAGTAAATCTCAGGGTTGACCATCGACCGAAGAAAGAAAGTATGCTTACGAGAATGCACATGCATAAATAACTATTCATTGTCGGCGTCAGTTTTCGTTTTTTATCTGTTTGTCTAATAAATAAAATACATTGTAGATATATCAATATAGTCCTTTGCCTAGAACAGAACGTGCCCTGAGAAGCGGTTCCATCTTTCCTTTAAACAGGCACACGCATGAGAGCCTATTGAGTGTAATTAGAAGAGCACAGTGGCATTTCATCTAAACATTGTCCAAAACTCGACTTTATTTTCTTCATTCTCATCTACACATTCATTCAGGATCCCCTCACTTCATCCTCATTCCATTTCCCATTTTATTTTTCTCGCTGTCTTCGTGTGCAGCACTGGCTCTATAATATCTCTTAATTACACCTCCTTTCTCCCTCAATAGCCAAATTTATACATGTCCTCATTCGAACCTCTTTGTATCGCCTCGGATGGATCAAGCCTATACGGCCATGCTCTGACTGCCAACAGTGTCGTCTTAGCTAAATCTAATCCTTATCCAGCCAGCCTGAGCGATCTCCGCTTATGGACAGTCATATCGATTACACCCCAGGACAAACTATATTATCTTACAGGCACAACCTCCTCTAAGGGTTTTGTCTGCCATGTTGATAAACAAGGCGTCTATTCCGTTCTATCAACTTCTTCGAAATATGCTAAAGATGATGAGACAAGGAGTAGGCCTCGTGGCTATCAATACAATCCTGTGAATGGTGGCACCTGGAACAACCTTGATGTATCAGATGGCTACAAGTGGTCCAGTCCTTATGACAGCGTTATCGGGTCAGCTGAAGGAGTGATGATGCAGTTCTATAGCACCGACATCATAGACAGGAGTATTACTGTCTTCAACATGGATAGTAGAAAGTTTGAGCAGCAAAACAGTACCTGGTACTTGGTAAGATGTTTTCTATATGCAAACCATCTTAATTAACACACAACGATGATTCATTAATCTTATTTATAATGTCACTGTCCAAAACTTAGCCTAGTTCTGGCAGGCCTAAAGTTTATGCAGGAGCCAACGACAACTTGTATGTGCTCACAGAGGATTCCTCAGTGCTCATCAACGTCTTGCCATTGAAAAGTTCAGGCGCTGCTCCTAACAATACCACCATCACATCCATCCCGACTCCAGCAAAACTGTCTGAATGTTCTTTTTCTACGGGTGCGAGAAGCGCTGTTGTTGGAGAAAATTATTATCTGTTTTGGTCTGGACGTGAGAATTACCTATTCACAACCGGTCACGGTGGAAATGGCAATGTCGTTGTTGCCAATACCTCTATCTCTAGTCCCGACTCATTCTTCCTATTGCTAATCAAAATGGCGAGGCTCCAACTTGGGCATTCTTGAATGATCGCCGAGGTATTTATGTTCTCACCTTATCAGGGCCAAATGCTGGTGCATGGCAGCGGATACCCTATAAGCTGAATGCCACTGGATTGCCAGATGATGGCTCTAGAAGTCACGACTTCTCAACAGGCATTAAACTCTCTATAATAATCCCCGTCGTCGTCAGTTCTGTGGCATTGTTGATCACTTGCTGCTCATTCTTTAGAAGGTGTCGAGCTCATAGAAAGAGCAAACAGGGGGGAATTGTTGAAGTGGTATCGACTTACCCGTCTGGCGAACCATCCACTACCTTTATCCCTACCCAGCTCTACCCACCTCCACCAGAGATGTCACAGACACAGTATTCAGAACTAGCGACATATTCGTCTTTAACACTACCATATCCACCGCCACCTACCCATGACAGCAACAAGGTGTTTAATTCGGCAGTAACAACTGCTCAGCTAAATTCGAGCGATTTAACATCAATATCTCAGCATCCACAAGAGTACCCGCCGCCAGGTAACCCTCAGACAGGCCCTATCCCTGCTCCAGCAGATGTAAGTACAACAGTATTATCAGCAAATCATCCTCAGTTCAGTAATGTATCCTCAAAGGCCCCACAACTGCATAATGGAGCGTTGCCGTGGCCAATATCTATATCAGATTCCAGGAATCCGCAGCTGTATCCCTCTGTGGCTGCACCTCAGGGCATAGGAGAAAATTATCAGCGGAGCCAGCTCATTAGAGACGATCCGCGTCCGCCACAGACATAGGAAGTGAACATCATTACTAATTAGCTGAATATACCACAAAATGTTATTAATTTAAATGAAAGTATTTTCGACTCACTTGTTCGAAAACATTCTCTCTGAATTGGTTGTTCTTTCAAAGTGATCATTCATTTGGCACCCATTTCTTTTCTTTCACCCATTCACTCCTTCCTTTCATCTTTTCCATTACACCCATAAAAATAATAGTAGAAGAAGAGAGGATACAATGTGTGGAGCAGACAGTCAAGATACGAATGCGTCAACACGAGTAGAAGAAGGACACACCCTTGTTTTCCCAGAACATCTTTACGCACAACTCACCGATGCTCATTGTCACATTCAAGATGATCGTGAGAACATTCATCAGCTGTCTCAGTCCTGGTTAGCCTCTACTAGTAAGGGCAGCAAAGATAACACTGTTCCACCCCTCTTGACTGGCAAAGTCTGTTTGATGGGTGTCCAACCTTCTAAAGATCTGGGACTAGTGTCAAAGGGTGATTCATCTATCATTGAAGGCACTGCTTCACTTTCTGTCAATGCGTCCATATTACGAGGCCTATCCTCGACTCCAGTGGTCACCGTGACCTGGAACGACACTGATACAATGGGTGATTGGGACTTGGTCTCGAAACTAGCACACGATCATCCTGATAGGGTCGTGCCCTGCTTTGGCATCCATCCTTGGTTCGCACACAAGTATAAACCACTTGAGCCGTCGTCTTCATCACTGAGAGGGCTCGAACTGCGAGGAGTGTCCCCTCAAAATGGACCATCTCCCATCCAAGGGGCAGACAGCACTACATCAACAACAAAACCCTTATTGTCATTTTCATCCACGTCCTTGACACCCGTCCCTGGGCCTGGGGTGCGTCGGGAGGCATTTTTGGCCATGTCTAAACAACTGCAAGAACAGATGGCGAAAGAGAGTCGTGAGAAGGAGGAGCGTGCGAAAGCTGCATTGGAGAATCATCAACAAGAACAGAACAGCAAAGAAGAAAGAGAATCGACAAATAATATTATTGCTGACAATAACGCTCAACAGCAGCAAGGTGCTGCTGGATCGCATCATCATCCAAACTATGCTCATTATCAAAAAGTTCTGAGCCTTCCCAGTTCTGCACCAGCAACATATTTGGATGACCTGGCCAAGCGACTGCCCGAGCCTCGGGCACTTGAACCTGCATTAAAAGAGTTGCGACGACAGTTGGAAGCGCATCCGCATGCGATTCTTGGCGAAGTTGGCTTGGATAGAACGGCACGTGTTCCAGAACCTTCTATGACAAATACAGTCGAGCCTGTTGATAGTGCAGGAGGCATAGTTGAAACTGAGACTGGAGGTGAGAATGATAGAAAGGAACAGAAAAGAATAACGTTGGCCTTGACATCCATTCAACATCAGCTTGAAATTGTGCGAGAGCAACTTAAGCTGGCAGCATCGTTGAGCCGGCCCGTCAGTTTTCATTGTGTTCAGGCATATGGACATTGGCATGATTTCTTGATCCAGGAAGGCAGACGGATGAAGCAAATAGAGGCCGATCATGGGTATCAACTCCAGCTAGAGCAGATTCGCGCTTCAGGTGGAGCTGTGACCATTTCTCCGGTGAGTCCGTCAGGGATTCGGCTGAGTAATAAATATGCCGCGAGGTTGAGGAAGGAGGCCAGAGACGCGGCATGGGAAAGACATGTAGCCTCAACCCTCCACGAATCGTCGGATGAGGAGGAAGAGGAGGAAGAGGAGGAAGAAGAGGACATGTTGTCGGATGGGGGACAGGAAAATACAGATGGCCGTGAGGAGAGTAAGAAGAAAATGACTGAAAAAAAGGCTGACAACTCGACTGACACAAGGTTAACCGCAAACACAAGTAATGAGGATTTAACAGAAGTGACGGTAAAGGATAGTTTGAATAACGTACCTCTGCACGAGGTGGTGCTACCTCCACGACTCTGCATGCACAGCTATGGGGGCTCAACAGATATGATCAAAGCATTTACAAAGATGGACCATCCACCCGAGATCTTTTTTTCATTCTCGATGTTAATCAATGGACGACTTCAAGAACGGAAGTTGAGAGAGTTGATTTTGGCTGTGCCTGAGGACCGATTGTTAATTGAATCGGATCATCACTCGCACACTCATGTTGATCAATTGTTGGTGGAGATGGTCCATAAGATAGCTGAGATTCGTAAATGGAGTATTGAAGAGACAGTTCAAAAAACAGCTCGGAATTGGCGCCGATTTGTGTACGGTTGAAAAGATTTAAAAAAAATAGAGACAAGAGGACACAAATAAACATTTGATGTATGGAGGTGATCAACCAGCAACGTCCATGATGACGATAATAATAATAAAACCGCCTTAGCAATTCCTAACCTGACGATGATGTGACTTTATGTCTTAGTGGAGGAGAAATAAACAAGAAAAAAAGCAGAACCAGCCCCTGATCGAAAAGGGAAAAAAAAAATGGTGCCACTTTCTTTGAATGAATGGTACAGCATGAAAGCATTTGTGAAATCGTCTGTGTGCCAGGCACTGGATAGAGTCAACAAATAAACATTACATCAAAACAACAGAAAAAAATAACAACAACAACGACGGAATCACACAACGGCAGCGATTGTAGCATCACGAACATAAAGAAGCACGCTACTAAAAAGAGAAACACGTTTCAGTCGCGTCATGTAATTGACCAATCGGGTTCTTTTAAACTTGAAAGAGGAAGGCGCGGGTTCACAAAGATAAAGATGGCAGATTGAAAAACGGAATGGCTCAAAAAAAAAAAAAAAAAAAAAAAAGTACTTAACGGTCCATGAGTAGATGCATATCGCGTTGCATTGGTGGAGCGCAACATAGTCAAGGAGTCAAATCGGCGAAATGAGGTTCATCATTCAAAGTAAAGGTAAAAAAAGAAAGAGGCGATATCAAAGTATAGAGCTACCCGCCTTTTTTTCTTTTGTTTTTTTATATAATTTTACTTTTTCAATTCATATTTTTTATTTCTTTTGGACCAAAGCATGGTAGCCGGATCATTCTGTAGCAATAAAGTGCAATACAGATCTAGCAAATGGTTCATTGGTTTGTTTATTGTTCCCTTTGCGACCCAATAGTTTGCTCATAGGCAGTGTGCAGGGTAGGACTCAGAACAGTAGTTTCATTGCCAAAAAAAAAAAAAAAAAAAAAAAGAATACAACACACTGACTTACTGAAAAGCATCAGCCATGCGATTAGAATTAATGACATTGAATTATGTATTAAATGCATCTTATTGTAAACAAATAAAGAAAAAAATTATATGCATGCGATGATCACAGAAAAAAAACCCGCGAAAGGTCCAAACCACATCTTACACATAAACACACCCATTTTTTTTTTTTAATGTTAAGACTTAGTGTATTGTGCAAGTAAAAGGATGTCAACAATCATGCAGATCTTACTTTCTGCTCAAGACCCCAAATTTTTCTCTATTTGTAGAAATTAAAATTGTAAAAAAAAAAAAAAAAAAAAAAAAAAGCGACAGAGGTGGCGAGAAATATCTATTTTAACAAGAAAAAGCTGTCTATTTTTGAATATGACAGGGTCTTTTATGGCGCAAAACCGTGCGGTAGGGCCACTGCACCAGTATTCCTTTTATATGGTCCTATTTTTGGAAAAAAAAAAAAAAAAAAAAAAAAAAAAAAAAAAAAAAGAGGCGGGTCGCCAAGATGGTTGCGCTGATAAAAAAAAAAAAAAAAAAAAAAAAAAAAGAAAAGAAGAGTAAGGAAAAGGACCATGCCTCTTGGTGAAAGGGCATCCATCTCTTTTTTGAGCGCGCTCAAGAGTACAGGACGCTAAGCTTGAATGTGCTTAAGAATATGCACTGAATGGTAATCCTACACCGAATATTCCAGACATTTAATTTTTTATTTTATTCTTATTTTATTTTTATTTTAAAAAGCATATATTTTGCTATTGTGCACGAGCATGATTATAGTTCTAGTAGGATACCAGACACATTGTTGACTAGGATACACGATGAATGAGGCATGGTACGATATGGCGGGGAAGGGAGAGCCTTTTTCTTGTGCGTTCATGTTATCGCCTATTGGAGCTTGGATCTAAGTAGTACAATTGCCCCGGGCCCCCTGGGTAGAATCAGGAAATAAACATTGCTTTTCTGGCACATTCACAGCAGTACATGGAACGAAAAAGAGAAGAAAGAAGAAAGAGCACTTGGAAGAGACCAATCAGAGCTGATCAGATCAACAATTGTAAGAGTAAACCAGGACAAGGGCTGCTACTGCTGTGTTGGGAAGACTGATCATCAGCACTATGGTCACTATAAAGTTTTGTTGCTGAGTGATATAGTTAGCAGTCGTTAGTAACCTCACGAACGTGTGTGAGACAAACACATCGATCATGCAGACCTAGTGGAACACTGCACTGATAACAAATAAACATTCCTAACTCACCAGTTGTAGTAAAGTCAAGTGAGACATATCACAATGAAAGTAGAAAAGAGCACAATAACATCACACGTCTATTCTTTGGTTCATTCGATCGGACTGTGTGTCCCTTCTTGGTTCAGTCAATGGAACCATGCAAAAAGGGGTGGGCTTTTAGACGCTGTTGTCTTTTCTTGAATATCCGCAAGTCATCACACCTGTTTTTTTTTTTTTTTTTTTTTTTTTTTGTTTTTGCACAGGTCCCCTCTTTTTTTTGTGTCCATCTCGGTATGCGTCCATCTCTCTTTTCAACAACGGAGAATGTTTCTGCGTTAATCTTTCTCTCCCACAGCAGCGGATCATGTCTCTGTGCGTTTGTATAGCGTCTGTGTTTATATGTCTTGTATCCTTCCACTCCTTCCTGAAAGTTCAATTGCTCCTTTGGTCAACCAATATCTTGTATTTTGTAATATGTATGTTTTTTTTTTTCTTTCTTTTTTTTTTTTTAAACTGTAAAAAGCATACTTTCGATCGCCCTAATTGGGTATGATAAAAATTTGCGAACGGACGGTATGATCGAATTAGATGATGAACCCAATCGTATGTTGTATATAGTCCGGATTGAGAGTCGACTAATATTTGAGAAACATAGTTAAGGACATCGCCTCCGTCAACATGACAAGGCATGTCTTTTTTTGGATGCTCGCGTGGCGAGCACTGTGCAGCTTCCTTTATGTTGTTACTAAAAAAAAATAAAGAGGTATCAATGTTCACATAAAGCGGAATCAAATATTATGGATGGTCTATTCCCTTTGGTCGATCATCTCTTCACAAAAGTGGGGAAGGTTTTTGCATAGCCGATAGGCTCTGTAACATTTAAACAAGCTACTTTGAGAGTCTGTGCATGTGTAGCCAATTGGAAAAGGGGGTTACCAGACATTACAGTAAATAGACACTTGGTGAATAGAGTAACATTTTTTTTTGTCTTGAAACCAGCACAGCATTTCCCTCCAGAAGTATATATTGTAAAAATGTCTTTTGTTGTTGATGGTACAAGAAAATCTTATTTTGTCTTGAATTGCTCTTACTATTGTTTAATTAGGACTAAGTATATAAGTATAAATAAATATAACATATATATATAATTATATATATTATATATATAAATTGGATATTTTTAAAAAGAATGAGAAAGAGGCGATGCGTAGTGTAATACAACATGGTGTTTATAATCTATGTACTCTCCCGCCTTTCCTTCATGCTAATCTGAATATGACATGCTGTGCATCCCAGAACAAGTTTTTCGTTTTCCCATGCTGGCCTTGTTGATATAACACAAACACTTTCTTTGCTTTTTTTAACGCGTGCACTTTGAGCTTATGCTCAATGTTTATGTTGCATCCGTACCCTCAAAGACATTTTTGGCACACATGCTGTGATGATTCAGCTGCATACATCGAGTACAGTCTCGCCACTTTTCAACAAACACCCTTTTTTTGTATTGTTTGCAACATCGTCTACTCATCCAATACATCTACTATTTTGTCCACTTTGGTTACTATGTTTAATATAGACCAACTAAGTTAGCCCAGACCATGCCATGCAAACCGGTCATTCAGACGTTCACATTCTGCTCGTGCTCGTATGTTCTTTATTTGTTTGTTTATTTGTTTTGTTTATCCACATTCAATTGTCAGGTTCCTGGCGACTCCTTTTTTAAAAGAAAAAAGTATTCAGAAGCTCAATGTACTACACCATCGCCTCTCATCAAGCACGACCAACGTTCTGGCATGCGACTTTACCCGCGCGAACTTGCTTATAAATAGTCCACCATTTCCCATCGATTTTTTTTTTCTTACTTCATCGTCAGCCTTTGTCATTGCTAGTTGCAGCCTTGTTCACCTTTCTTAAACGACTGTTATTCTCATACCTAAAGCGTTCTTCAAGTGTGTGACATTTCAATTTACTCCATTATCTCTTCTCCTTCTCACTTTCTATCATCATTATTATTTATCTCCTTCATTGCCTCACTCCTTTCTTTCCTATTGCTTTTGCGTCACATCACATCGCGTTTTTTTTTTCATTTATTTTTGTGCGTCCCGTGCGAGCGTGTTTTTCTTTGGTCAAAAACCATTTCCTTGTTTCTTAAAACGCGCCTTCGATTAATTTAATCACGACAACTTTTTTATATCTTCAAACCGCTATTTCTTACGAAGTTGGGGTATTTGTGATTTATATATTTATTTATTTATTTATTTATTGTATATCGTGGAAGTAAATATCTATTTCCTTATCCAACCAGGAGCCTTCAACAATGACAGATGCTTTATCGATTCCAGGTAAGAAGCCCAGTCTTGAGCAATGTGAGTACCAACCAATGTTACCAATGTTTATAATAGCAATCACCGAAAAAAGAAAAAATATATTTTTCTCCACCCCTGTTACGAATTTTGCGAGCCTCCCTTTTTTTTTTGCCTCTAAAGAGATGATAAACTTACTTACGCTTACTGCCCTTCTACTCTCTCTACACTTCCTTCTTCAACTATGACAACATCAACCTCGACATTGGTAATCTTGGAAACGATGCTAATGAAGTCAATAAGAAAGGATGGGTTCGAAAAACTGGTATTCCTGCAAGTGAATACATCAAACATATGCCAGAGCTTATATGCGCCTTCATTGATTGCCTTGATGACGTCCCATCATTGAATGCATGCATGCTTGTCAATAGGCAATGGATGGAATGGGTCCTCAGCCGCAAGTTCTCATTCGACGGATTCAGGAAGATGGCGATCAAGAATCACAACTCCAGAACATCGCCGGTGGATATTTACGTCCTCAACACGACTGTCCTTAAATTCCCGACCCTTGACCCGGATCGGATTCATAAATTCATGTTCCCCAGCACGATTTCTCAGCCTTCACCTAAAGGCGGCCTTGCACGTTCACATAGCATCTATCATTCTCAGGATTTCGACTACACATCTTCAGATGTCATTGGCAACATTTACCTGAGAACTAAAAGTGATGGACTTCAGGTATAATTTTCAAATTACACAACCAAAATGTCCAATCTGGCAATAGATCAAAGAGTATTGGTTGATTAAGTACTTATCTTTTTTTTTTTTTTTTTTTTTTTTGAAAATCAGGTTGTTCCTTGCCCCTGTGAAGCTGTATCGGACAGTGAAGACGAAGATAATTCTATGGATTGGATACCGGAGGGCGGGGCTGTTCACAGTAGACAATTCTCTGGAGGCCAGAATCAGCGTGTAAAGCCCAGTCGCAAATGGCATGTGAGCCTCGAGACATACTATCACAAGGGTGCTGCCTTCAATAGGATGATCAAGGCCTATCAAGAGTACATGGCATCTAGGGAAGGCGACCAGTGCCAGATGCTATCTTTCTCTTCAACTAGTCGTACCGTCTGGAATCCAACGACGTATGAGGAATTAACTTGGACTATTACGCCCACACCTATGGACAGGAGCGATCCAGAAGATCTGGAGCAGGAGGTGAATCCATACTACACAGAAAACAGTAATTAACATGGAAGAGAAGGAAGGAAAGGCGAAAAGAAAAAAAAAAGACTTGAATATCAGTATCAAGTATAGACGAAGAAAGCCCGTACATATTCATTATCATCATTACCATCGCTATCATCTACATACAGAAGCGCGGCTAGCTGTTAGATGTGTATAAATCCATCAATGCTGTATTTAATTTCTCTACCGCACCCTGCCTCTATTGCATTTAGGCTGTCAGACTATTTCACATTACATTCATTTCTCGAACCCATTTTTTAACAAAGGAAACAGTAATAAAAATAAAAACAATGCAAACATGCAGTGTAGCCGATTAATTTGATTGTTCAATATCACTAGAAGAATGAAAACAATAACAAGGTCATATAAATATCCTCGCACAAGCATATTTCTCTTTTTAATTCTGCTAAAATGAAAAAGCCTTGCCTAGTCACACTCACAGTAAACACTTAATACCCATGGCGGTACCTTTTCATCCATTATACGTATATATATATCTATATATACATGTATATATATTATTATTTTTTTATCCGATCATGTCCTGTCATGCATTGTGCGTATCTTTTTTTTAGACGTTGTAGTACAGCATGAATCTTTTCCTTTGAATAACATGTAATTACATACAAGAATGTTGGCTCATTGTAGCAGACTTGCATGGCATAATCCATGCACAGCCTAGGATATATTTGTGTCCTGTGTAGGCCCCTTTCTCAGCAGCTTTGAACTTGGAATTTGGTGTTGACGAATATTAAAGGAGGATTGTGGTTCTGGGAAGTAAGACTATCCATATTGCTTGATATATCACTGGAATTGATGTTCTATGGCTCCAAAGCACCTTTCTGTGTGCTTGGTTGCCTACAAATTCCTTGTGAACACCTTTGCTCTCAAGGTGAGGACAACTGCCTATCATGCTGTGAACAAACGGGTCAAAATTGAAGGGCTATTCATGCTGCTCTAATGTTCAACATTCTCCATGCTCTGTTGTAGAAAGTTTCTCAAGGTATTTTTTTTACGCTCCGTCCGTATTTTTTTTTATCATTCCTTTCCCTTCTATTTCTTCCTTTTTATTTTTATTTTTTTCCTTCATTTGCTCCCCTTCGTTATATCCTTTTCGTATAGACCACAAGACAGTCCTACACCCTCTCTCTTTTAAAAAAACCACCTTCGCCTTTTCTGTCTTTTCTTTCCTTCACTTTCATCTTTGTGAGCATAGAAAAAAAAAGAAAAAACAAAATTGACTCCTCCATATATCATGCTTATAACACCAATCTCGCTCCCTTCCTGTCAACCTAAATCGACAGAGACTGCAGCAATCCTGACCAAGAAAAGAGCGTCTATTCACATTCTTGAAGGTAAACATTATGCCTGGTGCAGCAACCATACTGAGCCAAACTGATCCAGGAGCCATAAAAATTAAGAAGACCGAACTGGATCACTGTCTCCTTTGGGGTGGGAGCTTTTTGGCGGGAAAAATCAATAACTCAACAGCGATCACCTTTCCCAAAGCCCAGCCATTTAAAATTTATTTATCTATTTATTTTTTTTAAAAAAAAGGCACGATGTCCGTTAAACGAACCTCATACCCCTTGGCTGGGCGCCTCACAGCTGCTCATTTTCAGAAACATGGGCCTTACTGCCAAGCATAGATTTGAAGGATTTGAAGAGTAATAAGAACAACATTAACATTGACAATATGACTACATCATCGTCAAGCTTCTCTTTTTCTTCTTCGGATATTGGGGACACGGATGCGGATTCATCGGCTGACTCAATTTCCTCCGTCTCGGGCTCATGTTCCTCCATGATCACAGCAATATCACCTTCCCATATGCAGGGTTCTCACACAAAAACTATTGTGGAGGACCAACCTTTGTTATCATCACCCGCCATTTTAATTCAAGACGATTATACCCAGAACAACAGCAAGTTACATAATGAAATACATGGCAGGAGCATATTTGAGACTCCATCCGTCCCAACAGCGTCAACTGAAGCTAATAATTCCCTTTCAACGGGACATTTGGTATGTATTATAACCTTATACACATTATCACTGTCATTCATAAAAATATATCACACCGCTCCTATCGGTTGATCCTTTTATTCTTGGTGAGAGCCTTTTTGAGTGCATGCATGTTCGCCATAGAATTCATGCGTGGATATGTGTTTTCCATCATATACAGATGTCGTCTACCTTTGCTTATTTCTGTTGTGGTACCTTGCTGAGAAAGTTTTTTAAAAAAATGAGCTACTGTTAATGCTCACTGTGATTCACGCGGGTTGATTACCATGTGCCTCTCATGAATTCTGATCAATTATTTTTATCTTCTTTTCTTTCTAGAATGGCAACAGCAACAAGCAAGAGAACGGGTCGGAGATATGTGATCTTGGTAAAAAGCAAGAAAAAAAAAATCCATGGTCTAGAGACATGTTATCCCTTTGATGAGGATGCAGGGCGCTCAAAGGAGAAAGGAGTAATTGTTTGTCACACACGGACTTTTCCAAACTAATATTCCCCTCATTATGATTCTGTTGTTTCCTTGACAACATTTCAATAGTGGTGGTCGTCCGCGATTTCGCATATCCCAAGTCACATTCATATCATTTTGGAAATTACCCTCCAGAGCCCACGCATGAGGATTTTGACGATGATGATGACGATTATGACGATTACGATAGAGCAGATCATAAGGATAGCAGGGGCCAGGATAGCAGTTCAGAAAGTTCATGGGCAACTTCAGTCCCATCATCATTACAAAAAGATCAAAGTCAGCAACCACAGGGTTATGCAAGAGGTTTGTATGACTTTGACGCTGAGAACTCTAGTGAATTGACGTTCAAGGAGGGTGACTATTTATGGATTCACTGCAGGCAATACCCAGGGTGGCTTTTGGGGGAATTGGATAGTGGCGCACAGGGTTTGGTTCCTGAGAACTATGTACAAATGGTTTGAGATGTATTACATTTGCTTTTTTTCCCTACTCTATTTTTTTATAATCGACATTGGTAAAGATAATGACAACAAAAAAGAGATTTGTTTGTAGAATAAAAACCAGGTAATGATCAAAATATAGACATGCACACACATATTATACAACTGCTCTAATTTTGTTACTGTTATTGTCATTGAGCTGATGTGGACACCAGATAAATAAAATAAATAAAATAAAATAAAATACATGTAGGTGTTATGATGTTTTAACTTGATCACTTTCCAATCTCATCACATTTTCCTGTTTGGCTTGAAACCTTGCTTGATCCTCCCGCTCTAACCTGGGCGTTACGATGCGAACGTAGATACTAAGTACTGCAACGACCAAATGGGCAATACCCATCAGGACAAAGGGAGCTCCATAAATCCATACATCAAAAAGGTAACCCCCCAGGCGAGCCATGGCCATGATTGAGATTGCACCAGAGAAACTAAATACACCTGCAACACTGCCCCGGTATTTAGTATCAACGTGAAGCCCGTTGACGAGTGTCATCCCCGTGATGATCATACCAATCTGGCCAGCGCCGAGAAAGGAGACGAATACAAAGTTGGATTTGTCTGTCGGCGGTTTAGTGGTGAAGGCGAAGGGTAAGGACCCAATAGCACCCAAGAAACCCGCAACTGCAAGAACGGTTGATTTCTTAAAACGCTCGCTGGCGTACCCAAAGATGGGTGCAGATATTAGTGAGATGCCTTGACCGATTCCTGTCAAGGTATGGGTGCCTCTTGATGCCGCCTCGCAAGAGGTTCGATTCTCAGGATTGCAGAGTCCTTCTTCAATAAAATGTTGGATTACCCAGAGACTGATAAAGGACGTGAACAGGACTGTGTCGGCTCTCGACTATTGCATATTTCATATTAAAAGGTTTTAGCGGCCATTGAGTAATAATAAAATGAGTGCCAACTATGACATACAAGTGAGTTGTTCGATCGGCTCAGCTTACAACGAAACTAGAAACATAAGCGAGAGCCACTCGTGGGTCACGACCAGCAAGAAAGCCATAGGCCAACATACGCAATGGATGGATCGTTTCTTCATCGGCAGAATCCTTCGAATCCTCTGCTGACTTTTTACGTGAAAGGTGATTTTTAATCCATCTGGTCAAACCATCTGCAGCCCCTCGACCAACTGTGGGCATGGTGACGAAAAAGATGAGAGCCAAAGCCAATGAGCAGCCTCCAACGATCGTAAAAGACAAACGAAGTCCTTGAACCTCATCTTTAGCGAGCTCCCCAAGCTGCCATGGAAGTTTGACCAAGACCAAGCCTGCGACCAACCCACCCAAACCAGAGAACAAACCAACAATGGCGCTAACACGTCCACGTTCATGTTGAGAACCTGCGATATCGCCCAATGTTCCAGTCATCATACATGTACAAGCAGAGGAGCCGAGGGAGAAGAGCAACCGACAGAGGAGCATGTGTGGGTAAACATTCTTGACGTAAGGGTAAAGAATCAGTGCGGTTCCGAGACAGATAAAGCCAACACTGTAGATTGGACGACGACCGATTCGATCTGAGAAGACGCCCCAGAATAGAGTGGCTGGGATGGCAATGATTTCATCATACAGGGCGAGAGAACCTGTGATGTTGCCTTTGTTCTCCTGGATATTAAGGATCATAGTAAGGACAAAAGGCTGGATAATACCTAGGTAGGCAACCAAGCAAATTGTAGCAAAACATGCGATAAGATAGGAAATAAAGTTGAGGTAGCTGATATTGTAATCGACAATGAAGATGTGGAAAAGACGATTCTTGTGAGGGGAGGGATTAGAAGGAATGGTTGTTGGTGTAGCTCCGGAGGCCCCTAAATCTTTGGTGTGTACAGCATCGGAAGTATTGCCAGCAGCAAAAGTAGTGGGGGACATGTCTATCCCATCGACCTCTGACTTCATGGCTCTCGATGGGTGTATGAGAGAAAGAGAGATAAAGAAAGAGAAAGGGAAGGAGGAAAGAGGGAAAAACGAAGAAATGTGAACAGTATGGATATTATTTGAAGCAGAGGTCAATGTCCGAAGAGGAGAGAAGAGGAGAGAAAAGCTCTTTTTTCCGTGGGTGGCAATGTTTATTTGAATTAAGCACATTTGTGTATCAGATGCTTCAGATGCTTCAGATGCAAAGGATCTTTTCTTTTCTTTCTTACACACAAAAAAAGTGCGCTTATACATGAACGCATAATGGCAAGCTAATGTTGCCAATTTAAGATAAGCGTATCAATGTCGTCTTCAGCCTTGTTTTTTAAAAACGAATAAGGAATTAAGGAAGAACGAGGAGTTAAGGAAAGAAGAAGAAACGGAATAAAAATTGCTCTCAGCATTGTGTATGGGCTACAGGTGTTGATGTATTTCATATTGACGTTGACCAAAAAGAGGTTATCTGATCCGCTCTCTTTTTTTTTATGTCTCTTCTCACTCTTTATTTCTTTCCATTCATCTACTTTCCTACTTAATTGTAGATGTGTATTTATATTATATATATATATACTATCTGTTCTGTTGAGTCAAATATAATGTTATAAAAAGCCTACGGTTGGGTTTGTTTGCTGTGGTTGGGTGAAATACAGAAGCTGTGAGCCCTCGTCCGCCTCAAAAAAAAAATAATAATAAACAGTATCCACAGTTTACCAGGTTTATTCTTTTTCTTTGAGTATCTTTTCTTCTGTAGCCGTTCATTCTCCGCATGGCAAAGAGAAGTCCGGCAATTGAGCCAAACCTGTATTCCACTCCATGCATAGCATTGGCGTTGCATGGTGTGGCGTAATGCTCTCTTAATTCTTCAGTTAAGATCTGATAAAGGTGGAACCCACTAACATAATATAAACCATGTTTCTTATATAAACCCGGTTCCCAGTTCCTAATCTTCCCTTTCTTCTTCTTTCTTTATTAGCTAACGCTTTCTATTTCATACAAACCCTTCCTTCCACAAAAAAAAAAAGAAAAAAAGAAAACATCCATACCATGCATTTCTCTACCCTCGTTCTTGCATCTGCTATCGCTGCTGTCGCCAATGCCCAGGCCACTGAATTCCCCTTCAAGCCTGATGGCGAGTGCATTACCAACTGTCTGGTCGTAAGTATATATTTCTTTGGGAACGCCATCAAGATCCATGCCCATGCCTCACAACCTTCTATTCATAACGTTTTTTCATTTATATTTACATTTTTTATTAATCCATCGCAAATAAAGACTGTTGGCAAGAAGTTCTACCCTGACTTCACGACCGATCCTACTAGCCCTCACTTCATAGCCTCGCTTGCCATTTCCTATGACCGTACCTCACCACACTACATGCAATTTATGGCTGAGACAGGCCCATGCAAAGGAACATGCCCAGCTGGTATGTTACTAAAGCGATCTTCGTATTTAGGAAAGCCTTTTTTATCTTTGTTAACGGATTCTGGTTTGCTTCCATTATCTTAATTGAATGACGTTTTACTTCAGACGAAATCAACAAATACGTTGAAGAGCACAAAGCAAAGCAGGCGTGGTATGAGGCTAACAAGAATAGTGGTGGCAACACTGGAACACCATCCCCTTCTGCAACTAAGCCTGCTACTGACTCTGCTACTAACTCTGCTACTGAGCCTGCTACCGCTACCGCCACTACAGCCACTACAGCTGTTGTTATCGCTACTACTGTCTCGAATGCACCCATTAGCTCATCAATCACCAGGACCTCTTCTCCAGCCTCTCCTTCGGCTACTAACCCAGATAGTGGTGCTTCCATCTCAGCTGCCGTCTCAGGCCTTATTGGAGTTGCTGCTTTATTGAGCGCCGTGGTATTGTTTTAAACTAAGCAGTCTGCTTGAGCTCGGCTATTAGGCTACAACTCTTCATTGACCTATTTATTACAACTCATAATATATTTGAATCGAAAGTTAAATTAAAAGCTTAATATATTCAATGAAATGTCTGTTTAATCTAAAGCCTTAGAAGACAGACAGACAGGCGCTGCTTGAACTTACATTTTGGGTGATGCTGGAGTCACAGACAAGTTCTTCAATTAAAGTAACCAAAGTTTACATCCAATGCTTGGATTCTACTAGCGAACTTCAAGAACCTTGGGTGGTGGCAATGACCTAACTTTAACTAGATAAAGCAGGCCAACCTTTCCTATGAATCCAAGTTATTTATTACTAGTTAATCTTTGGAAAAAATGAAGAAATGTGCATGTCGCCTATACTACATGAGTAGCCTTCCAAGTCATTATTTCATATTGCTGCCTCTACTCCTGAAGCCTATCTAACGTGAGGTAGAAACATTGATGGCTACGGTTTTTGACAGCAGGTTTTGCATCGCGGTGTAGAAAGTCCGTAGATCATGTCGGCGAGCGAAATAAAAGACAGAAAGCTAAATGTACTGGTACGCCAGTGGCATATAAAGCTGTAAATGATGGTCATCAAAAGACGGAGGTTGGATTTAGTAAGTAAAGAATTAGATATACGAAGGAAGAACACGACGCAGGATGGTACTTTAAATGCAAGGAATCGAGCGAAGTCTTGCATCAATTACTTTTGTAGTCGATCGAAGTAATAGATGGAAAGTTCACTAATATGCTGATGGTGTGCCCAGATTTTTTTTTTTTTTTTTTTTTTTTTTTTTTTCACCGGTGGACTTGACTGGGGCGAAGCACCGCTGACCTACAGGTGGTAGCATACTTACGCAAAAATATTCTGGTACACTCTCGGTACACCACGCCAGAAAGCACTGACTGTGAGAATTTTCTGAGTGATGGTGCACCACACCGAAAAAAAATCTTATATCGCGATGAAAGATTCAATATATTTACGACACATTAACAAAACAAAATACTCTCCACATCTCGATAACCGTTTACTGAGCCCCTGCCTAATGAGTGATCATCGGCATTTCGAATTTCAGTGGGTTTCGCCAGAAAAATGTACCCAAAATTGGATGAGAAATCATGGAAGGATATCCAGGGCCAGGTCATCTTCAAGCGAGACTTGCAGGAGATGTCTTGAAGAATCTGTAGCCCATATTTTCGTGCTGGCGACCATAGCCTCGATTTTCAAGCCGTGTATCATTTATGAGATATCAGACCTTCCTTCACTAGCACATCGCCGAGAATGCTATCTATACATACCATGTAATATTGCTTTTTTCTCAGTGGTTAGTCGTTACTGATATTGCTTTTTAATGTGAGTAATGATTGCTGCCTGCTCACGCTTCCATTTGCGTACTTTTGAAGGCATTCAGGGATCGTAAGTCTTGACTGTTCTTTGAAGTTATTTAGAAAACCTCGCATGTTAGCATGTTAAGAGATTTGGCTTATGTTCTGAAAGCCAAAAAAAAAAAAAAAAAAAAAAAAAAAAAGCAAGAGCGATTAGTGAAGAGCAGGCTTTGAGGCCAGAGAATGCATCTTGACTCTTACTTTAGACCAACAGCAACAACGGCTTCAGACTTGATTCCAAGTTCTGGGTTTGAGCGATATCATTCTTGAATTAAAAAAAAATTATTTCCTATATGTGATGGAATTAATTATTTAATGCCGTGATGGATGGCGTGGTATTGAGCATTTTTTTATGCCTGGACCATTGTTCATTTAACCCTCATTTGTTTCCCACATTTATTGCTTCATTCACGCCAGCAAAAAAATAAGTAAAAGATCATCACCTTACGAGGTAACGTCTCTCTAAACTGGTTGTCATTCCCGATATCATTCTTCCTTGTTTTTTACTCGACTATGACGCCAACAGCACAGATGCGACACTTAAAGTGTAAAAAAAAAAAGGAAAACAAGGATAGGCTCAGCAATGAATTAACGCGAATGATCTGAATCTCAAAATACAAAATGCACAACTTTAGTGAACTACAAAATATAGTACCGGAAGCAAAACAGGGTCCTCCTTCAATAATACCGCAGGGCGAGCATAAGCCATGGAGGACGTACCCATCACTCTCAACGACCAGCAGAGGATACGCATCTCCAAGCTTCTGTCCCTGGAGGTCGAGGACCTGACTACACTCCTTGACCAGCTCAAGAACGGTAGCGAGATCGCGCCTGCCTTCAATAAGCTTATCAAACAGTTAGACGAGAAGGCCATCAACCATGCCTCAGATGCATCGTGGAAAGAACAGGCGGAGGAAGCCAAGGCCAATCTCGCGACTGAAAGGCTCAACATGGGTAACAAGGAGATTTTTTTTTATTACAAAAAAAAAAAGGCGCGTTTTCATTCCCCGTAATGTTTGCTTTCATCGCTAAAATTAAAGTTGCGATTGTCAATGACTTTGTAGAGCAACGTCTTCGTCAATATGAATCCAAAGTTAACAATTCACAAAAGCAACTATCTGATCTTCGACAAAAACTGCTTGTGGCAAGCAAAGAGGCTCAGGATGCAGGTTTGTTTTTTATTATTATTATTATTGTTTTTCTTTGATTTTGTTATTTATGAGTATTAATCCTGAATCAATACTATTTTGTTTTCATGGGTCATTCTGGGATTAGTGGCTAAGGCAACTGAATTGGAGAATAAGTTAATAAGCCAGCAAAGTGGATCACTACACGCGCATGCAGAGGTCGACACACTCAAATCCAGGATCGAGACATTGGAATCTGAAAAACGAGAGACCCTAGGGGCACTCGAACGTAAGGTCAATGAGCTGGAGCAGTCAAATTCGGATTACCAGGTCATATCCACCAAATATCAAGAAGCCAAGAAAGAAATGGCTAAGCTGGAATCAGAGGCTCGTGAAGCAAAGGCTTCTGAAATGTCACAGAAGGTACATTTATGTTTATGTTTTGTTTTATTTTATAGCTTAGGCAATACCAAAGTATTTCGTATCACTTTGCCGATACACTCTGCCTAATATTATTCAATGGTATTATAGCTTCAAAAACAAGCAATTGAACAAGAGCTGGAGATGCTTAATCAACGCATGAATTGGACAAATTCAGAATTGGAAGCAAAATCAACCGAGTTCAATAACTATCGCTCCGAAAAGACAGCTCAAATTTTGCAATTGCAAGCAGATCTTGATCAGGCGCGCATCGATTCAACAGCAGCTAATCAATCCAATGCTGCACTTCAACGGAGGTTGAAGGAACAACAAGATAAGTTAGAGGAATCGCTCCAAAAGAACAGGGAGCTCCAAGATCAAAACCTTGTCCACGAGGAACAGTTCCGTGTCGAGATGGAAACTCAACGGCGCCTCGGCGAACTTTGGGAACGCGCAGCAACCGAAAGCAAGAATCGTATTGCAGATCTTGAATGTAGGTCACCTATCGGATTCGATCAACCAGGAGATCGTTCAGATTCTTTATATCGAAGGTCATTAACGTGCTCCATTTACTGATACCATAGTGACACTGGAAGAGATGCAGAAAGTTATTTACACAAAGGAGTCTGAATACCAAGAAACAATTAGCGTGATTGCGGAAGAGAAGATGCAGCTTCAAATCAAGCTTGAACAATCGACAACGCAGATTGTACAACTCAAAGAAGAGCAGAAACGTGCTGATGAACTGCTAAACCAAGCTGGTTTAATTGATACTTCCGGAACCTCTGGCCTCGGTATTGGCCGCGTAAGTGATTGAGTACCAATGATTATATTACCTTGCTCTCTTACTTATATATGCTTTCAGGAATTCACCACCCCAGTTTATTTCATTATCATATAGATGGGCGTGCTTTCGCCAACCGCTGCTGCAGCTGCTCGTCTGCAAAAGACAGGAATGTCACTCACACAGGTCGTAAGTCAATTCTGTCTCATGTCGCTAATCAGGATTGTTAGAACAAGCATCATAATAGAAATTGACATGATTCCTTATAACCTTGGATAGTATACTCGGTATATGGAGCTTCAGGCCGAATATACTCAGCTGAAGATAGAGAATGGTCGGCTTCAAGAATCAATCGATGCAATTGTGAAGGAATTATCTGACGGAGTATGTGTCTTTTGATTCTGCAGATATATGGTTTATTATGTATTACTATTTTCGATGTGCAAAACCTAACCTTAACCCCCATTCTTTTTTAGGCTCCTCTTATCCGTGAACAACAGCTTGAATATCAACGCCTGGAGGAACACGCTAAGGAAATGGCAGCCCAATTAGAAGCAGCTTCAGCTGAGAAAGAGCAGATTGCATTCGGTGCACGGGAAGTGCTGGCTCAACTTGATAATGTGATCAAAGAACGCGATCTCTTGCACAAGGAGAATCAAGATCTTGACCGCCAGGTTCAGAATTTGTTATGGAGGATCAAAGCCCCTAATGCACCACAGTCACTTGCTCCTACCTCAACGTTGAGCCAAAATACAACTTCCATGACAGAAGGAGAGAAAGCTATCGATGATCACCTTGTTATTTTCTCCAATATCCAGGAGTTACAACAGCAAAATAAAAAGCTACGTGAAATTGCTCGCAAGCTTACTCAAGAGCAAGAAGAGGCACAGGGCCCTGAGGCGCAGGCCAAGAGGAGGGAGCAGCAAGAAGTTATTGAGGAAGCCCAGCGAGAAATCGAAAAGATGCGTGAGGACATCGGTTCTCGAGATTTGCAGATCGCGACGTATAAGCAGGAGCTGGAGATGATGCGTCGTATTCTCAAGACTTCGAACATGCGTAATGTCCCTGCCGTCGCTGCCACGGCTGAAGATGGAGCCACAGCTACAACAGCAGACGCCGAAAAACCTGTCAATGCTGAAAACACAGAATATGCCAAACTCTTGGCCGACCTACAAAAAACTTTTGATGCATATCGCAATGAGACCACAATAGACAACAGACATCTGAAAGATCAGCTCCAGCAGGCACAAGCAGAAAACTCTGACTATCGTATTCAACTCGGACGCGCTAAGTCTCAAATTGAGGTCTTAAATGAGCGTTACAATCTCTTGATGGAAAACAGCACGCATCAATCCAATGAAATGAGTGAGCTCAGGAAGAGATGCGCGTATCTTCAAGACTCTTCAACTCGCCATGAAATCGCCAACCAGAAACTCTCCTCCGACTTGTACGCTGAACGCGACTCTACCACCCGCCTTTCCGCTGAGATCAATAACTTGAAGACAGAAAAAGCACTATGGAAATCATTCGAGTCACGATTGCTCGAAGAGAACCAGGCACTAGTTAAGGAAAAGAGCCATCTCAATGAGCTTTTGCAGACCGTTCAGAACATGACGAATGAATTAGAGAGAGGTAATGAACAGACTAAGCGCCGCTTAGAGAATGCAGTTGCAAGTAAGGAGCAAGAGGTTGAGACACTTAGGGAGAAACTCAAGGAGGAGTCCGAGAATGGCAAACGTTTGCGTGATCGTAGGGATATTGAAACAAAGGAATGGCAAACCAGGATCGATACGCTCCAGGCAGAATACCAGAGCTCCCGGGAAGCGCTCATTGCAGCCAAAACATCGTTGGAGCACACCAATGCCAAGGTCGAGGATCTCAATAAGCAGATCAAGAGCCGTGAGGACCAATTGGCTGTTTATCAGCAGAAGCCCGCAGGCACAGAATCATCAGAAGCAACACGCGAAGAGCAGTTGCAGGCCCAAGTGGTGCAGCTTCATGCGGATCTGGCGCGCTACCAGGCTGAGGCGGATGCTAGTCGTCAACATCTTGCTCAGTTCCAAGCCATTAGTCAGACGAATGAGGATCGACTTGCGGAACTCACTGCTACATTTGAAGAATTCAAGAAAGAGCATGACCAGAAGCTTGAGGAGAATTCTCAGACAATCAAGTCACTGGAGACTAAATTAGCTAATGCTGAAGAGCGCGCTCAGAGTGCTGCTAATAATCTACTAGAGATGCAAAACAAGGCTGACGAAGAGCGTGGAGTATGGAGAAAGGAGAAGGAGGATCTAGAGGCTAAGGTTCGAAAGCTTGAGACAGTTGAAAGTCAAATGAATGCTATCGAGAGCCGTTATCGCAGAGATCTCCGAATCCAGGGCGCACAGACCAAGGAGGCTCATGAAAATTATGAACGTGAGCTCATGAACCACGCCAAGGATATTGAGGCCCTGACTAAGCTCAAGGAAAAATACACCAGGCAGACAGCTGAGCTCGAGCAATATAAGACAGCTTCTGAAACTGCGCTCGCTAATCTTCAAACAGCTGAATTATCGTGGGAGAATCAAAAGTCACTTCTGCAAAAGTCGCTGTCGGAGACAGAAAAGCGATGCTCAGAACTCAAGGAGCAGAATGACAAGCTTCATCGCCACTTGGAGGATGTTAGTGCTCAGGTATTGACGATTCAGCAGCGTGCCAATGCCCCTATTGTAGAGGGCGAAGCTAGTAATGGTGAAGGCTCTGAGGGAGCAAACAAGGGCAGCACAGAGGCTCAACTGGCAGAGTTGCGCGATGTCATCAGATATGTCCGCCGCGAGAAGGAAATTCTCGAATGTCAGCATGAATTAAATCTGCAGGAATCACGCCGGCTTAAGCAGCAACTTGAGCAAACTAGTCGATCCCTGGAGGAGACGCGCAGTCTGCTTACGGAAGAGCGTACCAAGCATCAGGAAGTTATGGTATCTAAGCAGCAGCACGAGCAGCTCTTAGAGAAGATTAATCAACTCAATCTTCTGCGTGAAAGCAACACCACTCTTCGCGCTGAGAACCAGAGACTTCAGAATAGGGTACTATCGTTGGAAACTGCCAGACAAGAGCTTCAGCGAAAGTTGGATCCTTTGAACGAGCAAGTTCGGGAGATGAAGGCTGACTTGGAGTTCAGTAAGGAAGAGCTAAAGCAAGTAGGTGAAGATAGAGATCGCTGGAGGATGAGGACAGTCGAAATCATGGCTAAACACGACCGTATCGACCCCACTGAGTTCCAAGAGCTCAAGGATACTGTGGAGAGAAACAGAGTAGAGAGTGCGGAGGTCGAAAAGGCTATGAATGCACTTCAAGCTGAGGCTGATGAGCTTAGGAACACGAACAAGACCCTTCAGAATAAGCTGGGTGAGGCATCGGTCGCTTTCAACAAAGTTAGTGGACATGTTATGGCTTGGCGCAAGAAATGCACTGAAGAGACAGCTAAGCTGGAAGAGGCCCAGAAGGAGATTGGAACTCTAAAAGCCAGAATTACAGAACTGGAGAAGCTCCTTGAGGAAGCAAAGAAGGCTGGGTCAGAGTCAGATTCTGCTGCTATAGCCAAGTATGAGGCAGAAAAAGCAGATCTAACAAAAAAGAAAGAGGCGGCTGAACATAATTTTGAACAGACCAGGGCTAGACTAAATCTTAGCATTAACCGAAACAAACAGCTGGCAGCCAAGCTTGTAAGTATTGATAGAAACCAGTCATGCCTGATGACTGTCTGTTGTGTCTGCTATCTGACGAAACCCTCGCGTGCTAACATACGCTGTGTGGTATTAAATGGCTTCATGCTTAATAGAAAGAATTGCAGACTACCCTTGAAGAGGAGAGGAAAACTGCTGCTCAGAACGGTGGGGCTGTAAACGGAAGCTCGCTTTCTAATGAAGAGGTTGAAGCCAAGATTGCGGAAGAGAAACAAAAGCTGGCTGCAGAAATGACATCAAAACATGAGGCGGAAATTAAGATGAATGAGATGCGTCAACAGTTAAAGATTCATGCCAAGGATAAGGAGATTCAGAACTTGAAGAATCAGTTAACTGCTAATAATGGTACAACAGCAGCCACTGTTGTACGCCCCACTAATATAGTCCGACCTGTCCGATCAACCGCTGGGACGCCAGGCGGTGCTCCTGTCCAAAGTGGGGCTGCACAGGCAACTATACAGCCAGCTGCGCGCCAACTGGCGGGAATACCTCCCCGGCCTGGCACTGCCTCGCCAGCGGCCCACCCACAGGCCAGACCAGGTCCTGGCCAGTCGCGCTTGCGACCACCACTTGGAGATCGTGTTGCAGCTGCAGCCGTAGTAGCTTCCACTGCCTCAACGCCTTCAAGTCCTGCAAGCAGACCGAAAGCTGATAATGTGATATCTAACGCCGAAGCTGCGCAGACTGCCACACCGACACCAACACCGCCAACAGTGACAACAGCATCGCCAGCATCATCAGCGCCATCAGCACCAGTACTAACCTCATCATCCGGACAGTCTTCGCGTCTGTTAATCAAGCGCCGCAGAGAAGAGGAATTGCCTGGGAACCTCAGTCAATCTCAGAACTCGTCGCCATCAATACCTGCAACAAGTGTTATGCCTGGAGCAGCAAATTCATCCACGGCGGCGAGTACTATGCCTGAACAGAAATCTTCATCCATGCTTATTAAGCGTCAGCGACCACTACCTGTGGTTGAAGCTCCAACTGCGATTACATCCACACCAGAGACGAATGAGAGTGCGCCGATAGAAAAAACACAGACAGTTACCATCCAACGGAAGAGGGTTGTCAGCACATCCGACACTGCAGAGACGCGGCCTGCATCGCCTCCTACTGGCGCAACAGTTGTAGTCACAGAACCTAGCACTTCACCGGCACCGGCGGATGTAGCGCAATCGCAGTCGCAACCGCAGTCGCAATCAGAGGTCATTCTAAAGACTTCGCTTCCTCATGGCCAGAAGCGCCGACATGAAACAATAGAGAGTGTCCAGGAAAGCATTACGATTGTATCGACACCTGGACCGACTGATCTAGAGGATACTGAGGATTTGTCCGCACAGGAAGGCTCACACGAGAACATGGCGATGGATGTGGACGATATTCCCCCAGTGAAGAGACCACGGCCCAGTAGTGAGACAGTGATAACGGAACTCCCTGATGAAGGCACGATAGCAGCAGAAACCTCGGAAGAGTCTGGTATTACAGTGCCTGTTGAATCAGTAGCGCCAGGTACGCCTGGACCTCTGACAGATTTTGAGGAGGGTGAGGTGGAGGATGATACAGAGGCAGCAATGGATACGAACATTACCGAAGGTAGCGAGGCCAAGACAGGGGGAGAAGAAGAGCATCATGCACCACAAGAGTCTGCAGTGGAGACAGGGGCCGAACATGCGTTGGAAGATGAGCTGGAGGAGGGACTAGATACGACATATGGTACACCAGGCCCAACGACTAGTCTTGAGGATGTTGATATACAGACGCCACAGGGCAATGAGGTGGAGGAAGAAGGGGACTTGGATCTTGATTTAGATGAACAGCGGGAACACGATGGTGATGGAGATGCAGACGCATCAGAGTCAGCGGTATAGGGGGGTAGCGATGACGGAAGAGGGAATCAAAGTATCAGTTAATGAGCCAGGATCATTAAGAATCATGTAATATTTCTAGTTAGAAAAAGCACCGCTACTACAAAATAAGAAGATTAAGCGTCACTACTGCATTAAAAAAAAAAAAAAAAAAAAAAAAAAAGGAGGATTCTATTAGCCAGTATATCCTAACGAAGGTGGGGTGGCACTAAGAGAGCATAGCAGACTTATTCATTTATCTCTCTTTTTGTTTTTGTGAACTGGCCTCTCCTCAATCGTCTTTAACTTGGTTCAATGGTCCCATTAAACATACTAAAAAAAGTCTGTGGCAATGACCCTGCAATATCTCTTCATTTGAAGCAACAGAGAGCAACAGAGCAACAAATTCAGGACACCGCGTGTCGTTTACAACCTCTAAATATTACTAATGAAACTGACTCAATATTTATCAGACGCGATATGGAACATGCACTTGAGCAAGGGCAGCATACGCAATGTGCACATCACGCTCAACCACTTGTAATTAGCGACCATTTCAGAGATAGTCAGGGGAATAGACACTCGAACTACAATAATGGTTATAGACACAACCCAAACTACAACCGCGACAGTAACAGCATAGAAGCGTATGCTCGCCTCGTGAAGGAAGTGGGGCGTAGGGCCAGGTCTATGTCAGGATATACATCACAGATGTCGTTTTCTTGTTCAAGATCTCTAACTTCAGCATCATCGGCCTTGTCAATGTTCTCTGCCAAAGCATGGTCATCATCTTTTTCCTTATTCTCACCAATGCCGTTATCAGTACCACCGTTCTCACCAGGAACGGTAACAGGACTGACTGGCTCAAGCCCAATATTAACAGCAAGAGGTGGATTTTCAAGATGTATGCGTTCAGAGTCCTTAACCAGCGGAAATGCCAATGATTTCTCTCAGATGTATCGCAAAAACAGTAACGGGACCAATCTCGATATTGATGTAGGAGGAAAGTATGGTCAACAAACCGGATTATCAACTGAGTTGTCACGGATCCAGATCAAGACCGATGGTCGAACCCTTGTAGGGCATATTAGTAGTGGGGCCAAGCACGGATTTCAGAATGCGGTAGATACAGTGACACGGACCGGAGGAGAGATTGAGCATGGATCTGAAGCCGGAGCTAGAGGTAGAATTAGAGTTAGAGCTTGTGTTGAGGTTGGATTTAGATCTGGAGGAGGCTTTTATCATGAAAGCGAGAATGCCACCACTGATGTCGCTGTGGCCAAGGACACTACTTCTGCTTCAACACCTGTGCCTGGATCCTGTGTCTTTCTTCTTGATAGCGATGAAGATGGTACAGAAGAGAAGGGTCGCGAAGGCGCAACGGCAGGAGGAACGATAATAGATTATCAGAAGCCGGGACAATTGAGACAAACTCAAAACCAAGAGGAAGAAAAAGCAAAGGATCATCACGACAAAGTTGATAAATTTGGAGTGGTTTTACCACCGACACCTGCTAAAGTGCGGAAATGTCAAAGCACGCATATCTGTGAGTTTTTTATTAAGAAAAAATAATAATAATAATAATAATCCCAGAGTCTGAAAGGGAAAAGGGATTGAGCTGACATTCTTTTTTTTTTTTTTTTTTTTTTTGCCCATCAGACTTTTTGGATCATTACATCGATCTGTTCAGCTATCTCAAGAAACGTCAGGAGAGGTTACAGACGCTCAAGAGGGATCTCTTACGTCAGAAGGTAGGTTTTTTTTTTTTTTTTTTTTTTAAAAAAAAAAAAAAAAAAAAAAAAAAAAAAAAAGAATTAGACAACGGTATAGGCGTTAATATCAGATATCATCTTATTTTTTTTCTTATGTAAAGTTGTCGTTGAAAGAATATGAACAAGCATGGATGGAGTTTCAAACTCAGGAGAGTGTGCGGCTGCGGCAGCGTCGCACAAGGACACAAGTGATCCAATTCCAAATCTTAACACAAGTGGGGCAGGGGGGTTTTGGCGAAGTATTTTTAGCTCGTAAGATAGATACCAACGAGCTCTGCGCGTTAAAACGGATGTCCAAGCGACATCTCCATCTCCAGGACGAAGTTCAACATATCTTGACAGAACGTGATATCCTCACCTCTACACGATCGGAATGGCATGTTCGATTACTATATTCATTTCAAGATCATCAATATGTTTATTTGGCCATGGAGTTTGTCCAAGGAGGAGATCTCCGGACTATGTTGACTGCGCGTGGAGTGTTGAGAGAAGAGGATGCAAAGTTGTATTTTGCAGAGATGGCGATGGCGATCGATGCATTACACCAACAGGGTTATATCCATCGAGATCTCAAACCCGAGAATTTTCTAATTGATTGTAAGGGTCATCTTAAATTGACGGATTTTGGACTATCCAAGGGCCAATTAGCAGAGAGTCGGATCGAAGCTATGAAGGCTGAGTTGAGGAAAGTAAAGGATAGTGTGGAGCCAATGATGCCAACACTCAGACGGGGTGCATCTTCCATGATGCTACATGACCTTCATCTTCAACAGCAACAGCAACAGCAACAGTACACTGCAGGGATCGAAGGAAGTCTAGGAATAGGAGGAGGGGGAGTTAAAATGCGTTCAAGGGGTGCAGGGGGCAGCTTGGCAAGCTTAAATGGAATCTTGCATCGATCTCCTTCATACATGGCGTGGAACAACACTGGGTCTAATCTAAGTATGGTGCCACAACTCAAGAACCAAAGTCTTCTGAACCTGAACGCAATGACAACAGCATCTACGGCAACAAGGGAGTTTAAGAATGAAGGGATCCGGCGAGCGTATTCGATAGTAGGCTCTGCGGATTATATGGCACCAGAGATATTGGCCAGTAAAGGGTATGATTTTGGGGTAGATTATTGGTCGTTGGGATGTATTCTGTTTGAATTCTTGTGCGGATACAGCCCGTTCCAAGCAGAGGATACGCGTCAGACGTGCGTTAATGTATGGCATTGGCGCAAGGTCCTGCAGCGGCCGGTGTACGACACAAAAGAGAACCTGGAGTTTAATCTTTCAGACGAAGCATGGGATCTCATTACATGGTAAAAAAAAATTGGTTATTCTCCATTCTAATGAATTTTACTCATATCTTAACTACGGAACATACTAAAAAAAAAAAAAAAAAAAAAGTCTGATAGCAAACCGAGAAAACCGCTATACGACGGTAGAGCAGCTGAAGCAACATCCATGGCTCGAGGGTCTAGATTGGGATAATTTGCGATCCATGGTAAAGGAAATACTTTTTTGCAGAGCAAGTTTTTCCAAATTAGCATACAAATTTCTAAAATATACTTTTGTTTCTGTGCATAGCCTGCATCCTTTGTACCTGTGTTAGCAACACCGATGGACACGAGTTACTTTGACGACTTTTCGAATCCTGATGACATGGTAGGGTACAAGGATGTGTTGTTGCACCAAGCACAGGTTCAGGAGGCTGAGCAGGCCGATGCAGCCGCAACAACCATATTAGCAACAGCCATGAGGGCAACATCAAGTAACCAAGATAAGCTACAGGAGCAACAACAACGGCGACAACAACAGCAGCAACAAGCATATAGTGGGCCATTATTAGCATCATCGCCATCGTCACTGTCAATAGGACATTTGCCTGTTATTTTACAGACACAAGATCCATGGAAGAGAGCGTTTGTAGGCTTCACATTCCGGCACCATTGCAACGAAAGCAGATAAATTAGATCGGGGATCAGAGATATAAACTTTGCAAATAAAGATTAAAAGTCACTTGAATGAGAAATAAATAAATAAAAAAACGTGGGTGTAAGTGAGCTAGAACCAAAATAAAATTAAAAACCAACAAACAAACAGAAACAAAGCTCCTTTTGCCAATACTTTAATCGGCACTTTGCCTCTTTCTCTCTTTCTTTCTCTCTCCCCACCTTCGTCTTCATTTTCACTCATTTTTTCTTTACTACGTCTTTGATTCTTTATCTTCTTGCTCCCCCCTTCTTACCTCTTTCCCTTTTCTCCTTTCTTATCCCCTTTCCTTTCCTTCCCTTTCCTTCCCCTTTCCTTCCCCTTTCCCTCCCGCCCCCGCCAAATGAGCTTGCTCGACCATTTCTCGCTCGATCACCGCTCTCTCCTCCCTGTCGCTATCGCGGCTACCTCGGCCACTTGGGCTCTCTCCCATACCTCGTCTTCAGTCTCAGCTTCAACCCCATTTTACTCTCTCAACACCACTCCTCTTATCTTGGCTATCGCACTCTGTTCACTCGCTTTCGCCTATATTTATCGCTGTCACCTCTTTCACATTCCCACTAGTTCCCTACCTCCAATAAGACTGAGTTACAAAGATACGCTTAACAGCACCAACAGCAGCAGCAATAACAGCAACAGCGGCAGCAGTAGTAGTAGTTGCAATAGTGCCAGCAGCAGCGACTGCCACAATCTTACACCGATTACAGCCCTTCCGCAGTTCATCTCGCTTGGAGGATTAGGAAAAGTGATATCAGGATCACTATCATCGCCTGTGAAACCATTACCAGGAGCAGTAACTGATGGATCGTTTTTGACTGCCAATCCATCTCAAGAACCGTCTGTGTCCTCTTCTCCTACATCTTCTCTAGAACATAATGAGTCTCAACAGCATAGGAACCAGCAGGTTGACGCATTAGGGATGCAACCAAGGATAGATTCATCCTTGAAGAATAACGACAATGACAACAGTTGGAAGCAACAAAGTATTTCTGCTGCCCAAAATGTTCAATTGGGCTCTTTTGAGGCCATCCCAAAGGAAACACTCGAGACGATCAGGACCCTTCCGGACTATCGGATATGGGACCATATTATCGTCGGAGGTTAGTCCAAAAAAAAAAAAAAAAGAAAAGAAAAGAAAAAGAGTAGCAGAGCATGTGCGTGGCAACACAGAGGTTGTTATTTAACATGGCTTTGTTGATGGATGATGGCAATCACGAGTAAAATTACGCATCCCACGGAGCAAAGAACAAAAAAAGTAACGTTTGACTAATCCATTTTTTCTTTGTTTGCTTTTCGTTTTTGGTGCATGGATCAGACGGATACGATGTAAGAAAAAGAAACAAAAAAAAAAGCATGTGTTTTGTTTTTTTTGCAATCAGAAATGCCAACAATGATTCGTCTGCTCCAAACCATGTGCTACAAAAAGGGGTCTCCCGAAATAAAAAAGAAAAACCTTTAATTTATCCAATTATCCAAAATGGTTCTTTTTTTTTTCTTATAACTTCTAGACATTCCAGCATGCATACCAGTTTGCGCTCCATTACCCCACGAGAACAGTCTTGGTCCTTCTTTCAGATAACATCCGACCTACTTTCAGGACAAGGATCATGCAATGGATGCATAAAATTTTGGTGCGTCACTATTTTTTTTTTTTTTTTTTTTTTCAAAGCCCACCGCCGTGGCCATATCCTTTTTTTTTACGCTTGGGCAGATTATAATAGGTCATGCATTGCAATACATATTTGGACTATAGGTCCATTCATTTACGTATGCTTCCATCCGTCTTTTTTTATCATGATTATACCCTTCCTCAAAGAGAAAAACAAGCAACTAAAGGACCTTTTCCTTTGGACCAATAGACTGCGCAGATGCAACAACTATGGTCTCGAGAAGCTTTAAAGGCAGTTCCCGCATCGCTACGTGGCCTGAGTACATCTTCCTCGCTTCCTGTTGGTTCCACTCTTCCACGCAGGCCCATTGACTTCACGTTGGACAAGGTAGGCATAGGAGTGGCTCTTCTTATCTATCAACAAATATGAACAGCGACAACAACGACAGAAAAAAATTCTTATCAATTCATTTGAAAAACGTTTGTTTCATCCATGCATTTTAAAAAAACAAACCATAACCATGACATTAGGCGCGTCCTCTAGATCTTTCATTACTTCCCCCTAATCTTTGCATCGGATCTAAAATATGTGCAGCCAAGCTCTTGATTGATAAACCATTCAATACTCAGAGTATCGCTGCTTCAGTAACAAATTCGTGTACGAACACTCCACCGTCAGCACCACCACGACCTGGACCTTTCAAGCGATTCAGCAGTACTGCAGGAAGCAACCTGACCATTAATACCATGCCATTGATGCCGCCACGGATCGTCGGCCTAGAAGTTGTCGCCAGTGGGGGACCACAAGGTATTTTCATTCCTTATCTTTCATATCCTGCTCCTTACGTTCATAAACAGTAGAAAGAAAAAGAAAAAAATGTGATCTCATGCTGTGTTCATTAACATTTCTTTGCCCCCTTATCTTTCGGTTCATTACAATCTCCCTTTTTTTTGTGTTCAGATAAACGATGCAGAGTGCTTTGTAATGATAGTGTTGTGTTTGCTAGTGATAAGCATCCCTTGCTTAGTTCAGCAAATGCCATGATATTTACCATAAACACTACACCTCCCACATCTCGAGATACAGGAGTTACAGGACACAGTGCATTACTCCTAGATACAGAAAGTCGCTTGCAATGGCCTAGCATGATATTTTCAATCACTATGCAGCATCGCCGACAACAACAGGACCCAAAATTAATATTGATTCATTCCTCCTCGTCCAGTATCCAATATCGGATCCTAAAGGCCGCATTATGTTTTTTAGAACGAATTTCAGGAGTTAGGGCAGCATATTCGACACAACATTCATTTCCGGAAAAAGGCGTTAATCTTCAGCCGGTTCTATTGCACTGCTCCGATAGAGTAATCCAGAATGGGAGAGTCAATATCAGAGAACAGGGAGATGTCAACAGCGATGAAGTGCTCAGACTGCAAATTTCGGCATCGACTATCTCTCTTGAGCCATCTGCACCCATTCAAATTGAAGTCAAAGTTGTAACCCAACCAATGCAACAGGACGCATTTGGAAACACAGAGATGATTCGGAAGGGTGAATCTGTTTTGATGGAAGGACTTGGTTTGGCTCGACAGATGGCAAAGACAGCTGGCTGGACTTGTTTAGCAGAGGATGACAGTCAAATGGTGGAATGGGTACGAGATCAAATGGATATTCAGTGGTCTACGGAGACAGCATCTTCCTTCTCCTCATCTAACGCATTTATACTTCGACCGCTCTCCATTTCTCTGAATGGACTTAATACATTTGTGCGATCACGGACAGCCTCCAGTGCCAGTAGCACTAGAACCAGACCTTCTAGTCTCTCGCCTTATGCATCGCGAACGCAGTCGTACAAAATTAAGCGTCGCGAAGAGCTTGGGCCTGGCATGGGTGACAAACGCGACTCGACCTTGGAGCGTTTGCAGAAAGTTTCAGCCAACCTGCAGACAACAACGCAGGGAAAGGAAAAGTTAGATGAAACCCATTTGAAAGCACCCAAGGCGACCATTGCAGCAACTAAAGGTTCGCTATCAACTTCTTCATCTCCACCCCAGAGACCTGGACTCAAGACATCCTTTGGAGGGTTCTCATCACTCAATGATACACGCATGCAAACATTGGCCCTTGCGGAACAAACAGAGGATCATCTAGGCATGGCACTCTCGAGTGGTGCTACTAATAGTCCCAAAAAACGCTCCTCCGCGGATCAAAACAGCGACAGTGGCAATGGACCTTTTAGCGAAAGTGTGGCCCCCTTGGATCTACTGGGAGCTGAGAACCAAAAACCTGTATCACCTACGCCACACAAGTGGTCTCGGTTCAGCATCAAGAGCTACCAGCTGGAAAGGAGCAATTATGGGCTGAGTAATGAATGGGCGATCGGAAGCGAGGGTCTAGATATGAGTTTGAGCAGTGTTCCTTCAGTTAGCACGGCTGTAGGCGCGATTTTGAGCTCCTCACCCACATCGACATTAATATCGGCATCCAGCTCTGGTGAGTTGATTTCAAGTCTACCTTTGTCTTCAGAGGGTGGGTTTTTAGGAACTGTTTCACCCCAAACTCCAACGCCAGACAATCTCCCGATGACAGATCTCCTCAAAAACATGGATGTATCATCACCACCATCAATATCACCTTCACCTAGTCGCCCAAAACTATTTGACCGCAACACCAACTATAATAAACAATCCGGTAGCGCTGATGATAAAGGGATTGATGATCAATTGTCATCTGGCAAGCTTGGCAGCAGCAGTCTGATTGATAGCAATAGCCGCAAGGGTGGAACTTTCACGAGTCGTTGTGGGGGTGGAGGCGTTACCAGCTTTGGTAAAGGTGGGAGTCATCACCCTTCACCTTTGACGACACCTGTAGAGCTAGTTCATGATTTCTTGGGTGAGAGTTTCACATCATCTACATCCATCTCCAAGCCAGCTCTGTTCTCACGCCCACTTTCTAGGAATGATCTGGCACTTACAATGGAGCGAGTCCAATCCGCCCCCACGGTCCCTAAATCGTCATCGTCACTATCGTCGTCGTCCACTACAAAGACTGTGAATTTTGCAGACATTGAGCAACAAGAACAACAAAAGGATGATAGGCTGTTGAGGGCACATTCTGACCCCATCGTCAGAACTACGACTCTATGTTTAGACGACTCGCTATCATTAGAATCTGATAAAACTCATTCTCCATTGTATTCAATGCAGTCTTCCTTCTCGAAATCCAAAGCGCATACGCGGCGGTCATGGGGACAAGGCATCGGGGGGTATGATATCCAGGGACTTCAAGGACTATCCTGAACCCAAAAAAACATATCCCTTTTCTTTTGCAAAATAAATACGAGACATGTGCATTAGAGTTCAATTTAATTATACCTTGATCTCTCACTCGTTTTCATCTGTTAAAGAAACCTGTACTTTATGCTCTGAAGCAAGACTATCTACAAATTGATAAGATGAGCCAGCAAAAAAAAAAAAAAAAAAAAAAAAAAAAGCTTTTGTTGTGGCTGCTGCTCATGATACTCTCCTAATAATCATGATTTATGTCCGGTGGGGTCTAACAAGGCGAGTGGTGACATCTGGTGGTTGCTCAACAAAGCTCTTGTTATGGAGTCCCTTCTTCTTGTTCATCTCAAGTTCTCGGGATTCAAAGACCTTGTTAGGATCCATCACGGCACCCAGCGCACGCCTCAAACCACGATCCATGTATCCGAGTCCGACCTGATAACTGGCATTCATCCATCCGAATCCCTCTCGTGGAATGAATTTAAAATCAAGACCCACATTTCCATATTCGACTTGCACTCGATGTGTCATATTGACAATGTCAAACTTTTCAGGAACTACTCCATTGAAGTCAACGAATGACTTTGTGATACTACAAGGACATGTACAATATTTATAAAACAAAAAGAAAATTAGTACGATTCGACCACATAGAAAAACACTTCAATGTCAATTTCAATTAGAAAGTTAATTGTGTGCAACATACGTGAACAACCATCGGTAGCAGGTTCGTTTTGCTTCTTCCAAAAAGCCATAACGCTCGAATCCAATCCAGGATATAATTTGGTGAGGTGCCCAGCCGAATGGGAAGTCCCACTGCCGATTGGGCCTTGAAAGAGTGATTATGCCGCGGGATCTTTCTGTACCTGATACCAATCCTCCAGTCACCTCAAACAATGGTAATGCCGATGTCCTACATTCATGCATTAAACATAAAAGAGAAAAAAAAAGAAAAAAAATGAGAGCAAGAACAAAGAATAAAAAGAATGAAGAGACTTTAAGCCTTTGCCATAATACTTACATCATTTTTTCTGCCTTTTCTCGATCTGCACATCCCGCCCACATTGTGTAAAAAGTCGTCACGCTTTCGTATGTACACATTTTCTCCAGACGGGTGTCGTAATCAAAGTACAAGCCTTTGTCTTCGTTCCAACAGCAATGATCCAGTTTCTTTTGACGAATACGAGCGCGTTCAAACCATTCTGCAGATGTATGCATCACAATTGTTGGACGCTCATGGCTGATGCCATCCTTATCCTGATTCCTGGCACTCAAAGTCTCGTAGCTTTCAAAGAATGGGGTCTCAAACGAGTCACCAAAGATGGAATGGATCGTTTCACCAATGTCCATTTCATACTTGTACAAAAGCGCATTCAAGTCCACGGTCGCCAGATCTGCACAGCAGTTATCCAACCTGTACGAGGTATCGTGCCCAGACTCACGGACAGCGCGATCATGCTTGAAATATGTGTCCAATTCGGGCTCAATGACAGTACCTTCGTTGTAGTGTTTGCAGTATTCCTCAATCGTCATATTCATGGCGTCTGCATAAGGCTTGATGACATGATCAAAGTGTGAAGCCTCTGTTTCAGGAGGCATTCCAACGCCTTCACTATAGAAACGAGACAGGCCAGAAACAGGGTCGAAGCGAGGCTCAGACATCCACACTGTGAAATATTCCTTAATCGCTGCTGTCAATGTAAGCGCGAGCCACTGCTTGTTCTCGGCTTCAAGGACGGGCGGTAGTCTGTCATAGACCTTGAGCATCATATCGGTTAAGAACGGTGGCTGGGTTCGGGTGAGGTAATAGCTTCGATTTGCATTCAAAATTTTGCCATAGTGTTGAATCTCGTACACAAAGTTATCTACCATCCCCTTTGCCAGCTCTAGACGACCGTCCACCAAAAGACCCAAGGACTCGAAATACGAGTCCCATCCATACATTTCATTGAAACGGCCACCTGGAACGACAAAGGGAACACCTTTCAACGTTTCGTGCCCCTCTTCATCTACATGCTTAGTCATGGCCAGCGCGAGGATACCAGGCTTATCATTAATCGACTGCACGTATTTTGGGGTAATATCCTTAGGCAATTGCTCGACCTCAAGGTTCAGGTTGGGTTTAGTAACCTTGACATTCTCATAGTACGCCAAGATTTCATCTTCACCGTGAGGAATATAGATCCGGGGAGCTGTGTTTTTGGATCGATTCTTTGGGTCATTCGAGATCATTTCGAGACCTTCTGCATCAATGCGTCGAGTCAGACCATCCCAAAAATGATGACGGATCATACGGGAGAGCCGATCGACGGGATTTTCATTCAGACGCGCCTCATCCAAAACCACGTACTTTCGGCCATAATCCTGAGCCAATGAAAGCTCCTGTAATAGATTACTGAGCATATAGGTGCCACGGACATCATACTTATTGAAGCCTGCAGAATCTGCAGTACCCAATGTAATGACCTTAGGTCCCATATCATTGACTGTGATCTGAAAATCACCATCGGTATCTTCCTGCTCCAGGATCAGTCGCTGTGTCTCTTCTACATCGATAAGAAACCGCCTGGGCTTGATGGCTTTATCATCTGTTGAAGTAATTGTTTCAAATAGTATACAATGTTTGATAAAATACAAGGTGGATAAATGGATCAGCTTTTGTATGACGTTAATCTGTCTCAGGATACCATCGTCTTCCTTTTTTAAACTCATGGTGAGCACACAGATCAGAGTTTCCGAAAGAAAGGAAAAAAAAAATTAAAATAAACCTTACCATGGGACCCTCTTCTCTGACGTCGATACTTTGTATTAGAGCCGCTCGATGTATTGGCATTTTCGGTTGTCTGACTAGTGGACTTGTTAGACTAAAGGAGGAGAAATGCAATCCGGTGAGACAAATTATTTGATTAGATCGGTTATAGTGCATTTTCAGTTTCCATGCACTTGTATTGCGACGTTGTGAGGAAGGAAGGAAAAAAAAACGTAGCAGCTTGTTCACCCTCATCTACTATTCCATTCTTCTCTGCCTTCATAGCAAGGCAAGCTCCCTTCGTCCTTGAAAATTAAATCTGATAGAAGTAAATCAGGAATGAAACCACATGCTCAATCTTTTTTATTTTAAAAGTTAGAAGGATGTTGTGCATAAAGTCGGAGAAATAGTGGATGATCTTACGCTGCCAAGGGTCCTGTTGCGTGAGACGTAGTTTGCGTTAGCGTAGTATTCGTTCGCAGGGACGACTGTAGTGGAGGGAGGGATTGGTAGGTGTTGAGTATCAGTCATCTTTGCTGTCATGTATAAGATAGGAGAATGAAATAAGGAGGATGAGAGGTTTGAAATATGTGCGTGTGAAATGCTGCAGTGCACAAGAAGGGCTCTCAGATAAAAGTAAAAAAAAAAATGGTCTGTGTGTGAATGCGTCTCAAAACACACAATTGTAATGATGATTCACAAGTTGAATTAGAATGTGAAGAATGAGAGGAGAGGGAAGGAGGAAGAAAAGAAGAAAGGAAGAAAGGAAGAAAGACGAGAAAGGAATAGATGAGGAAGAAGAACAAGAACCCAAGAGAAAGGAAGTAAAAGAGGAAAAAACAAAATATTTAAATCCCATCAGAACGCCTTTTTGTATTGTTTACGGGTCTTTTTAAATGATTCATCCAACACTTCACTCCCAGCGTCGATCAATGCTTGTGAAAAGGAGGAAGGACCACTGTCATGAAACCAATGTTCATCATTGGTTCTTTTTGTACTTTCTTGCTTCTTGCCATGCTTCAATCTCATGTCCCCTCACCCTTTTTTTTCCTTTTTTTCTTGACATCCAACTTGTTTAGCTTACTCTGAATCTTGCCCTTGACCATTCTGACTGGTTCTCTGACTCTCCACCAATTGTTTCATCTCAAAATACGATGGTTGTTCAAGCCATATGTATAGCCCGTTTCATTTGGTCATGATACCTTATATTTTTTGAATACTTTCGAGTGTATTGGCAGCCAATTGGCTCGCTTGTTGCGAGTATTGTTGCAAGTCCGTCACGTAGTGAAATGCCACCAGAACAATTCAATCATCGTTTTTAGATTAAAAATATAAGGTATCATGACCAAATGAAATTGGCGATATGCCCATTACTGGTTTCCTCGCGTGCTGGGCTGGATAACGATGTGACACACACATCCCTCTCCTTACCTTTCCTTGATGTAACTTGTGGCTTTTCTTTTTTTTTTTTATCTTTCTATCCTAAGTGGGAACCTTTTTCTCTCTTTCTTTGTGATGACAGTGGTCTTGCAGGGCCTCCATGAAGTCATCATGCGATCAAGATCAAAGAAAAATTTAAGGGTACTAACCTAATTTATAACCTTGACGCGCATTGTCATCAAGATAAAGACCAAAAAACTCGCCTACAACAAAACTCGGGCAACCGTACAAAAAAAATCTACTCTCTTATAAATCTTTGGAATATGTGGTATTAGGGTAGTCTATTGTATATATATTACATTGGCTAATTTCTAGAACTCCATTTACTCATGTAGTCCTCCATAGCTGAGCGCCCAGAACCATGCGACAAGCAAAGCTGTGCCAACCACGTCAATCAACGATGTTCTAAAAAGTAGCAAATTGAATAGCAATTATTCTAAGATTAGTAAGGACAAGAATAAACAATAAATATAAAGCATTATTGGTTTAGTATTTGTGACCACTTACATAATAGGCAGAGCATAGTTATCTGGATCATAGCCCCACTTCCAAAAACCAAGAGTGATCCATTTGGCCATCGCCAACGAAATAACAACAAGGCAGAGCGCTACAAGTGAATATCCAGCCACGGCTGCCAGACCCCATTCGATATGTCCCAATCCCATGATCCCGACGATCGCCAAGAACACAGCCTCGATGGGGATATGAACAAGGAAAAGCGTTCGTTCGGTCTTCCGATAGTTCTCTTTGATATTGATGTGGAGCGAAGTACTAATACGACTTGCATAGATCGACCCAATGTTACCCGTCAATCCGTTCAAGACTGGTGAGATCAGCGCCAGTCCTGGATAATCGGTGATATAACGCTCCAATGTCAATCCTGCAGTCCCTGCAATTACCATTGCTGCGAACACTGGCACCCATCCTTCTTTGGCTACCTCTGACACATACTTATTTCGGCGCACATACACTATCCATGCAGGAATCAGACCCAGTAAAACGACCAGCATAACTACTGGGACCGGAGTGTCTATACATAAAAATAAGGTAAAGTAAAATAAGTTTCTATGCTCATTCCATCCAATCCGTTCCGTGAACTTTTTTTTTTTTGTTGATACAAAGGACCGTCGTCTTACTGATAAATATTTGTAAAAACACAGAACAGGCTGCTAAAATCACCAAAGTGACCAAATCTCCAAAGGACGAGGCTAGTGGACAGGCAATGTTGTCTGGATTGATGTTGTATCGTCGGCAAATCAGGACTAATCCGCACATGAACCCTCCAAGGACAAAGCTACTCATTGCGGCGCATAGCATACTGGCCGTGATCGTGATGGCAACCTCGTTTGGGTTATTAGTAATTGGATGGAGCATTAATCCCAATCCAAAGGAAAACAGACCTGCAACGGATCCTACAGCCAATGATTGCACCTGCAATAATGCTAAATTTCCTTTAATGAACGCATTCCGTGATTGAGCCGTGTCAAGGAGTCCCATGTTGGCCTATTAATGCATTAATATGTCACCGTATCATCTTTATGTGTCAGTTTTGAAAAGGAAGATAGTGATCTACAAGTTTTAAATGGCGTTATTAAATCAAGTTGACCCTTACAGCAGTTGAAAGCCGACTAGCGAGATTCATCTCCAGGTTCCCTTTGAGATTGAGTAGGATAGGGATCAGGATAATCAGTTCTGAGATGTCAACGAAAACTTGCCAGTGCTAGAACAGCAAAAAAAAAAAAAAAAAAAAAAAAAAAAATGGAGAAATAATTCTTTGTCAGGATACACTCTATAATTCCCGTAAAGATAAGAGTAATGCGATTAAACAGATGTGTTGACTGTCAAGCATTTAACTCTCTTATATACCTGAATTACGTCCAGCAGCCATCCTGCGAAGATGAGCCCAACGACAGCAAAGACTAGAGTTGTTAACGCCTGTAATTATAATCATTAAGAGATTATAACGTTAGCGTGCATTCGACTACAGATGTTAGATACCAATGTATACATTTTTTTTTTCTCAGAGCTGACAAAATTTGTGAGCTGGTTTTTGTTATAGAGACTGGCTTTGTCAGCTGTAAAGATCAGCAAAACCGGATGTCAACTACAGTACGATAGGATTCCCATTCTTCTGGCAGATATAAGTTTTGTTAACAGGCTTTTTTGTTTTTTGTTGATGTGCTTTGTTGTTGTTGTCATTGGTGCTATGACTGATGCTGAGGATAGTGGTGGTCTATCTCTACCTCTATCTACTGTAATAACTATAATGCACACTCTCCCAACCAATCCATGTGTTCCTTGCATCCACCTGCCAAAGGAATGCTGTAGAATTTAAGAGGAGCGATGATTCAACGTGCTTACAAACAGCAGCTCCGCCATTTGGCAAAACACTACCCCTTGTCGTATAAATAGATCAACACCATCCAGTAAAAATGAATCGTCTGTTGGGTGGAAGATACGAATAAAACACATTTTGAATGTTGAAAAAAATATGTTCTTCTTACCTGCATCAACAACCCATCATCCTGGCCATATTCCTTTTGATGATATCCAATTCTTCCTTCCTCACCATGTTCATATGATGAGAGCCGAGTAGGTTCAGAGTATTCTAAATTCTCTGTTGTATACTTTGGTGGTGGTGATGAAGGCTCATCGTCATAACTTGTCCCTGTGCCAACTGTTAATATTGTGGGTGTATTTATTGCTGTGAGTGTTATTGTTGTTGCCGAGTCGCTTGCTAGGACGACCGCGGGAGAATTATGAAACGGGGATAATTGGGATGTTAAGGAGCGAACGGCACTGCTGCGTCTTGTTGCTTTGGGCGATGCAGATACAGAAGCTACCCTACTAGTGATTTGTTGCTGAATTATCAAGGGTTCATTGTCAGCTCTATCCTCGCCTTCCTCAAAAGCAGGTGGGAAATGCTGGTGCTGTTGGTGCTGTTGATGCTGCAACTGATCCGAGATAGAGTAAATGGACCGATTACTACTCTGACTCTGCGACCGATGCCGGAAATGTCCTCTTCGCTGTTGCTGATGCTGTTGCTGTTGATGAGGAGATTGATATGGCTTTATATTAGAGCTTTGACTGTCGGGATGGTCACTGTTTTGGGCAAGATCTTGTGAGTTCAAAGGACTATATATCGCTTGAGAAAACGTGGAAGTAAAGAGTTTCGACATGATTTCAACAGGCGGTGTGTAATTAAGGATGGTTGGAAAGATTGAAAATACACCCACGACACCATGCAATTAGGATAGAATTGAATTCTCCTCAGTGCTGCGTGCAAGGATAAAAAATGGAGTAGGATGGTGGTGGTAGTTGTAGTGACTCTTCTACTTGTCCGTTGATGGTGGTTGGTGCTAAAAAAAGGACACTAAAATGACCAAAAAGAGTAAAAATGTCTTGGATGTAACGCGTCCCAAGCAAGCGGATCAAGATAGAGACTATTATAAAAAGTGCAAGCAATATGAACGATTACAGGGTGAATTGATAATAGCAGGTGTTTTCTAAGGTGCGAGATCTTGGAAGTGGGAATTGAAGTAGATGTAGAAAAAAGGAAAAAGAACGGAAGAAGAAAAAAAGTCAAGATTAGAAAAAAGTTGCTCAGATAAAGAAAAAGTTGAAGAGTGAATAAGCTGAAAAAAAAAACTAAAAAAAGGTCTGTCCACTAACCATTGCCCATTTTCTCAACAAGCCTGCAATTTGTATGACAAAAAAAAACCGAATGGGATTGCAAGATGAACAAATGAAGATGAGGGATTTAAAACTCATGATTCCTCTCACTTAATATCAATACCTTTTATTTGATGTGCAACAGATGCCATGTGTTGAATGGCTTGTGTTACTGAACCTGTTTTCAGCATAGTCTCATTTTCATTAATACAATGCAGCTCTAGGGGAGAAGTGGCACAAATGGAACAAATCAAACAGCCTCTTTGGTTTGCTTGTAGCGAGCACTTTCATCATTCACATTTCTGGATTGAAAAAAGTGAGCCATCTGAGCCATTCTGCTGTATCAACCTTTTTTTTTGCCCTTTATCGTATATTTGCAAGCTCATTCTGTGGGATTTTTTTTTTTTTTTTTTTTTTTTGAGAGCAGAAATTTAATCGAAGCGCGATCCAACCCAATAAAACGAAACGGCCGTATTCTTTGGTGTTTAAAATGTTAATCCTCCGCTAACAAAGTTTTCTCTTTGATCGCATTAGGAGATTGATTACTCTCAATCGTGGATCTGCAAAAATCAATCCCGACACAGAAAATAGAAGCGGGAGAGAGGAAATGGGCAGCTGCATGGATGCATTTGTCCTCCCGTGCCCCTAAGAAACAAACAAAGGATCTACAAACTGAACTCTTTTTTTAACAGTGCATATCGAGCACTAGCCTTTTTTTTTTTTTTTTTCCACCTCACATTCATCCAATTGATTTTCGATTGAAGCTACCAAAAAAGACATTCTGGATAGCGCGACTATATCCCCCATGGAGCATTCATCGCGTTATTATTTTTATCTCTTGTTTCGTTTATAGTGGGAGTGAGTGTGCATGGAAATAAAAATAAAAAAATAACAAGGGGCGTGACTTATTTATTAGATAGCAATATATAGTAAGCATTTAGGCATTTAATATAGGTGCTGCTTAGACCTTGCGTTCGAGATCGCCTTTGACTTCGTTGGCATGACCGCGAGCCTCCATCGATGTGTTGCCTGTCAGTGATCCAACAGTCTGTTGGACCTTGCCTTGGGCTGTGTGGCCTGCTCCCTCAGCATGTGTCTTGGCATCGGCTGCAGCTTGACGAGCCTCAGCTCCGGCTCTCTGCTCGGCTCCTGAGGCTGCGAGGCTATTGTTTCCGATAGTCTCTCCGACAGTCTGCTTGGCGCCTCCGATGTACGAGTTGGCAGTGTTAGAGATACGATCAGAGATGTTGTTAGACATGATGAAAAGTCGTGGGTAGTTGGTTTAAGAGTTTCTTTTGCTTTTGGTTGTTGTAGTTGCTTTTGTGGAGTGGGTTGAAGTTGAAGTTTTGCATCAGCGAGGACCATCCTCTTTTTATACCTTTTTTCCTCGACGGACCTGTTCATCAATATCGATGATGATGACAATGACAATGATAACGATGATATTGATGATAGTGGTGATGATGCTGGTGACGATTGTGAGTGTCTTTGGATTATGATTTCGGAAACAATACTTATCATAATGAGATCATTGCATTCAAGTGACATGGTCTCTTGTTGGCATAAATGTATAGCAGTCTAGAATAATGACAATGCATCCCCGATTGTCAGGTGATAATATATATCAAAGATTACAATAGACGTCGGGTTCCCAGGTTTCCCACGTTCTTCTAGCACAGATACTTATTAATTTAGCAAAATCGATTGCTGAGGAATCCAGCAAGAGATCTTGAGTGGGGGACCTCAGAAAGTGTGACAGTTTCACTACTGTGGCTCCCAAAGTATAGTTTGTATCCAAATGTGACGGACAAACGATCAATCAAGCAACTCAGGCACAGTAGAAAATGAGAAGGCGCACGGTTGTCGACATACTGTTCTGTGCCATCCTTTACATCACATCAGACATTCATCACATTAGCATCATTCCTATGGTCGTACACATTCAACACTAAAAAAAAAGTAAAAAAGGTGCAAACTCTCTACGCCACACGCGTTACAACTAAAGTGCAAATTCTGTCTGCAATTGGTCCCTCCTTTGTACAGCATGGCTGCCACTTCTTCCAATACACCTGTCATCACTGCTGTGTCACCTGCCCTTCAAAGACCAAGTCCGATACAGCAACAGCATCGCCGGCAACAACAGCAGAAAGAAAGACACCAGCAGGAACAGCAGCTGCAACCATTACAAAGACAATCATCGCCGTATACCGGAGCCAAGGACAGTGTACATCCCATCTCACCATCACAATCTATTGACCTCAAGACGTCTGTTGCTGTGGCAATTGCTTCAAGACCCACAATGCTAAATCAGAGTCAAGTGCAGGGACAAGAGCTTGGGCAGCAGAAGCAACAGCAGCAAAGTCATATTCCGCACAACCTGAAACTATCATCTCCGCCGCATCAATCCCTTTCTCCCCAACAGAGTGGTCAAGGTTCGAGTATATTGGCTCTACCTCCAAAGGTAAGCAATCGATCAAGAGTGCAAGCCTACAACGAGTCTATGCACTACCTTCAATGTTTATGTCTCCTTTTCAATAAAACCAGTGTGGAATTTGAATGAGCTGTGATCATGAATCATAACTTGGAATTAAGATACGTTTCGGCTGATACAGTTACTTAACCAAGCAGAGAGGGTGAAGAGAAATGATATTTTTCGTTATATGTTAATTAACCGACCATGATTTCTGCTTCATATCCTTTGCACCTGTCAATCAGCTGCAAACAAGTGCTAATGTTAGTCCAAGTCCTAATTTGAGTCCAAGTCTGAGTCCGAGTCCGAGTCCAACACAGTCGCTTCGTTCTAACAATGTTATGACCAGCAAAACGCAGCACGAACAGGCTTCATTAATTCGGCAACAGGGTCGAGGACAAGAGGAGGGGCAGACACTAACACAAAGACATAGGGACGGGAATGGGCATAGATCACCACCAGGGAATGTTCCACGTAGGACGAGCTCTCCTTTAGTCTCGCCTTCATCACCTCTTGCTCAATTGCCACCACTTGCATTTGCACCAAAATCAACTGCAGCCCCCAATACTACCATTAAGTCACTAGCTGACCACTCTACAACAGTCCCCAAACCCCGCCCTATTCCACCAACACTGCCACCTGCAAGAGCACATGGAATTCACGCACGCGCAATACCTCGGCCGCAATCCAACGCACCAAACCCGCCGATGTCGTCTACAATCGTCCCTTCTCCTGTTACTGAAAATGGAGCAACACTGTCTACCGGGAAGCAGGCGCCTCTTTTGCAGTCATCAGGGACTCGCGAGCCAATATACCCTGCTCCAACACTTCAGGCACCCCAGCAGGCTCATCAGCCTAGGCAAAGACAATCAGCATCATCTGTCCGATCCCCTTTGGATTCAAGTGCTCATAATCGTCCTACACCACCACCACCACCACCACCAGCTCGCCATCTGTCTAACGTATCGGTGCCTGATGTGCAAATATCGAAAGTTAGTACAAAAGATAAGATGCTGATAAGTGGGGTTGTTGATGTATGTTCAAACACTAAATCTAATTTAAGCTTGAATCAAAAGGAGAATCTGCTGCACAACTCACTGGATCCAGATCTCGAAGATGATGAGGGCGAAGATGAATATGAGGGTGAGGACGATGAGAGTGAGGATATCAGGAAGGTAGAGAATGAAAAGACAAAGAGGTCGAAACAAAGAAAAGTTAGAAAGAGTTTTGAGAAGCTGGCGAGGCTTTCAATCGAAAAGAGGCGAAAGTCACGTCAACTAAAGCCTCTGACTCCTATATCATCGGCTTCGTTATCACCAGCTGCTGATTCCACTGTAAAAACTGAGACAGTCGTTACACTGCCAAAGAGGCAATCACTGTGGGCGTCATTATTCGGAAACGGTACATATTTTGATGATCTGGGAACTTGGACAAGAATCAACATGTCTTTGTTCATCGAAACAACACACTTACCCCTGGCCGTATCTTTATCAAATGTTTATAGGGAGGACAGAGTCTAGACCGTCGCTTGCGGATTCTCTTGTTAGGGGCAACATATCAACACAATCTTTGGGTTCCCTTGGAAGTCAAAGCAAAGAGCAGTCAGGAAAGGGTACAGGAGGTACAGTATCGCTTAATTCACCAGTCTCACTACGATCTGATGGAAGTCTCTCTGAAGTGTCGACCGAATCAAATCGGCACTCTGAACTTAGTGATTCAGCAGTCCTGCCTGAGCAATTTTCATCTGGTGAATCTGTCAATGAGCCCATAGCTGCTTCCCGTGCTGATACCGACGATGCATCACAGGTAAATATTGTCCGACATGAGCGTTCGCGAACTTTACCTGGTATAATACCCCAGTGGGATGCCAGCATCTTATGGTCCTTGACAAGAGCTCTCAATGCCAAAAAGTCGACTGCCCCACCGCTACAAAGCGACAGCAGCAGTGACAGTGATATCAGTGCAGAGACTGCCACGGAGGGTGAAGATGATTTCGAGAATGACACCAGAGCTTCTGTGGAGACGGATCATGCCAACTCGCAGAAGCCGTCATCATCTAACGCCGACAACGTCTCTGAACAAGCTGCAGGAAATAAAAGTCCAACGGGAGTGTCGGATAATTTGCCATCTTCTCCAAGCATTCCGGCAAAAGCAGCACTGTCCGCTTGGGCCAAGGAAAGGGTTATAGTTGCAGAAGCACAAGTGCAAATTGGGGATGATATGGATGACGACAATCCATTTACAGACTCCCACGCTTTGCCTGGGACACCCTCTGGTCGCTCCAATACCTTCCATGGTCAATTCTCTGCTGTCAGTAGCTCACCGGGATCTTCGCCTTCTTCACTTTCGCCACTTTCTTACCTCACTGGATCAGCAAGCACAGGCTCAAACTGGTCTCTACAAGGATCCCGAAAATCACTCATGAAAATGATCTTCAAATCTAAGAACGAGTCATCATCCGTAGGAGGCATAGAAGTTAGTGGCAGTAGCAGTCCACAACCAAATGTTGAGCAATCTCATCCAAAAGCCGGGGGATCTTCAAGTTCAGCTAGCCCATCGATGGCTAAACAGCCACAAATCGACTTATTTTCAGACTTTGAATCCTCAGTATTGCCGGATATCACATTGGACGTACAAACAAAAGGGATGAAGCGTCGTTCTTATGTCATTCCCGGAGCTTTCCCCGGTCAGGAGCGCTCTTCAGAGGATCATTCATTGGGATCTGGGCCAGAATATGCACTGGCACATGTGCCAATGTATGCTACGTCTGAGAATGAGTTACTGGTTATTCCTAATCCAGAAGAAGTGCAGTATGGTAATAGTAGCGACAATAGTGATTATCATGAAGAGCGAGAAGTGAACCAGTTTTCTGACAGCGATTCAAGTTCTGAGCAGGAGGTGATCAGCACACAACCTGTTAAAGCTTCCTATGAACGAGCCTCTTTTCTTCAAGGACATCTTCCTCGATTCAACACTGACTCTTCACCATCTTTTCATCGTCATCAGTCATTATCGTTGTCACAACAACGAGCTAGCTCAATTGCGTCTGTAGTGAAGGAGCAAGAGGCACCCGTTGACTTTGAGCCTTTGCATATCGAAGTTCACTCTACGGCAACAGTTGTATCAGGGGACTCTGCTCAAGGATCAGTCCACACTAAAGTCCAGAGCACTATGAAAAAAAGATCAAACACAATCAGTACAATCGGACAGGAAAAGGCTTCACCTTCTATTCTGGCCCTGGATCCGACTCCTAACGCCGTAGGAGGATCGCTATCGACCCAAAAGGCGCCTGTCTCATCTATATCATCACCAAAAGCCCAGCCTTCGCTCTCAATCGCGCCTGATACTAAGCAGAAGACGCCCATCCACATACCTAGCATTAGGGATGACAAGGAGGACACCTTGGACAGCCCTATTGACTATTGCAGATACAAGGAAGAAATGGCAGAATGCGGCACAAAGAGCCTACAGTCAAACCAGAGGCATTTGCAGCGACCTACCAACACACATCGTGGGTCTATATCGGATACAGAATCTATAGAAAGCTTACCGTCAGACCAGACCAACGAAGATTCGCCTTTGGTAGTTGAAGTCATCTCTTCAGGATTGCGCACATCCACAGCTAGTGAACGTCCAGTATCCCCATCCATCTTAGCCGCCTCAAAACAAATGCGTACTTCACATATACAAAGCGCCTCAACTTTGACATCTCAGCCACAGATAAAAAGCAATCCCCCGCCTCTTCCTCCGCCACGCAACGCTAGACGACCTCGATCCAAACCTTCTGGCCGACATACCTCTACAGAGAGCATGCACACACCAGTTGACCATCACTCTATTTCCTCAACAACAGGAGGCTCGCCTTTTGAAAGACTTGATAATCATGAGACTTACCTAGTAACATCAACTGGAGAATATCCAAGAGCATTGGGTCCAATGTTTGAGGGCCCAGCAAGGGAGCAAATCATGGAAGAAATGGGCTCTGACCAGGCGCGGACCTTTAATGAAGAAGATTATCTCTACTGCCAGAGTCGACAGGAGCTGCGATCTGGCAATGGCCAGATTAGCCGTGGCCAATCATATGGGCAGCCATATGAGATAGAAAAAAGCACATTTGATCCTTCTCCAGAGTATACGAGAGGTCAACAAGGCCAGTCAGCAATGCAGATCCAATCTCAGCAAAATTTATTGCAGGATGCATGGTTTTCACAATGTAACATCGCTTTAGATCCGGCCAATGACTCTGCTTTGGTGGCAACGTTGCGTGAACAAATTGCCTCCTTGTCGAATGAACGAGACCAATTTTACAATGAAACTTTGCTGTTGCGGCAGAAGCATGAGATGTTGACTAGCCTTGTCAATAACATGGGCGTTGCGGTGGAGACGATTCAACAGCAACAGATCCTTCAGCAGCTACAGCAGCAGCAGCAACAGCAATATCAGTCATTCTCGCAACCAAGTGAAAATTCTGATCTGAACGCTATGTCGAACATGATGATGGCGTCAGGTGATGTGTTGGATGAATCTTTTTACAACAATTACCTTCCTTCGAATGGCCATAATGACTATGGTTTCCCAGACCCACAGCAACATTCCCAAGTGCAGCCGAGGCGTCACCACGATGACACTGCGGTGCATTACATTGAACAGACAGCACAAGCTTTGGATAACGCTCAGCATCTCCAGTTTGAATTTGCGCATCCTCCTTCGCAGATCGAGCACGACCCGTACCCTATTCTACCTCAACAAGAGGAGTCGCAATTTCAGCCTCGACGCAATCATTTCCACGATGCCGATCAATCACAATCTCATCACACTAACAAGTCTCAACAGCGCTCTGCTGAATACCTGATTCAAATGCCACGTAGCTCCGAAGACTCAGTGCTAGGGTCCAGCCAATATCAACAAGATCAGACGACCGACCTGACGCCAAGCCAGGATTTTGGTAGTACTCACAATGCTACCAATACAGCCGACCCTTCGACGTATGGACACGGAAGTAGCTATACAAACCCGCTTGAGAGCCAGCAGGCATGCGATAGCCATCAGTCTCAGCTACCGTCGCTCCAGGGCCCTCCGATGAGCTTTGGGGAAGGATATGATTTAATTCCTACAGGTGATAGCGATAGTCAAGTATTGGTAACGGCATTAACATCAGGTGATCATTTGAATGATCATTTTGCTCATCAACAACATCAGCAAATCGAGGATGAGCAGCAACGAGCAGGATTATCACTGAAGCAGCTGAAGCAACAGCATCAGGGCCATCAGTATCGTCGCTCCATAGATACTCATTATAGCAGCCAAAGTAGCCAGGATGGATACCAATTATTGGACATTATAACTACAAGACCTATGCCGGGAGGAAATATCAATGTTGGCCAAGATTTTGTAGCCCCTTCTAGTTCAAGTGCAGAGTATGCTTATAGTGATAGACAATTGCATGAGTCTGACCATGGAACTGATCATGGATATGGATCGCTCAACCCATATGCCCTCCACTTTACTTCCGCTCGCCCACTGTCGAATCACGAACAGATCCAACACCCTGTGCATCTGCAGCAACCAGAGCTATCACATAATGCAGGATCACATCTGCGACGGCACCACTCTATGCATCATCCACAATCAGTCACACGTCAAGTAGCTAGCCTTGACACTAATCAACCCCAGCATCAGCTCTATCTCCAGCAGCAACTACATTACCAGCAGCAGAATGCTCAGGCAACACACCAACCACGGCCTCCAGTGTGGGCGCCCCAGCACTTGACTCACTCAAATGCATCTACAAGCATGCACCGACGCCAACCCTCTAACCAACAGCGGGATTCGTCTAATTTGACTAATTCGTCAGCAAATACAAGTGCAGGCCTGCTCTTGCTCTCCACTCCAACGTCCTTCATGAATGTTACGGACTCTCCTATGATATCGTCGTCAACCTTATCTGGCGCTTCTGGTGCATCATCTGATCCATTGTCAGTGCTTTCTAATGTCGTACAACAAGAGAAAGTTCGGGTGGGTGAGAAGACATCTGCACAGAATGGGGCAGCGGGCTGGTCAGAACGCCCGTTTTCGCCCATTTTGTCCAACACTATAGAGACCCGTGACTCCGCAACCGCAGTCGGCAATAACAATACCGATAACCAACACATGAGTAGTTTCACAGCAGCCGTGATGGCTATTGAAACCACAAATGAGGCACAAAATACAAATGCAACCAGATCACGAGTGCTAACAAAGGAGGAGACGGACAAAATCCGACAACAGTTTGATAGCTACCTTGCAGACCCCAAGCGCAAGAACAGACAGATAGAGGTGGATACGGAGTCTAAAGTATTGTTACAGGAACATGAGCATGAGCATGAGCATGAGCATGGGCTGGTTCGATATAATGAACGTAATCGAGGATACGAACCATCAGCAGATACGGCCTCTAATTCTGAATCGGATGCTGATCATACGGATAATTACAACCACAAGGACTATAGCCGAAAACAATTTGTGACTACTCGTCTCATGGAGCTCACACTGACTTCAGGATCCAGCTCGCTGAGCCGAAGTAAGACTATCGCCAGCACAGGTGTGAGCACTCGAGGAGCACGAGGGCATTCACATCGTGCTTCTGGTCAGTTCAGCCTTCAAAGTAGTGGGAGTAATGCTTTATTTACTAATGGCAATGGCAATGGCGATATAAATCAGCAAGCGACCTCGCAGTTGGCAAAAGATACTCTTGTTCGACATAACTCGAGTTCAGGAAGCCTGCGTTCTGTACCTAGGCATAATGAGCAAAGGCGGTCCGAGTCTTTACGTCCCGAACTTGGAAGCGGCTCCCATAAGGTAGACAACAACGATAGTAATGAAGAGAGAACAGCTCTTCACGTACGGACAACTGGACATGTAGAAGATCATAGGCTAAGGCCAGGTACTACACTCGATAAAGGAAGTAGTACGACGAAATTAGTTGCTCTGGCTACCCAATACCCGCTACCACCGCCACCAGCACTAGCATCAGCATTGTCACATACGCCTGTTCAAAACCAGGGTGGTCAAAACCAGAACCAGCAACAACTGTCTAGTCGCAAGCTAATAGCGCCGCTACGGCCGTCAGCGAGCTACAAGGTTCCTGTTGATTCCCCTATACCACTTCCATCGTCTTCGACGTCCTCCATGTCGTCGTTGAATCTGTTGACATCAAGCTCAAAGACAGTCTTGGATGAAGAAGGCGGAGATTTTGGGCTCCAGGCACAGCCTCGGCGGTACAATAGTGTGAAGTTGGGCATGACGGGGGTTACAGGAGTCACTCGACGAGCCATTGGACGTCCTGTGGAACGAGGCCATGGTATCGAACGTGGTCCTGAGGATTGTGTGTAGATTATAAGAGAGATATATAAATATATGCCTTTGTGATGTCAAGAAATAAATGGTTTAGACTTTCTTTAAGAGAGATGATATCTGAGGAATGTGTATAACGCTATCTTTATTTCATTTAGATACATTAAAGCGCAGGTTCCGTATGGGGATTGTGGACGACAGGCTTGTCCCAATTTGCTGGTATATCGCGTGCAGAAAACACTGATGACATGGTGGCACTGATAGGGGTATGTGGGCTTCTAATTGGGACGCTGCTTAAAACCTCACTGACTAAGGCATGTGGATTGTTCATAGGGACATTATTGGTAGATGGTCGAGAGCGTGTTGGAATAGAGGGTGGTGACTGAGAGGTATTATGATTACTATTATCGATATCGTTGTTTATATTATTATTATGTGCGCCACTATTACATTGTCCAGTCATGTTGTGTTGCTGCTCTTCAGTACCGGCTGTAGAAGTAACGAAGTTGGGCCGAGGATGGGCTGTGAACTTGAATTGCTGCTGCATCTGTGCTTGCAGTAGAGGATCAGCGAGGACAGTTGTGGTGATCGGAGCGGACGAATACATAGAGAAGGGTTGACTAGTTATATGAGTGCTCATCGGTGTCGACACAGGCGTGCTGATAGTCATGGTATTGATTGCGGAACTTCTAAGAGGATCATCATATAATGAGTTGTAAGGTCGTTTCTGCAGGTCGGAGGGTGTTTCAGCGATATATTTTGCGTTATCCAGTCCTGTTGAATCTTTTTTCCTTTTTTCTTCTTTTTCTCCTCTTCGCTTCAACACGACTCGACGATAATAGCCGAAATAAAATGCGATTGTAAGCGCCACCCCCAATGCGGCAACAATCCCGACAATAAGTCCTACAGGAGTCGATGATGAAGAATTAGGTGGACCATTGGCTGGTAAGGTTTTATTACTAGCAGCCTCCGTAACATTGACTTGAAAATCCCATCTTTGCCAGAGTCCAGCGGCACCTCCACTCAAGTTCAAGGTCCTAAGCGTGGCTGTGCGGTTAGCATTATTATTTCCGCCCTCAAACTTGGTCTGGACAAGAGCAAACGCAAGTTCCAAGTTTTGACCTCCAACGGGTAAAAAGATTTCGATCGGGTCTTCAGGCGGATTTGTTATATCGCGAGGAAGATCCATGCGACTGGCGGAGTTTAGATCAAAAGAGCCCACACGGCTTAAAGTGTTGTTGCATATGATGAAGTATGAATTGGCAAAAATGCCAGAACGGCCGTTCTCATTAAAACAGTTATTCATTACCGAGACATCATAGGGTTGTTGAGGCGTTTGTTGAGTCATGTTTGGGAAGTTGAATGGGACTTTAAGTAGATTGAGGTTGACTACATCGGGAGAAGATGTTTGGTTCCCGGACAGAAAGTAGAGATAATTATTAAGATAGTTCACATTATATAATGTCCCGTATCTGCTGGCATCCTACATTCAAAGAAAGAAGAAGAGAATGATCAATAAACCGTGAGTATATATAAAAAAAAAAAAAAGCTAAAAGTCAAAGAAAATAAAGCGATATAATGTCTATAGCAAATATAACTAAGTTGAAGACTAATTAATACTTACGAACGACCAGCTCTGTGCTGTCGCCGTTGTCATTTGCAAATTTTCATCCAAGTATCCAAATTGAACTATACTGGGACTAGAACCCCGGTATGCATGGACAGGAGTCTTATTTGCCAGGAACAGAGTTGAAAAAGAAGATTTTTGCGGCCATGTGTATGCTGAATTGAAATCAATCGTTTTCCACCCACCATCTCCCGTAGAGCTGTTGTTAGGATTAGGATGAGATTTGCTATACTGAACACCCCCGAGTCCAGGTGTTTGTGATGGTGCTTTGACGACTTTGGAACCAATGTATGTGAAAACACCCTACCAACAAAAAAAAAAAAAAAAAAAAAAAAAAAATTAATAACCATCTTTTTAATAATGACAGTTTTGTATTAAAAAGCAGTTCTTTTTTTTACATCAGTGTCTACTGAGCATAAATTATCGTCCTGTGACTGGGATATATCGTAAATAGCCGAGACTCGAACTTTGGAAACAATTGTCCAAGAATAAGATGCAAGAGTGGGTGGTCTCTGGTTGGACTGGACGAGGAAGAGCAACTTGTCATCCCCTGCATCAGCCCCTTCGGTAGCCAGACCATATACTGAAATTCCATTGTAAGCCGCACAAAGGAGTTTGAATTGATGGGTAGTCATGACATGTATGAGGTTTTATAAGTAATAAAGGCTATATTAAATTAAAGACAGTTATGTTTATTAAAGGTGATGAGAGAGAGGGTGGGAATGAGGGTGGGAATGAGGGTGGGAATGAGGATGGGAATGAGGATGAGAAGAGAGTGGCAACGAGGAGAAAGAGAGAGATAGAAAGAGAGCCAAAGCGTAGTGCTCTCGCCACTGGAATGCACGGCATGCATTTTACTAAGATTGCCTTTAATAAGTCTAATGTGAATATATTGGGCGGTGCAGGATAACTTTAACTCAACCAGAGCGACAAAGCGGCGTCCTCCAACGGAGACATGAACATATTCAGGGTAATTAGCATTTACCGATTATCAGATGAAAACTATTTACAATTCACACAACAGCCTTTGGGTAAGGCAAGATCGACCAACTATCCATGCACTGCTTATGGATTGATTTCAAAAATGAATCATATTATGTAGTATACAGCAACTTTCTTTATTAATGGATGCTAAAGGAGAGCTTTCAGAAAGATACAGGAAAAAGAAAAAATGGAAAAATGGAAAAACGGATACTAAGTGGATAACAAGGAATATAATGCAATGCAAATAAGATGCAAATAAGTGAATGAAAAAAAAAAAAGAACAAAAAGGCGTTAAGGTGTTGGATACTATTTCCTCCTAAGTATGCCTTCTCGTTCCTGTTTCCTGCTACCTCTGCTTGAGGATCCTGTTACTGTTGCCGTTGCCGACGACAGTACCTTCGAGCACGGAATCGGTCTCGGGCTGGGTCATGTACGAGCGCATGCGTTCCATCTCCGCCTGACTGTTGGCTTCCAGATTGAGTGGTTTCATGACCTTAATCTTGATCTTCTTGTACACCTCTGCGAATATAATGAAGATTACCAGCGACACCAAAACAAGTCCCCATTCGTACGAGATGGCTGAGTGCTTGAACACATTTCGGTTAAAACCGGGGATGTACAACACCGGGAAGACCAAGAGGGCACCGATTACAATACTGAGCCAGAGCATCTTGTTATGCTTCAAGGTCATAAGGTTCTTAATGCTCCATCCAGTCTCACGCAAAGCACGGCAGTTGACAGCGTGCGCAAGGATCAAAAGCGTCATGCATGCATAAGACGTAGCACGGGCACGGAACACACCTTCGCATGAGTCGGACCAACGCGAATTACAACCAGTTCCACGTTCGCCATTGTTAAATCCAAACACTACAATCGAAAATGAGGCAAACGAAAGAGCCCCCATCACCAATCCATACACAAATGTATCCATAACGACCTCAAACGAGAAGAGACCCTGCTTAGCCGAACGGGGAGGCTCGCGCATATTAGACTCACTTGGGGGTTCAAGACCGAGACCCATAGCAGGGGGTGAAGAAGTGATCATGTTCAAAAATAGAATTTCGACAGGGCTCATAGGGAAGACGGCATTGCCTTCTCTGTCCTTGAAAGCAAGACCAATAATCAAGACAACAATCTCAGCGACATTAGCAGACTATTAAAAAAAATAAAATAAAATAAAAATAAAAAATGTTAAGAATCATGTGTGTCAAAACTTGTATGCTATTCAATAGTTCAATTGTTAGGAAAAGATCCCAACATACCATTAAGTGTTGCACAAACTTTTGGATGTTTGCAAACATGCGGCGACCCTCGGCAACAGCCTTGACAATTGTTGCAAAGTTGTCGTCTGTTAATACAATATCCGAGGCTTGTTTAGCAACATCCGAGCCAGACTGGCCCATGGCAATACCAACATTGGCGGCTTTAAGTGAAGGGGAGTCGTTGACACCATCTCCAGTCATTGCAGCAAACAAATTACGCCGATGAAGCGCAGCAATCATTTTGACTTTGGTGTTGGGCGAGCAACGGGCAACGACACGAGGCAGCTCTGGCAATTTGTCAATATCCTCGTCCGACATAGCATCGAACTGAGCTGCAGTCATAATCAAAGGATTATTAACAATAGGGACATCTTCAGGGATAATGGCGACCTCTTTGGCAATCGCTGCTGCGGTCGAAGGGTGATCTCCCGTCAACATGTGGACACGAACTCCAGCCTCATAACACTGAAGCACAGCAGGGCGAGATTCCGCACGAGGCGGATCATAAATGCCGACCAAGCCAAGGAAAGTCATGTTGGACTCCACTTCATCACGCTCCAGCCCATGTACCAGATCAACACCAGGAACGGCTTCAAACTTACGATAGGCCAAAGTTAAAACTCGGAGGCCTTTCTCTGCCAAGGTGTCCATATTGTCAAAAACCATTTTCTCAAATCGAGCGCGATCGCCACCCTTTTCTTCCTCAAGCCTATGCTCAACATTACCCTCGCGCCAGGAGGTGCAAGATCCAATCACACGCTCGGTAGCGCCCTTCATGAAGATGTAGTGATCACCGGGTGAATCGGCTGTAGGAGGTGCCTGGAAGAGAACAGACATGCGTTTAACACTAGAGTCAAAAGGGAATTCGCACACCAGTTTGAATCCTTTCTCGACAAGGTCAGGCTTGGACAAACCAGCTTTATGAGCCAAGACCTGAAGAGCAATCTCAGTGGGATCACCGATAGCTGTCCATTCGCCATGCACCTCAGGATGATTTGTACGACGGATTTCTGCCATGTTGCAGAGAGAAGCGGCTTGGATAAGGCGGGTATAATGATCAGAGCCGGCGCCTACAGGGACAAGCTCCTCGTTGGTTTGAGATGCGTCCTGGATCAATCTAACTTGACGATAGATTTCGCCCTCAGGGGAAAAGCCTGTTCCTGTAATTCTATGGAAGCCCTCGCCAGGGATCCACATACGGACAGCAACCATTTTAGACTGAGTTAATGTTCCGGTCTAGAGAGAAAAATAGCATAATAAATAGTTGTTAAGATTGATGGTTCAAAAAAAAACAAAAAAAAAAAACAAAAAAAGTGATGCTTAATGACTACATACCTTGTCAGAGCAGATGTTGGTGACAGCACCTAAACTTTCCAAACTAGAAAGACGACGGACAATGGCCTTGAAGCCGGCCATGCGGCTTACACCGAAAGCCATAGTCAGCGTAACGACAGCAACTAGGCCTTCAGGAATGATGGCAATAGATACAGAGATGGCGTAGATGGCCGCTTCGCTCGAATACTTGAACTTATGGACGCCGAACACAATGATCACCAAAATAATAGCCGCCAGGAAGACAAAGTAGGCCATCTTATTTAAACGTTTCTGTAATGGGGTCTGCTCGTTACTATCAACGCTCATAAGCGAAGTCGCAATTTGCCCAATCTGCGTCTTCATTCCGGTGTTAGTCACGATGCCCTTAGCACGGCCTTTGACAACTGTGGTTGAAGCAAAAACCATGTTCACACGATCGCCGAGAGCTTCATCTTCCTTCTCGATCAGCGACAGATTCTTTTGTACCGGCAGAGACTCTCCAGTCAACAAGGCTTCATCAGTCTCGAGGTTAAAGACCTCGAACAGACGGCAATCAGCACCAATAACATCTCCATCTTCAAATATCATAATATCACCAGGGACTGCCTGATTGTTGGGAATAGTGATACGGGTTTCATCACGGATGACCTGAGCTGTAGGTGAGGACATGTTACGAAGAGCCTCCATTGTCTGTTCAGCATTAAACTCTTGCCAGAATCCGATAGCAGCATTCATGACGATGATGAATAGGATTACACCTCCTTCGGCAAAATCCTTCGTTGCAAATGCCAGGATCTGTTACAATGACGACATTAAAGATATTTGTTAAGGCAGCGAACTAAGGACAAGCTAGATGAGTGTTCATGTAATGTGAAATTCATATTGCTGTCACTTACCGATGCAATCGTGAGAACAGCGACGAGAACATTAGCAACCTGGCGCAGAAGCACCTTGTACCACTTGACACCACCATTGCCTTCTAGCTCATTGGCCCCATAGGTTTTGAGACGAGCATCAGCCTCTTCAGAGGAAAGACCTTCGACAACGGAGGTCTTGAGGTGAGCAGCGACCTTGTCGACTGTATAGGTGTGATAGGGAGTCTCGGGTTCGAGATTGACTGTTTTCTTCTTACCCATACCTTTGGCAAGAATACAACCTTTGTAAATTTAATTCACAAAAAAGTTGAATATGAGGATGTGGAAATATGTATGCAGTGAAATGGAAATGAAGGAAAGAGGAAATACGCGAAGGTCGACAGATTTGCTTAGTCTGTATGATAAAGGGAGAAGGTGGATCAGACAGAATGGCAAGAAAGAGAGAAAAGAAAGAAGAATAGAAAAACGTGCTTATATGCAAAAAAAAAAAAAAAAAAAGAACGAATCGTTTGTAATACACTAAAGCATTTCAATCAGATATATTTTATTTTTTAAATTATAAGCCATTTCTAATCACACAATCCGTTCATCGTGTTTAACTTTGCATCGCTCAACAATGCAACTCCTTGATCTGTTTGTAGACTTCTCTGGAAAAAGCAAGCTTCTTTCGGCCCTCCATTTTAACATTATCCATCCTTGGCATGATAGATGTTGGTAGTGTTTTGATCAGGGTGGTTTTTTTTGTCATACTAAAAGTACAATGCCAACTGCTTCGCAGCCTTTTCTTTTTTTTTGCCCTTTTGTTTTATTAAAAGAAGGGAGTGACGAACTCCATTCATTCAAGATCTCGGTCCTACATTCCACCAATACATTTGTTACTTCACAACTCCATCGACACCTTTTTTTTTTTTTCTATTTCTCGCGCCTCGAAAAGTATGTATGTTTAGCTTTGATACAGCTACTCTTTCATCTAGACTGTACCGTCACTCTTAAGAACCGAAATAACCAACCAATGCATGATTATCCATGTATCGCCAATTTTATTTGGTCACGATACCTTATATTTTTAATCTAAAAACGATGATTGAATTGTTCTGGTGGCATCTCACTACGTGACGGACTTGCAACAATACTCGTAACAAGCGAGCTAATTGGCTGCCAATACACTCGAAAGTATTCAAAAAATATAAGGTATCGCGACCAAATGAAACGGGCTATATATACTAGTCAACTTTTTGTTTTTAAAAGCTTGAAATCTTGCATCAGCCCACTGCAAATAAGAGCAGATGTAATTTCTAGATATGAAAACCATTTCCGCGCTCTATTTAATGAAAGCTTTTATCGTGCACTGTCAATGGTACCTCCTTGCTTGACAAGAGACCAACCTTTGATCAAACAAACAAACAAAAAAAGAGAAAATGGGAGAAACAGAGGACAGCAGGATCAAAGCAACACTTTTTTTTTTCCTTCCAAATCAAAGCTGTTGTAAAAAAAATAGTATTGTATACTAACATGATCTTCAGGTAAAAAACACAGTTGTATATACAATGTCGGTTCCTTTTTTTTCCATTTTTTGTTTTTTATTCTTCCGCTCACTGACTTGTTTTCTAAACAGAAGATTAAGGAGCAAATGCGGACGGCACAGGTCATGGTGGGAAGAAAAATGAGCGAAAGGATTTGTTTATAGTTGTGCGTTTTAAGGTTTAAATAAGGCAAGTTTTCGATTGAATTAGCGTATAGGAGAGACAATAAGCCAGTAACTCGGTAAGAGGTACACACCTGCCTAACTGAGTAAAGCAACCAGCCCTCCAAAGTAAGGCTTGTACGTGACTCTACCGGGCCCACCACTGTATACTGTACATAATCTAAAATATTCAAAATTGATTTGATTCACTGGAGTATAACCACATCACCTAAACATAAAACCTTGAGTTCAACAGAGATCGACATCAACTTGTACTCTCGTTGTCTATTCAATATACACCATAGAATCATGGAAAATATATATGCATCTTCAAAGATGTACATTATGATAACGAACCATTGTAAATTCCCGGTCCCTCTTCTCGATTAAAGATGAAAATGAGAGTAAAGATAATTGTCTCACCCAAAGCTCAGGGCCTATCTATTTTCTAATATGTATCCACGTGGGATTCATCATGAAAAGCATTTGCTGACCTAGCAGGATGTTTTTTTATTCTTTTGCCAACAGGTAACCCGAAATATGAGAGCACAAATATAAAGATGAAAGCGTCAGTCCTATATTTTTTTTCCATTCGCCGATAGTCAATCATCCTGTCCACCTTGTCCATCTACGATATTTGATTCGTAAACTTAAATAGTTGTTTGTGCCCCTAGAATGTGTAAAAGAATTAAGCTTTAGGAAATCCATATTAACTGACTCAGAAGCATTGGCTGCTTATATTGTATCAACTAACCAACCACATCTCTTGTTTGGCTGCTCTCGCAGCCTGTCTACTACCCTTTGCAGGACAATTTTAAAGTGAGATGAGCGATGGCCTCATCGACTTGAAGATGTTAATCATATAACTTTGGAGAGTAAAGCGATGCTCTCATTAAAAATCGTTGGGAGGATACTGAGCGTAACAGCGTATCAAAAAATGCAAAAAGAATTGAAATATAGCAGCTGAGTCAGTTAGAGAGTTAGAAAACCTTTGAGCTGCTTTTTTATATACAGCTAAATGTGCTTTATTAATCTATGCATATTAGTTAATAATAAATTATGGTGATTCTAGGCTGCAGCCGAGGTTGAGGTTGAAAATAATGAATAATGGAATGATGGTAATGATAATGCTAGTGATAATTAAAATGCCAAAAGTTGATGTTAAAAGTTGAAGCTAGATGATAAAGTGGTACAAATGCAATCAAGTGTTTTTGGGCGCTTGTGACGAGGACGAAAGAACAAGATTTGGGTCATCGCTGCTTCCATTTTCAGTATCGCTAAATTGTGACGGCGGCTGTAAGGGTCCATCTGTCGAAAAGGAAGAGCGCAAAGGAGGCGGTAAGGCAAGTTCGTCCGTTACTGGGACTTCAAGTCCCCTAGCATTTTCAGAAGCAACATTAACGCATGCAGGTTCTGTGGCTCTCAATGGAGAAGGTGAGATTGGAGTAGTGCTAGGCACAGGAGAGTGGCCGACACTTAGTGGGCTATGTGGAAGAGACTGATTGTGATAATGGGAGCTATGGGAATGGTGATGATGGTGATGATGGTGATGATGGTGAAGAAGACCATGGAGTGCATGCAGAGGATTGGATGAAGATAGGCTTCTCTCTGGGCTGGTGCTTCGGCTGGGCGCACGGCTGGTGTCCCTACTAACATTGCGTGACGTAGCTCTACTGTTGGCGTCTTCTTCTGACTCTGCATACGTAGGCAAGTGAATTCGCTGGATCATCGACCTCAGATCATCTGCAGGATCCATTTCTCTCTCAGAATCGAACGATACTCTCGGCGTCGAAAATGAAGATAAATATGAAGGCAACTCGCTATCACTTCCTTCATTTTCCTCCTCCGGATCAAGTTGGTATTCATCTTCGAAAGCTAAAACCTTGACTTCAATTTCGTTCTCTACTCGAAAGCGCTTAGTCCCTTCCGTGCCCAAGATTGAAAATCGCAAAATATGTCCGATTTTCATCAACCCAATGTCTGCTGAGGGGTTGCATTGATTGAATTCGGATCCCATATGAGGCATATCAAAAAGCAAGACTTTGTTCCAGTTCCATGCCTCCGTCTCATGGTCAGAAGGCCGCTCCCATCCCTCACTCTTTTGAATCTTGACCAACCTCATATCCACTCTCTTGCGGCCCTCAGATCTATAAACAACTCGTTCCCAAAGCCCCACTTGCAACACTTGGACATGTGTCCGCATTGTTGGAGCGGTAATCGAGACTTGCAGAGGGACCTTGGTATTGTGAGGGACACGGACTTGAGGCATACTGATCCTGTACTTGACCTTGTCGTCAGGACTACTTACAGCACGACCACCTCGTTGGTATGACCGTAAAGGCAAGGGTGGGTTGCGTCGGAGAATGGTAACGGGAGTGGTGGCTGTAGTGGTGTGGAAGGTCAAGCCTGGCTTTGTCAATGTCGCTATGAGCTTATATTCCACTTTGCCATGAGTAGTGGTAATTGTCCCCGGTAGCGTATCCGGCAGCTCTAGAGAGAAAAAGTAGGCATGATGTCCTGACTGCAGGTGAATTGGTGATTTTTTTTGCTGCTGAGAGATCAACGTCCATGTATGCTCTATATACGGTTCAGTTGTCTGTCGAGTGGCTGGTGAGTATGCATTATCTATCGATTCGCACAGCTTTTTTAGTTAGTTCAAAAAAGACTATATAAAAACCTATGAGATGTGACAATTTTTTTTTTTTTTTTTTTTTTTTTTTTGGCATACCATCCACCCAGGTGACTGACGACCGCCCCGAAAACTCTAATTGAAGTGTCTTGACTTTGGTGTTTTTGTGTAGACTCAAGTAGACAACTCCCTCCATGACAGTTGGTTGACCAGGTTTGAGGACGACCTCGGTTTGATTTAGTTCAATCCTAAGCGTCTTTGAAGAGCTGAATAAGTGATCGGCACTTTGGGAGCCACTACTACTTCCATGTGAAAAGAGAGAGAAGGGAGAGTGCAAGTGATTCCGATGTGTTTCGCTATGGTACGAATATGATGTCGAAGCTACTGAGGATAAGGGTCCGCTAGATGATAGACTATTGTCTGAATGCGTTGTGGTTGAAGAGAGAACACTAGGTGAAGACGGTGCAGTGCCCGAGTGAGTGGGTGGAAGTACAACAACAGCAGGTGATACAGGCGGTGTTGATGGTCGACTAATGTTCTGAGGAGAATGTCTATATAATAGGTATGGATGCTGGTGTTGATGAGCTTGTCGTTGATTAGATTGATGGTCATCCTGATGATGTTCGTCCTCCTCAAGAGTAATGTCAGCATTGTGTGCGATCATGTCCGTATGATCATCCGAAGGTGCAGGTGTCAATCCACAGGCATTCATCGCAGGAGGCAGTTGGTCAAAGGACGACGCATTCGAGAGTGATTGATATAATTGCCTCTCCGGAGAAGATGTGGGTGTTCCCTGTGGTGGGATCTGCCTGTGATAGAGTAAATTGCCGCTTGGAGTCGACATTATGAGTGCTATTGATGGTGGGTTAGCTTGCCGGACAACGTAATAAAATTGCTTGTATTGCTTTTATACTTTGCTGAAGGTGCGATGACGGATGATATATATTTTACAAGTGCAATAGTGCGATAGCAAATATCACTTCAGATCAAGGAAAGAACTAAGAGACGAAGCAAACCTTTGATGTTAATTCGTTGTTTGTATAAACTCTTTTTTTAAAAATACAAATTCAACACGTCTCATGTCTTCTGAAACAACTTTGCCATTAACGAACCCTACAACCGATCAGGCCATGTGTTCTCTCACCTTTGTTGCATCTGACCGTTGCAACATTGTCTACAGACTACAGCCATATCGACATGGACACAGTATTGGCCTCTCCAAATTATCTAATATGTAGATCTCGTCTTTACACCTTGCTTATTCAGCAACTGACATGAAAAACCCAACAGAAAACGATGTCACTGCTTGCCGGCTAAAGTCGGCAACATAGGGCGAGTATTTCGTTCGTCATTGAAGATATTGTGAAGGAAAGAAAGAACAAAACAAACAGTCAAAAGCCCCCCCCCCCCCCCCCCAAATAATGCTCTGTTCAGTGATGCCACAAGCTCCATCTTTGTTGTTACTATTCGGGAACAACAGGAATGATGATCTATACAATAGAAAGAAGGGGAAGTTACTATTCCGAAAATATTTGGCGAAGTAGAATTCGGTATATTGTTCACGTGACATATCATGTGGCAACTCCCAACCTTCCCAACCTTTTCTGTCCCAGCGATTTATTTTAGTTCCTTGAATACATTTCTCTCAAACACACGTAACACACAAAGTCATACAATCATGTCTCTGGCAGCAAAAGTCGTCAAGGCAGCCGCACCAAAAATCCTTCGTCCTCGCAAAGCTGTTCTTACTCTCGTATGTTTTTTTTTTTATTATCTCCTTTTTGAACAATAATGCCTTACTCTTTGGCACTGATTTGAGCCAATCGTTCTACAAACGATGTGATTGTAGACCCTTTTTTTCAATGAAATGATTTATAGACTAACACATCTCATGTCGTTGCATTTCCTTTTATTCTTATACATAATATATTTTTTCTCTTTCTTTTTTAATTGTCATGTTGACTTCTGTATAAAAATACGATTTGTCACTCACCACTTTATTTTATTTTTAATATTGGACTGCGCTGCACGGAATCGACTTCGGACAATTCGGCTTTACAAATTTGTTAACCCTCAACCGAAACTGTAATAATTTAAAAATACATCTGGGCAACCTATTGACCTACACCGATTCACTATATATCGACCTCTGTCATGGATCTCAAAATTTTGGTACAAATATTTTGTTTGATAGACACCTGCGGCAGTTTCTCGCCTGCGTGCATTAACAGACGGACCAGAACCAAAGGTAGTCCGCGTTGGGATCCGTACCAAAGGATGCTCAGGACAGCAATATGATCTTCAGTATACAACCAAGAAAGAGAAGTTTGATGAGGAGATTAAGCAGGATGGTAATTACTTTTTTATTTATTTATTTTTTATTTTTAGTTGATTTAATATAAAGCCCCATTTTATTGACTTTTTGTCTTTCCTTTTCTCCATAGGCGTGACAGTTCTTGTTGACAACAAGGCGTTACTATCCGTGCTTGGATCTGAGATGGATTATGTGGAAGACAAGCTTTCGGCCCAGTTTGTATTCAATAACCCCAACGTCAAGGAGTCATGTGGATGTGGCATGAGTTTCATGACGTAGAGAGACTTTTGGCAGCACGAACATAATGCGATCATTGTCAACATTCAGCTTTTTATAAAAAAATCCCATTTGCCATAACAGGAATCATTCATATTCAACGCTCACAAGCACCAATATCACGGGCCATTCTCTCCATCTAACCATTATCTCAATCACCATCTACCTTACATAGAGGACTAGATAGTTGGTCGCATTTTTTTTAACCATGTACAATAGATACAACAACGTATATTTTATGTATTTTTTTTTCTTATCCCTGACCGATTTGCTGGTACAAATGTTAAACACAGTCACCTATCCTTTTGAATAAGTCCTTTGATTTAGATCTGTTACTCATTTTCCAACTTGGATTACATTAGTTATTCATCAATTGATCATTTCATTTAAAGAAGCTCAAAGACGTAGAACAAATATGCTAAGAGTCACACGAGTTATCCCGCAAGGAAGAAGTACAATGGCTATCGAAATTACGCCAGTATCTATTTCAACAGGGTGGAGGACATGGTTCACTCAATCCCGACGCATCCTTTCAACTTCAAGCAGACTAATGGCTTCAGCACCAGCACCAGCACCAGCACCAGCAGTACCAGGCTCGGCTCCAGTCCCGGCACTGGTTTTAAAGCCTTATATCAATTTCAAGGTGCTTACTAATCCAGAGACAGCCGCTGCTATGGCGGCCAATATTAAACATCGCAACCTTCCAGAAACTATCTCTGTAGCAGCAGTATCAGATCTATATAAGACAGTAATCGAGCGGACGCAGCAATTGGATAAAGCGCGTTCAGAGAGGAACCGGGTCGCTGCAGAGATAAAGTCTCTTTTTGGTGGTGGATCGCCCAAGAATAAAAAGAATAAGACGCAACAAGGACCGTTGTCCTCGACATCTTCATCATCATCATCAGTAGCGGCAGCAGCGGCAGCAATAAATAAAGAAAATACGGATGTCACAACCGAGCTATCAAAAGAATCAAAAGAGGCAAAGAGACAAAAACTTGTAGAAAGAGGAAGAGTCCTCAAAGAAGAGATCCATACTCAGGAGGCAGAACTAGCAGTTCTGGAGACCCAATTATATGACCAAGCGGTCTTGATCCCCAATAATACACATCCTACTACACCTATCGGGCCCGAATCTGCAGCACAGCTCATCCGAATCCATGGTGTCCCTCGATTGAACAAGGATATAAAGGCGTTTGCTCACCCGAGTGCCACCATGCTTCATGAAATAGGAGGAGAGGGAGGAAGAGCGCTGTTGGGGAACGTCTCGGAGTATCCTCTCCTGGACCATGTCACCTTATCAAAGCAACTAGATTTGGTTGATTTCGAGTCTGCAGCCGCTGTAACAGGATCTCGTTGGTATTATCTGAAGAATGAAGCCGCGTTGTTGGAATTGGCATTGGTCCAGTTTGCTACCCAACGTGCTGTCAAGGCTGGCTTTATGCCGGTGATCACACCTGATGTCGTTCGACCGGAAGTTGTCCAGGCCTGTGGATTCCAACCTCGTGATGAGGCCTCACAAACATATTGGGTCTCTACAACCCCACCTGGATCTAGCAAAGCAAATGCTAGCACATTGTCTCAGTCGGATGCTGATCAGCAACGGCAACAGCACCATTATCATCAGCACTCAGCGTTATGCCTTGTAGCAACAGCAGAGATTTCTTTGGCTGGTATGAACTTGGACAAAACGTTAGAAGAGAGTCAATTGCCCATCAAGATGGCTGGTTTTGGCCGGGCCTTTAGAGCCGAGGCAGGGTCCAGAGGAGCTGAAGTCAAAGGTCTTTATCGTGTCCATCAATTCAGTAAAGTAGAGCTGTTTGTCCTCTCCAAGGCTGATCCAGGCGTGAGCGATAATATCCTCGAAGAGATTCGAAAGTTTCAAGAAGATTTATTTGAAGAATTGGGGCTCTGTTATAGAGTATTAGATATGCCGACTGAGGAATTGGGTGCAAGCGCGTATAAGAAGTATGACATCGAGGCCTGGATGCCTGGCAGGAACAGCTGGGGCGAGATTTCATCTACCTCCAACTGTACTGACTATCAGTCGCGACGACTCAACATTCGTTATAGAACTAACAAGATCATTAACAAACCTCTTTTGACATCAACTGACAAGCCATCATCATCCAATAATGATAGTCCATCTTCCAACTCGGTCATCACCACAGAGTTTGCTCACACTCTCAACGGAACTGCCATGGCCATCCCTAGGATTATCGTTGCCCTTCTAGAAACATATCAGCGGGAGGATGGATCTGTTCGCCTGCCAGAGTGCCTATGGCCTTTCATGGCTGGTGTTAAGGAGATCCGGCCCAAAGGCGTTTAAGTCTTTATGCATCATTTAAAAATGTAATAAACTTTCTGCATCTTATTATCTGCTAGTTCGTTTTTATTTATTTGTTATTGTATTTACAGTGCTTCCTTGTCTTTAAATCCATTAAGCTCAATCTCTTGATTGTTCTCGTGCCAACCGCCGGCTAGACTTAACGACCGCGCAGAGCCGCGATGATGCAGTAAATGCTTCTCCGTACCATTACCCCTGCTACCAGCATTTATAGCATCACTGACATCGTTGTTATGATCATGTTCCTCATTTCCAGCCATGCCACTCTGCAACTTGATAGGTTCCGGTTGTTGAATCGTCTCTCTCAGTCTCTCTTTACCAAGGATCATTGCTTGTTCATAAACTCGTAAGCCCACAGTCTGAACAGTGCCTAGCATATTAAGATACCAAAGTGCAGCAAAGGGTACGCCCAACGTCATGGTGATAGATAGATATAGTGGATTGGTGACGATGGTCATGAACTCATTCCAGCCCAGGATTACTAATGCGACACCAACCCAATATGGGACCTTGGCCTGTGTCGCCACTACCGATCGCTTCGCTTCGACAAAAGTTGCATCTGCCTTGCGTCTCAATTGGTTGGCTAGCTCCTGCTGCCGCGACTCTGAAATCACAATGAGTGATTGATCAAAGTCAAAGTCGTCCGTAGACTCGAGCGTGAGCTTTGTGCCTGTAGCTGGGTCTGTGTTATCGATATGTGCATAGAGAGGAATTAATGCAATGGCTTCATCGCGAGCGTTACGGAAAGGAGTGTCGATATCGTCCGTTGGCTTCCAAACCCTTGGAAGCCCTCTTTCATCTCTCTGGAACCTCTCTTCAAATCGATTTATGAGCTTGTAGATCATCAGTCCATCAACAGACTCGTTGTGGACTTTTTTTGTAGTTAAGATCCACCCTTGTCTCTTAAGCTTTGTAACCAATTGCTCAAGCTCCTCATCCTTTAAATCAAATGATTTGGCCTTCTTCTGTAACAGTTTTTCAGTATTGTCAACTGCTCGCATGTAGATTGTCACTACACGACCCCACATACCAGGCCCTGGTTGATCCAATACCAGTTTGATAGGCTCATCCAACTCCTTCTTCAGATGCTTCTCCAACGTTGCCTGCATTTTGGTAATCTCCTTCTCCTTCTGAGTAGCCGAAAGTTCTTTCAAATCATTCTCCAGCTGATAGATCTCCTCTTCGTATTCCCAATCTGTATCATCCAATTTGATAGCCTTTGCGCCTGTGAGAAAGAAACCAACAGCATCCTTATGAGCGGCTGCCGCCGTGCCTGCAAACTCTGTGCCTTCTACTTTGAGAGCTTCTTGAAGCTGACCAGAAAAAAGTAGGACAGCTTTTTTGTGCAGATTCTTAAGCTGTCCCACGAAGAAGGATTCGAGCATCGAGTTGGCTTTTGTTAAAACTTCGCTGCGCTTGCGTTTGTACACATCGGAATGATAGCGTGATGCATCCTTGTCGAACGATTCTAGTGGGTAACATACACAAACAAAAGGCAATAGGCGTTAATGTATGTGAGGACCCTAATCAAATATCCTTAACCTTACAACCTATATATGGGCCTTACTGATAGTGGTATCGCGAATTTCCTTCATTCTTGGCCCTAAGTTTTCCACTAAATGGCCGGATTCAATAGGCCGTTTAAAATCCTTTATCGCCTCCACAAACGCTGAGAACGCAACATTTGCAATCTCATCACATCGGAACTGCGCTAGTAACTCCTGCTGGGTAGGCAGATCAAGATCTTTGTTCGTCATAATCTTTTCCCAAATGCCCTTAGCATAAATATGAAGACCATCTGCTGGAACACGTCGCTGATATTGAGGTTGGAAGACGTAGTTTGGATCGGATGAATCGGAGAATCTAACGCATGGCGTAGGAGGATGTAATATAAGCTCGTTTGCATATCTTGGTTAAAAGGCACATTGTGGGGGTAAGAAGGAAAAAAAAAAAAAAAAAAAAAAAAAAAGACGTATACCTTGAGCGTAACTGGCTAACCTCGGTTTCAAACATGTCAGGTTGGAGCAGCTTGTGAGGCAAAGTTGTGAACGTAAAGTCAAAGTACTCTGTAATTTTGCAGTCCTCCAGTCCTTCAGGCTAACACATTTGATATCAAATCTCGGGTATTACTAGTCTGTTGTGAAAAAAAAAAAAAAAAAAAAAAAAAAACTATATCAGAAAAGAACGAGGCTAAATTAATTAAAAAATACCTTAGATAGGCCGCCCCAAATCCTCTCCAGGTCGGATCGCAACGTGTTTGACAAGTTCGCGAGAGGCGTAGACCCGACATGGTCACGGATCACGAAAAAAAGTAGCGTTTTTTCTTTTCTATAATGTGCAGAGCAAAATGTTTGTCAGCTTTAGAATACACCACGTGTCAAAAAAGAATGTCTTAGTTATTCCTACCCTCGGTTACCACCAAAGAGTTGAAGATTAACCTCGAATACAGTCTTGAGCAAACCCATATTTGCGCCATTGTAGAGTCCAACTTGATGCTCCCACATATTGACAATCAAAACTTCTGATGTAGCCAGAGAGAATAGGGCACTTTTACGCTCAAAATCCTAAATTCGACATATTGGTTGTGTTGGTGAAATTGTTGTCATACCAAGGTATGACACAATTCTTTTTTAATTCAATAGATGCCATGACTTTTTTTTTCTTAGAACATGAAATATACTTCTTTACCTGATCCTCGCCACGCTCACGGCCATCGGTTCCTTCCACATCCATGATCAGGACCTTCATATCCTTGCCTTTGCTAATCCAGATACCCTTGGTTGTTTGCTGTCTGGATGATTCTGACATTTCGTCAAAGTTGGTTCCAAAGAGTCGATTGAGTAGAGTGCCTATGTGTATATGTTGGTGTAATACCACTTAAACTTTCTTTTCTCATAAAACCGTTTATGCTTCGTTGATTTGCTTGTATGGCTGGCATTAATACATTGATACTTTACTCTTGCCAGTGCTCTGGCTTCCAAAGATCGCTGCAAGGTTGTAGTTAAAGCCTGTATCCTTGAGACCCCATTTTTCATTGATAAAAGTCAGCAGGTCGTCGCTTCGATATTCAGAATCAAATGATGGAGAAGGAGAAGCGAGTTAATACCAGGCAGAGTCCACCATCCTCTGTCCGTACAAAGATTTTTTTCCTTGATACCCATGATCTTTTACCTAAACTCCTTTTGTTCGTTGATGAGATGAAGGCGTGGTAAGAGTTCCTTTTCGGGAGATGTGGGCGTCCCCATGGTGACGGTTGCATTGATAAAGTCTGTACTAGCTCTTTGCTTCGAGAGATAATCGACATCTGGTACCATAGCCATATTTTAAATTTGACTTTTACCACTTCAATCTTACAAGGTCAAGCGTTATTGTATATTATTGCTAATAAGAAGTGTTAAGAGACGCAATGTCAGTGAATGAATGAGTGAATGAATGAATGTGAACTAAAATTGGCGATATGAACAAATGAAAAGAAAGACAGAAACAGAAACAAGCCTGCTTGAAAGCAAAATATACATAATAAAAAAAGCACACATCATGTTGACAGACAAGCAGGTAATTGACTACAGTAGACCTCCGTGCGTTCAATCATTAAAGTATAGCCCGTTCCATTTGGTCGCGATCCCTTATATTTTTTGAATACTCTTAAATGTATTGGCAGCCAATTGACTCGCTTGATTTTGTATCCACTAATCTGTCGAACCAGCTTAAAGGAATCTTTGCGCAAAGCCTTTGTAGTCATAGGCGGGTCCGTCTCACCTAGAAACTACCGAGTATAAAAGCCAAAGAAACTTCTTTCTTAATAAAGTCTTCAGTTTCCCCACATGTCTTATTCTTCACCTGCAGTTCATCTTGCCATTTATCTTTTTCCCTTTTCACAACAAGCATTTGTCTTCCGGTAACTCAGTTTGTGAGCTCACCTATAAAGCTCCCATCTTTTCTTTTGACATTCTATGGTGCTGTTTGTAGTCAAGGTTATTTGACTCTACTTTCTCTTGTCAATCTTGTTGACACTCTTTGTCCTGCCTTTTCCTGATTGTGTCTATCTTTCTGTCCCTTAAGCAAAGATGTTTTTTACAACAATGCCACCAAACCAATTTATTATGATTAAGATATGTGGGGTCTATATGTTGTCTAAATAGTCCTCCCCATAAAAAAACACCAGCTAGACCAAGCATAGAAATAAAGAGATTACTGGGCCATCCAATCCAGCTGGTCTCCCACAACTCCTAGATGAAGTTCTTGATAGCAGGGACTTTATTTACGGCCTTGCTGCGTTGTATCACGGAGTGATGAGTCCATTATCTAGGTATAGCAGGGAAGTGAAGAAAAAAGGCGAAGGGAACGTAGCCAAGCCGTCCCAGCTCAAAGCATACGAATACTTCTATGCAAAGACAGGGCTTGGTCCTTTAAACCAGATCTATCCCGATTTGGTGATCGGCAAGTCGTCTCGGATGGTCATGGTCCCTGTTCAAGCAGCGCTAAGGTCTCACTATCGGAATGCGCAGGTAAATATGATATTATAATATTTTGAGGTTATCTTATAATATGTTTATAGAAATGTTCCTAATCATTTCTTCAATATAATGTCTAGTTTGACATAGATATTCCAGGCGATGGAAGAAATTCCATCCAATTCTTTTTTGAGCAAAATGCAACTGCCAAAAAATATCTGTATTTCCCTACGTCTGCTTTCTTGCCTCGGTCTCTCTGCTTAACGGAAGTCTGTCTCCTGGATATATTATGGTCTAATCCAACAGTTCGAGAGGAAATAGTCCAATTGTTGGAACTAAACATGAGTACCAAGGGGGCTGCAGAGGACAAGATCCTTAACTACAAGGGGATATTGTTGCAGGAGCTGTTTTCCTTGAAAGGATACAAGGACGTTGGACTGCAATCTGATGATGGCCCTAGAAGGAAACTACGGACATCGTTCTTTACAAACGGCCTTGCCCTAACACTTCTTGCCTTTGACACATCGAAGCAAAAAAGAGGTAGAGATCCCGTCTCCTCGAGAATGTAGAAGTTAAATATGACACCCAGGCAGCATGCCCTCCCTCCGAAAGTACCATTATCATTGGGATCGATCCAGGCGAAAGGTACTCGATGACAATTGCAAAGTTGGATCCAAGGGAACCTAACGAACGTGAGATCCTCCGGATTTCTAGAGCGTACCTTTACAAACCATCCAAGAAGTTTCAGGGCGAGCTAGAGAGGCGAAAGCTTAGAAGAGGAATTACAGAGATTGAAAGCAATATTCCGTCATTCTCAAGGCCTACTTTAACACAGTATTTCGCTTATATCAGCTTGTCGCTAAATCAAGCTCCATCAAGTACTGGAGGTAGTTTCTCTGGTAGTGGGGTTGGGACCAGTAGTAGCAGTGGAGCAGGGACCGGTAGTAGCAGTGGAGTTGAGGCCAGTAGTAGCAGTGGATCTGGGACCAGTGACGACAATAGGGAGACTATATATAGGGCGCTTGTCGATTTCTATAATGACGGGTGGTTTGTTCGGAATAGCTGGGATATTAGAAAAGCACAGAACGGATGGGTTGATTATGTGATCAAGGCAATTCTGAAGCTTGCGGGCGGAAGCAATGGAAGAAGAAGAGATGCCAATACGAATGCGGTGATCTGTATTGGACTAGGATCATTCAAGACAAACCGAGGACAAGTATCGAAGCATGGGATATTGATGAAGAAGCTTGTTGAAAAGGTAAAAAAATCCCTTGATCAATGACATTTAATTTTTGAGTCTTTTTTTAACGAGTGTTAAATCTGGCTCGAACAGGCAAAATCTCTAGACTACCCCATTGTAGGTTGTCATGAATACTACATATCTGCCAAGTGTCCACGGCCTCACTGTGACAGTATATTGGAGAATGTTCCTTTTCGATCCAAGTACTGTCGAAATTGTAAAGCATACTTTGATCGAGATGCTGTTGGTGCTGAGAACATCGCAAGGGTCTGTGAGTCGCAGATAAGAGAGCAAAAACGACCTGCAAAATATATGCCGCCGGACGGAGGAACTCAAGGCCAAGCTTCTAGCGGTAGTGGCGGCGGTGGAGGTAGTGGTGGCAGTGGTGGTGGTAGTAGCAGATCCACAAAAAGGAAATTTTCAGATGAAGGAGGAGGAGGAGTAGAGGGATCAAGACCACCGAAAGGACCTTTGCTGGGTCCAGGAGGGCTTGATAGTACTTTTTTTTCTTGGTTAATTTATTTATTTATTTATTTCTGTGTTCTAATACATTTCTTCTTTTTACGGACTATAATCATGCATGGTTTTGAAATACATTCCAATGGAACCAAGCAAAGAATATGTTTTTTATTATTATTTTTCTTTTGATGGTACACAACGAACAAACAGTGGCAATTTCAATCAGAAATGTGCTGCCATCATTTTCTAGGTGGAAGAATTTGGAGAGAGAATGATAAATACAATAGGAAGGAAAATGTTTTTGTTCAAGTTTCTGCCTTTTTTTTACAAGGCACCCTTGTAGCCACACTCGCTCAATGCACTCTTGAGGGCATTCAACGTGGTATCTAAGTGGCCACGCTCGGGCTCAGTCACGGAGATACCCATGTGGCCGATACGGAAGTACTTGGGAGCAATATCAACATGGAGACCACCGGCAGCAACAATACCATGAGCAGCCATTCTGGGTAAGAGATCAGTAGCAGAGATGCCCTCAGGATAGTAGACAGCGGACATACCATTAGCAGCGTGGTCCAAGCTGGTGGGAACAAGCTTCAAGCCCAAGTCATGGATAAACTTCTTGGCCTTAGCGGAGGCCTCTTTGTGAAGTATGAAGCGATTCTCAAGGCCCTGTGCAACGATCTGTTTCAACGAGACATGGAGAGCGAAGACACTCTGAACAGCAGGAGTGGCAAAGTAAGAGGGCTTGCGAGCCTCATATGCATTCATGATGGGCAACCAGCGGGTCCAGTTGGCGTAGTAGTTAGGAACAGGGGTCTTGCGAGCCTTGAAGACACCAATGGCACGCTCGGAGACACCCATGACACAGAGACCAGGAGGAGCGCCGAGGGCCTTTTGGGAGGCAGTAACGACGACATCAATACCCCAGGTATCCATACGGATTTCCTCTGAACCGACAGAGCAGACACCATCAACGACAACAAGGGTTTCGGGAGACTCCTTACGGACAACCTCTGCAATGCCCTTGATGTCAGAAAGAACACCGGTGGAAGTATCAACGTGGGTAATGGTAACAGCCTTGTATTTCTTGCCCTTCAGCGCAGCGGCAACAGCAGCCAACTGAGGAGCCTCGCCAACGGGAACGCGGATGTGAGTGACCTTGGCACCATAAGTTTCCAAGCTAAAATAGATATATTCAAAATCAACGACTCATGAGCCATTTATACGTTTCATAACACCAGGGGAACGTGGGAATTTCCATTGCTGTACACTCTTTCTATCCTTTTGGCTGTCTTTTGGCATTCAACACCCATATCATCAATTAGGTCCTGATCTCCTTTCCCTCTTTCTGCCTGACCACAATATAATATGTATTCTGCTGAGACAATGGGCTATTTGACGTAGTGTTTGACTGATCTAAAAAATTTCCCCGCAGAATAGAAGTATCCAGGAAAAAGTTATCGTCCCGACTTTTTTAAGTGGCGATAGCTTTGGCGGAATCGTAGAATTGTGGTGACCGTTTGCCATGTGTTGTCTATAACAGTGATCCGGATCCGAATGACCGCACCTATCTCTATTCCTCTCCTTAAATTGACCAGGCATGCATGTAGCTGGGCGAGATAGAACAAACAGAAGATGAATAGACTTACCACTCTCCAAAACGATCACCAAAGTAGCCAGAATTACAGACAAGGACTTCCTCACCAGCTTCGATCAAGTTGCTGGCGGTCATATCCCAACCTAAAGTACCGGATCCAGCAATGATGAAGGGCTGTCCCGAGGTGAAGAGAACCTGGCGCAAGAGCTCAATGGACTCACCAAAAACAGGAATAAAGTTAGCGGCGACATGAGAGGTCGCAGGAGTGGCCATAGCCTGGAGGACGTCCTCATGGAACTCAATGGGTCCTATTATCAATTAAAAAACAAGGATCATTGTCAGTAATTATGTACACAAACAAACCGTTTTTTTTTTTTTTTTGTAATGCATAGCTGTGCCATTACATCAACACATGAGTGCATGTGTTTTAACATGCCATGGAGTATGAATGGGAATGAAAATAATAACAGCAATAATAAAACACTCAATAACAAAGGACATACCAGGAATCATGCAAAGTTTATGAGAGGACATTGTGGAGTAAAGGTTAGAAGTGAAACGAACGAGGATAGGGAGAGTGGTTCTGTGAGTGAAAAGAGAAGAAGGAAGCAAAGAGGAGCGAGTTGAAATAGACGACAGCCGACTGCGTGTCTGCCGGACAAACAATGGACGGAGCAAATTCATTTTGCAGTTGAAGTGGCTGAAAAAAAAAGAGAGGAGGAGAAAGAGTAAGAGGAAGGGTCCCGGATGGATGGGGTTGTCAAACAGAATAGATGTGTCCTTCTCTTGCTTCTCTTCCTTCTCCTCTCTCTTCTTTTCTTTTCTTTCTTACTTCTTTCCCTTGTTCCTCCGGGATAGACATGGGCAGGGGTCAAGTTATAAAAAAACAGTTGTCCGTGGATCAGTCCCCGTGGACTTGTGTGGATGCACCCTGTCAAAAATAAAAACCTTAAATGGGTTATTAGTCAAAGTCTGATTAGTCCCTAACTATTCCGACTTTTTTTTTTTTTGAACGTACTTCTTATTATACAAACAGCCGCAGCTTTTTCGTTGCAGATCTGTTGCGTGAGCACGGCCGTTTTCACCCATTTTTGTTCTAAATTTTTTTTACACAACCCACACTTTTTACTCTCCACAGGTGTTTACATCCCACAAATCTAATGAATATGATTAGGTTTGTTCTTTTATTTTTGTTCCGCGTTTTTTATTTGTTTTATGGAATTCAACATCCTCGTCATGAAAAATTAATATGCACAGCAGGCTTTCATGTTTTGAGACCGAAGCGGCTAGCATGCGTTTCCATACCATAAATACAATCTATTTTATTTACACAAAAGTTGATGAGTGTGATTCCCAAAGGGGAATGACGGATCGATCCTTACTTTTCCTGTTATTTCCCTACAAATTCTACAATAGCGGCGATGGTTTAGCAAAATTGGGAAATGATCTTCCTGTCAATTGCCATCAAGCTAAGCTGGAGCCCGATCGAACCTCCAGAATGAATAAATGATCAAAAGCGGGGAATATCAATTTGTGGATTTAATAGTGAGTTAATGGGATGCACGTGACCAAATAGCGCCCCCGCCTTTTTTTTTTGATAGGAAGGAAACCACCATTTTCAACAGTGCTAGAACCCAGAGTCTTCTGCAGCATTATAACGAGATGTGTGCAATCGAGTGGGATATTTTTTGACCTAATATCCTTTTCTTTCCTCCCTTAAGCCCTCATCTCATCCAGCTGGTGCAATAAATCTGGATCTAGATGTCCTTGAGGGTTGTGTTGCTCAGCAGCCACCGCCATTAAAACAGCAGCATGTTACAGCGAGAAAAAAATATAGAAAAATGACGTTTCGTTTTTCTCTTCGGCGTGATACCTATGACAACAAGGATGGACTGTGACGCTTGAATAAGTAGAAATGATCGTTCAGGTTGCTCGCGACTGCAGTCCCGATGACGTAGTCAGTCCTCACCATCAACAGTGACGCTCTCGTCTATGCCAACATCGAAAAAACCGGGAGACAGGTAAGATATCGTAAGGTTATGGAATATGTTCAGGACAATATCTGTACGATACTCAAGCTGCCCAGTGACAACCATCTGACCACACTGGCAGTGATCTCCGGCAATGATTATGAACCTAGTATTTGCGGCTCGGGAATCGTTACCAATTTAAAGTTGATGAGAGAGATTGTTGGACGTGATGTGAGGACTATTGTTGAAGAATATTGCAGAAGCACCGGAGTCATCCAGAAGAATATATGAGAGATAACCTTGCAACCCTATTTAGGATATTCGTACAACCGAAGCAGGCCACCTCTGCTTACGATGGAGTGGCCCGCCAATGCTATATTAAACAACAGATATCGAGATGCAGGAAAGACAGCAGCACCTGAGTTCAGGAAAATCGTAAGTCCAGCGTTTTCTTTCGCTACAATGTACCTCATTCGGCACATCTCTAACAAACACCCACCGTCTCTTGATAGCCATGCGCAATGACACAAGGCTACCCAGCAGCTTAACTGGTACCGCACCATCGATATACCTCTACTTAATTTTCGCATGCTCGAAAATCAAGCTTCCCTGGCTGACCCTCGAAACGTGGTTGTGGTTGCTGGTGCGATAGTTTTCTGCTTGTTCTGCTACTTCAAAAGCGCTAGGTTTCGTTTTAGATATGATGTCATTTTGTTATTGCTGACCAATAAGATCATGTCGCTCGAATATCTTGAGTTTGTTCCTGTCAGAGTCTCCTCACATAGCAAAAGTGAAAAGGGGAAATGTGCTGGTTTCCTTTTTGGATTGATCGAAATTATAGGTTCCCAATTTGTGCTTACAATGATCTCATAATGATTGGCATTGTTTCCAAAATCATGCTGTCTATCGCCTTTCATGTGCTTTCCCACCACCGTTATCATCACCATTATCATCATCGTCATCATCATCATTGTCATTGTCATCGTCATTGTCATCATCATCGATATTGATGAACAGGTCCGTCGAGGAAAAAAGGTATAAAAAGAGGATGGTCCTCGCTGATGCAAAACTTCAACTTCAACCCACTCCACAAAAGCAACTACAACAACCAAAAGCAAAAGAAACTCTTAAACCAACTACCCACGACTTTTCATCATGTCTAACAACATCTCTGATCGTATCTCTAACACTGCCAACTCGTACATCGGAGGCGCCAAGCAGACTGTCGGAGAGACTATCGGAAACAATAGCCTCGCAGCCTCAGGAGCCGAGCAGAGAGCCGGAGCTGAGGCTCGTCAAGCTGCAGCCGATGCCAAGACACATGCTGAGGGAGCAGGCCACACAGCCCAAGGCAAGGTCCAACAGACTGTCGGATCACTGACAGGCAACACATCGATGGAGGCTCGCGGTCATGCCAACGAAGTCAAAGGCGATCTCGAACGCAAAGTCTAAAAGATTTACAAATTTAATAAAAAAGCATTAGCAGCAAACAACAATGTGTAAATGCTTGCATACATTTAGAACTGTATTTTAAAACAACATGGTAGATATTATTGGAGGTTAATGAAAAAACGTGGCTTTTTTCTTCAAATTGTGTGGTCTCAATTACATCACCTCCGATTCTCCAATTGTTGGCCATCATGCAGGAATCCAATGGACAAACAATTGAAGAAGACCTGGCCTTTGAAGAAGAGCGGACGAGGCTCATCACCGATATCAATCTGGAGTTGGGTCAGATGATCACTAATATCACGATTCTTCAGCGCAACCTCGATACTATTGTTACTATTGGACAAGAGTTTGGACAACTATCGGAGCTCTGGAAAAACTTTCATGATTCAGCATTTCGATTTGAAAAAGAAGAGGACCAGGAGGTGGAGGAAGAGCAGACGCAGAGTCGGGAACAAGGCTACTCATTAGAGTCTAAGTGAAGGGGAAAAAATAATAATAATAATAATAATAATTCATTTACATCTCAGTGGCGCGCGTTGCAAGGTTGGCAGCCAGGACGTCATACCGATGGTTTCGGCCATGAGGTTAATGACTTGTAGATCTGTGGCAGAAATCCGGCATCTTCACACTCATTCAACATCTAAGGGATATTTATACCGGTTAATTCAACATATTAATGAATAAAGAGGATGTTTTACTTCTATAAGTTAGCGATTGCTATCTTTTTTATTTTCTTCGAGACTATCTATTAATGTGCAGGCGACTTTTTTAAGTCGTACAAGTCCAGCGCATGCCCATCCACCTTCTATGGAATTGTCGCAAGCACTTAATTATTAAATTCATTACTCTATTATGCCAAAAGATGAGCTAAAAAGAGGCAGAAACGCAGAGTTAGACGCGAAACTCAAAAAGACCGGGCACTTTTAGTTCTACTGGAACAAAGAAAGAAAAAGGAAGGGGGAGCAAGACACACTTACATCGAACAGGAGCGGCGACAGACGCCAGGTCTGTTACGACAACTTCATGCATCCTCCTTTGAAACTCGTATCTTATCTTCAATTGCTTCTTCTCGCCTAAGCATGGATCATAAAACCCTAAAATATGTGACTATATTGAAAAAGAAGACGACATTGCTATTAGCATATCCTTTTTGACGTCTAAAGCATTGTCCAAGGTGGAAAAATGAAACGTGTCTATTACCTTGGAATGACCAGCGGGCATGATTAGCTGTGAGTTGTTCACAAGTGCCTGCACAGGGATCGTCACATCCACAACCAAACCGAGCTCTGGCGCTGCGTCAAGGTTTCCATAATGAGCCTGCACAATCACAAGCCCATCCTTTTCTTGTTCTTGGAGCATTTTGCGGGCGGTTGACTCTCTCAAGAGCTCAATTGCTTCTTCAGCCTCCTTCTTTTGTTTCGCGATAAAGTCTGCGTGGATGTGGCGGAGCTCCGCAATCTTTTGTGCGCGCTCCTTTTTCCTCTTGGGCTTGACATAACCTGTGTCTAATGCGGTGATGGCGCAAATGGGAAGAACAGCTGCCCAGAAAGCAATTTTTGGGTTGAACTCCCCCGCGAGAATGATAGGTACAGTTAGACTTTGACCCAAGCGCTTGACTCTGTAAGATAGGAACAAAAGAAATATTATTAAGTCAGAATGCACATACATCGTTTCTGAAAGAGAAAGTAAAAATTTTATACAAAAAAAGATGTACTTAATATTAAAAATGACAATTCCAGAGAGGCTAACTTCAAGCGCAAGTCCAACTTTAACATGCTGAGTGACTTTGCGGTCACCTCCGATACTAGCATGAATTCCAGCAGTCGTAGATACATTTCCGCCCACACGCACTTTAGTGGAGCGGTCTAGAGTCCATGTATGATCCACAGATATATGCGACTGCATGAGCCCTGTTTGAACCTCAATCTGATAGGCCCTGTTCTCGTCCTGTGAGCTGACACCGAGCGCCAAGGATGAAAATTCTCGGCGTCTCTCAAAAACAGGTCCCCAGCTGCCAATCGCCCATTCTCCTGTGCGGTATGTCATATACCCTGTAGCTCCTTTTGTGATCCTCCGACCAAACGTCAAGACAAGAGGTGCTGGGCCTTGGAAGTTTCGCACCTGTGCTGATCCTGTTATGAACGTTAAAGGATCAATTGAGTACGTGCCTTTGAGTACGCCAATCCTGGGGTTGAGAAGAGATGATCCTAACTGAGGTATGAAAGAAATGGGAGATATGTGGAAGCCTCAGCATTAGATGGCTAAGAAATAGAGAGCGTTCATCATGGTATTGAAAATAAAAATGCTCGGATATATCCCAAACCTCGACATTCAGCTTCTCATTAAATGTGTGGCGAATTGTCCCTATAATATTCCCACCTCCCATGCCATTTCTAGACGACATCTGTCCCCCTACAATAAATTGAGTCCGGGGACCAAATTGAGTCTAATAGAATAGGCATCAAAAGTCAATCCGATCAACAACTGTTATTTTCTACATTCCTTAAATTATTGTTATATGTAGTCCAAAAGCCAGCTCCGACTCACCTCAAACGAGTTCTTCATGTATAGCTGCATGATCTCTGTCCTTTTGAGCGCACTTAAGTAGCCACCACTATTCTTCTTCGCATATGCTGTGCCTCCAAAAGGCGTCAAAATCTCTTCTTCCTTAAACACTCTAGACGCATTGATATTGACTGTAATTTCGTTCCTGGATCGGACTAAGCTCTCAAGCTCCATCTCCCTCTTCTCTCTAGCCAATCGAGCATATTCCTCACGCAACTAATGGCGAAACCGAGTTCCATTTATGGAAAATATCAGAAATATATATGTTAATGAGCTACGATCCTGAAGTATATATTTTTTTTCTTTAGCTAGATGAAAAAAGCGTCGATAGAAGGGCAGCCTACCTCCTGAGGAGTTTTAACCCTGTGTCCAATCTCCCATTTCGTGTTAATACCCTCTTCGCCGTATTCATCATACGCCGTACGAAGCTGAGGATTACTCAGGACTATAATCACGTGTAATTGATGAACCATTATTTTCTGATCGACAATTTTCATTATAGATGTAGCTCTGGTCCACTCAGTACTCTGTCCTATTTCACTGCTTTAAATATGAGACTTTGTCGATCGTACCTTCGAAGGCCTTGTTGATAACGTGAAATTTTGTCTCTGCTGCCTGCTTCAATGCTGGATCACTGTGTTTGTCAGGGTGAAAGATCCTACTCAAGCGTTTGTACGAATCTTTGATGTCCTCTTCTGAAGCCTATCTCGTATGTTTTAGAGATTTTACATCATAAATCAATGAGTCAGAAGCATCAACTATTGACATAGGGTACATATTTCAACAAATAGTAGTACATGGATATGCCATATATATGAATATATGGACATATGGGACCGACATACAGTTTTGGACAGATTCAACACAGCATAATAGTCCAGCTCTGGGGGCTTCATGTTCTCAATGTCAGCAAGATCGTCCTCATCGTAGCCGCTAGCTGACGAGTCCGCGGGCATGGACCTGTCTTCATATGGGTCATTCATGATGTAATGATGGGAATGGCTTAAGAAAACAGAGAAGCAATAAAACCAACAGACAGACATGCATAGATTTATTTCATTTTATTTTGGCCAGTCCCATCAATCCATGTGTCCATATTTGGGCAAAACAAACACGTCTTTTTTTTGCTCCTTTCTTCAATACAATGCAGCCGCATCGCCATTCTCAGAAACAGAAACGCCACACTCTTGCTACCCATGCCAGTCGTCAAGAAATCGATGCAGCGCTGAGGTTTACACCAAAGTCTATAGCGGAGGAACAAGGTCAAGGTTCAAAACAAAAAACCATTGAAAGCTTAGCTCAACAAGTCTATTGGTGGAGTATTCATGATCTTGATTATAGACCTGAAAGGGATAACGCGAAAATACGAGGCCATGGTAGATCTCTACTCCTAAGCCTGCAACAGCAGCAGGAGCAGGGATTTTGCTCTCAGGCTCTTGAAAGGTTCGTCTATGAATATTATATTGCCTACTACATCAGAGGAAGTCCATTCTTGTGTGAGTCTTATGAGCTATCGTTATTCTTTTAAACAGTTTATGTGAAAGTCCTTGTGCGCCAATGTTTGAATATCTCGTTGAAAACATCAAGCCTCGCTCGTAAGTTATCTAGCTCACAGTCCAAGGTGTAATATACCTGTCCAGAAAAAAAAAAAAATTGTTTCCTAATCGTTTGTGCTACTGTTCACAAGAATTGTACAGGCAAAACAGCCATGCCAAGTCCAGTCAATGAAACAGGCAACAGATCAAATAGTAGCAAATCTCACAGAGCGACAGCTAAGGGCGCTGCAAGTCCGCGAACTCGTCCATGCTATTGCTCATAAACGTATATATTCTTTTATTACATTATTTAATTTCGCTTTAGGTTGATGATTTATGGTATGGCTGTTCTAAGATGCTGCTATTCATACTAATACATAGAGCAAGAGATTAAAAACCTGAAAAAACAGATCAAGCGGCAAAGGCAAACTCAATCAGTGAAGGAGATTCATTATCAACAAAGCTCACAAAAAGTTAGAGTGCTAGAAGAGTTTGATACCCTCTTTCACGAGCTTGTCCCCAAGGTAGCAAGGAATACATCGCTTCTTAAAAGCCATACATCACATCCCCATAAGGTAGAGGTAAGCTACAAGTCCTTAAGCTCGACGGATAGACGCCTTTTGAGTACGTTCGCCTCTAAACAATAAGCAAGTTTAATTGGAACTTTAGGTTATATTTAAGATCATGCTTGAAGGGATTTCTCAGATTGTCAAATTAGCTACTGTTGAGTAAGTTTATTTTATTGCCTATCCTCTTGACATTCAATAATTCAGCTTACTCTTGTCAATATTAGTAACTTCTTCTATCAGTGATATAACGATCAAACAGATTACTTTGCCAGGAGGATGGGGAGTAGAGGAGCTATATAAGCAAATTCAGCAAACCAATGATAGCACCAACTCCTTTCTAAACATCGTCAAGAGTATGAAAGAGAATATTTTAATGTCATCCGATGCTTCTCAACAGGATTTGATTACAAGAGCACAGAACAGAGACGACAGCTCTGAAGCGTCGGATTTACTACTGGTATGAGTTGCATTTACATGTCGCCATGGACTTTTGTGATTTATTATTTCAGCCTTGGCTCTGTCGATACCACACTTTGTATCATTGACTTGATGCAATATTCTGGCGAATCTTAGATCTTTCGTGATCATCATCTTGAAAGAGTAGTTCAAATTGAATTAGCCCTCAACAAGATCTCAGCATTTAAGCAAGAGATAGATCAGCTTTATTCCAGGATGCGATTCCAGGCTCAAAGACCTGATCATGACAAGACGTTAGCTCCATTTATTCAGGAGCTTGAGGAAGCTAGAGCGCATTTGAAGGGTTTAGGGACCGCCCTAGAATTCATTCAAGCTGAGCAGGAAAACTTAGTAGATCGTGTGGTCCCCAAGGTTGAACAGCGTGCAAAGTTAGAGTCCATGAACAAAGCAGCTAGAGCAGTTGATCAGCGAATGGTATGTGGTTTTTCCGATTGCTGCATCATAGATGTTTCAACATGCGTTTTTGTGCTTTGGATAGTTTATAATAACCTTTATTCTTTGTATTTGTACAACACTATGTTTTTATAGGTCAAGGCGCAGAAAATTATAAGAAAATTAATGGAGATGATTAGAATTAAGCATGAGAGCGTTCCTGAAAAGGCGTATACTATTTCTGAGGACATCCAATCGATTTTTCAAGAATTTGTAGAACTGTCTGAGTTGCTCCAGAGCCAAGCATATACCTTGAAAGGGGATGCGGAAGGCTTGCAGGCCCTTACAGAACAGAGCCAACGGTTATACGAAGTTACTCATCAAAGAACTCTACAACAGCCTGCGTCGAAAGCAGGAGTACTTGAAATGATCCCCAGTTTCTGGTATGAAACAGCGACAGCCTCTTCTTTAGCTGCTGAGCAGCTTATATTGCGGCAGGCGCATTGTCATATAGAAAACGCTGTGCGACAGCAGGCTATCATTAAGGCCAGAGATGCTAATAACCGCATGGAGCAGACCAAAGCTAATGCTCTAGTTATGTTGAAGAGCTTTACGAAAAAGTTGCCAGACGAATATATGAGCCAAACGCAAAATGATGATAAAATGGTTATGAAGCTGAATTCAAGCTTCGAAAAGGAGATCACAAGTGCCATCCAGTCGGTTGTGAAATATCAAGACAGTTGTTATACTGCCATTCAAGATGATATTCAGAAAATATTGTTGAATACAGCGATAGGAAACAATGCTGTTGAAGAGATTCAGGGATTGATCAAAGATGACAGTAATCTTCATGAGCGACTGTCTGCGCTGAGGCCACAATCCTCTAACAAAAGGACGCGTCAGGCTCAATAAACCCCATGAAAATAATAACAATAATAATAATAAACTTCTTACTCGAATCAATGATAAATTGTATTAACCAGGCATTTATTACTAAATGATTTCGTGAAATCGGTCAAGGATAATTTCCAAAGTTGGGGTTATTGACTTGAAAGAAGCTTTGCTGCGGCTATTGCGTTAGTTAATAAAAGGATTGTACCAGATTCCTTAGTCCGATTCATTTACCGATAGCTTATTATGGAAATGCCTACAGACCCATACTTACCAATAGCGAACTACGGCTTCAAGCGGTTCAACCAGTGGCAGGGCCTGTGTCTGCAGAGAGGCGTCCTCAATCAAGAACGAAGATAGGACCCTCATTGACGCCAGATACAACAAATTTTTCGCTAGCGATGCGGGATCGTAGTTAACACTTTGCTGCAAGTCTTTCAAGTAATCCAATATAGCTGAATAAGCACCAACGAGTGTGTCCTGAAACTTGAGTAATGTAGTCGCATCAAACAATGGCCGTCCTCTAAGGCCACCGAGTTCGGGTTCAGTTTCCATACGGACTAAATAGTGGATGGAAACTTCAAGGATTTCGTATGTCACTGGTAGGACTTGCTCCTTTCGAATTTTGGCCTGCTTGATTTCTTCTTCTGAGCTAAAGACACCCTTTGATTTGGTACTGCAATCTACATTGGGTAGATCTTCTGCAAGTTCGTCCAAAATCACACGCGCTTCGACACATGCCAGATGTACAACTAATGTCACAAATTTTTTATCAATCTCCTCATCCGAGAGTGAAAGTGTTTCCATGGAAGCGACAAGTGTACTAGGCGTTTTCTTTTTGTTGAAAGCGCTTGTAGCAGGGTTTATTGCTGATAACGATGGGAGTTCAGGATAAAGCCATTCAGGACCCATCTTCAGAAGGATTCCGATTAGTATGAAGGTATTATCGCGAGTAGAGGGCGCTGATGAAGGTCATTTAGGATTAGAAATTGCTTACGGTACCGCATGATACATCTATACAATTGTGTGCGATTTGAAAAAAAAAAAAAAAAAAAAAAAAATACCTTGTCGAGTACTCAAAAGTTGAATCAGGCCTGATTTAATGCTCCTAGTCCACGTCGTTGTCTCTTCTTGATGTGCTTTTACATGTTGATTCAAATACTTCTCTGGTAAAAAGATCAATGATTCAGTCATTAGCCGTAATATTTCGGATTTGTGTGTCTCTGTCACGCGTTGAAATCGTTTCGAGATCTTTGTCATGATGACGGGCAAAAAAGCCTTGGTAATGCTGAGTACTGTCGTTGGATTTGTGTGGAAGCCCTCTTCAATGATCAAAAACGTACGTTTGAATATTGATATGGCGGTCTCATGTGCTTTGTCTATCAGCATCAGATAGTTCAAGATGACTTTATATTAATAAATAAATACAGATACTTTATGCTCAATCCTTTTAAACCAAAAAAGCCAAGCTATTACCATTCCTGTCAAATGTATCAAGGATGTAATCAACGATAATCCCTTGATATCTAGGGTTGGTCAAGATCATAGATACTTGTGGATATGATGAAACTTTGATCATGATCTGTAAGATTTTTTCACTAGCCCTAGTCTCATCAGTCGATGAGAGCAGACTGAGCATGGTGGGCAATTGATCTTTAAACTCGCTCCTCGTCAGTAGCTGCCAATGCAGAGCAAAGCAGCTCATGATGTCTACAGAAATAGCGCGGATTTCTGCAGCATTGACGCCCGCATTCTTTGGCACTTCGTGTGGTTCTAGCCAAAAAGAAAAGAAATAAAATAAAATTAGAGACCTGGATAAATCCTTCGGGCAATAACACATAGATCCAGATCTGGGTGCTTACGGATTTGCATCATGCGCTTTAAAAAAGCAAAGTCTAAACTGTCCATATATCGGGTCACGGTATTTAAATCTTGCTCATGTTGAAGGATCTCTGCCATGAGCAATAGTCCAATGAACTTTACTTCATCACTATTTTCCGGTAGGACCAACTCGAGGGATGACTCTAGTTGATCCTTTTCCTTTAATTGTGCGTGGTGCATTTCAGATCAATGTTTGTGCAATAATGCATTCAATAGAAGCAATTCAAGTGCTTAAACATTCATTGGTGGCGCATGAAATTTTAGCCATTTCCATTTTAGAGAAAAGGATTTGAGCGCAACAACTTTTTTTAATGTACAATGTTCTATTCTAAAAAAATAAAAATAATAATAACAATACTAATAATAATAATAATAATAAAAAAACAACCGTTATGCATCAGAGTTCTGAATCCAACCAGCTTCCACGAAAAAATCATAAATCTTGCCAGTTTTGTTCACATCAATCTTGATGAGCTCGCGGGCTTGTCGCCGTTTGAGCCCTCCAAGACGTGCATGCTCTTTCAGTAGCTGCTCCTTGATAATCATATATGATTTGGGGAAGATACGCAATGTTGAACACAGTGCTTGCTCAGGTACAGTCAACAAATGAATTCCTTCCGCATTTTGGATATTCAATGGATTGGCAGGCTTACGAACTGGAGGCACAACCTTTCCTAAAGCTGTTGATCCACGTGGTGAAGACGACTGTGACAATAAAGAGTTTATTTTGTCAATATGGCTGAGTTAAGACAAAAATAAAACACAGTATATTAAGAAAGATACTCACATCATCCATGTTAGAGCGTTGTGGAAGCGATCGCGCATTTCTTCTATCGTTAAGAGAGGAATCTCTTATAAGGTGACGAAGGCTTGTTTGCTATAAAATAAAAAAGTAAAAAAAAATAAAATAAAAAGTAGACAAATATAGATATTAGATATCCATTCAGTCTAGTAATCAAGTATGATTTTACACTTGATAGAAGAGAATGAGCTATCTTCACTCACCCTGTTAACCTTTTCTCGAAGATATTCCTGTCCAGCAGCAAGCGTTGTTATCCCATTGGCTCTAAATTCCTGCAGCTCTGCAATGCGTTCTCGCAGATGCATTTCCTTCAGTAGCCCATCGATAAATTTGTCATAATCCTCAGAAGTCTGGAGTTGTGCAAATACCCTCATGCTATTAAGCAGCTCACGTTCCTTTGGTGTTCGTTTTTTCTCTGCAGCTTGATTCTTTCAGTTGGAATGTTGGAATGAATTAATAAAACCCTCATTAGCACAATATGGTGAAAGAGCATCGTTTCAGTCTAATAAAATGAAGAACGAGCTTAATGGATACCTTTTTGTACTCCAAGAACCCCCTATCAAAGACAAACTTTCGTCTTTCAAGTCTCTTATTCAATTTAGCATTGTAAATTTCGAGCACCATCAACTTCAAATCTGTTATGTGTGAGTGAAAGTACGGTATGAGTGAATCGACTCACACTAGTTGGTGATGACGGCAAGAAGCTGATTAAGAAAGCAAACATTTGGACAAGCATACCAACTTCCTCTGATGTATCCTCTTCACTAAACATCATATCCTTAACGATCTGCTCAGCCTCATTCTCATACTCTGTTTCAAACTCCAAACGTCCTGGCATATAGCCTGCGATCTCATGATTGGCGGGCTGGCTTGTCATTGGCTTTTGAGCCTTTACTGGCGCTAAAGGCATAATAGCAAATATATTATTTTTGCTTGTAATCTCTTACATTTAACTCGCATCCTAAACAACCGCTGCAACACATTATAGACCAAATATAGTTTCACTTGACATACCTGGTACCCTGTTCACTCTCTGAGCCAGGCGCTGCCTCTTCCTTGCAGCTTGCGCTTCAGGGTCCATGTCGAACTTTTTGTGCATGTCCTGTGGCCATTAAAAAAAAAAAAAAAAAAAAAAAAAAAAAAAAAAAAAAAGTTACAGAGCTTTCTTATAGTATCAGTTTCTAAATGAAATAACCGTATTCATTAACACGGCTGTTTGAACGTACCGGTAGAGGCCATGTTTCGCTTTCGACATAGACTTGAAGGTAATGAGCCTCACATTCGTCTCGCGTCTTTGATCCGACATGATCTGCAATATCTTGCCAATTTCCAATCCCAAACGTCTCTGCACCTTCAATCAACAACAGCTCTTCGTCTGCACCCCAATCTACATCAAAGATTGGGAACGAGTGTTGCTCCTGTAGAAATTATAAACAGAATCAGCAAAAAAAAAAAAAAAAAAAAGATGGCAGAAATACTTCGTTTGTACAGAACAAGCAACGTATTTGTTGATTCATTTACCATCACACGATAGTCATGCCAGCTCTTATGTTTGCCCAGCTCAGCTCCACTACAGAAACATCTGACACAGAGGTCAAAATCACTGCATATGGCACATCGTATCCGGACAGTATCAGTGATGTTCTGGCTGCATGCATCGCAATGATATTTAACGCCCGATTCTGCTATTCAGAAAAGAATTACAAAAAAGCATAAAAAGAAAAGCGTCACATGTTAGTAGAGTGGAGCTGCACCAAGTGTAGAAATATAAAAACACAAAAAAAGTTGCGAGGGCGACGTATCTGAGCACGATGTTGGACCATGGTCCGTGCAAAGTGTCTTATTGTTAGGTTGAATAACACAACGCAACAAGACGAATCGACTCATGTCATTACATTGGTAATTGAGTTAATGCATCACTGTCTTACCAATATCCTTTTCGGCATCATTAGCAGTTCTTTTACGATGAGTGACGGTCATGGTGATAAAAAAAAATGTCAGATGATGCGCTAAAGCCCTAAAATACGCGTTCTCCTCTCCCTTCAATTCAGAGTACAAATGTTGTTGATCTGATTGTGTGTGTTGTTAGTTGACTCTAATTGTTGCAAGCTCTAATAAAATGTTGATGTCCCTGATATTCGTTCGTCGCCGTGCACGCCTTCCTAAATGAGGGAACTACAGTGAAGGAGCCCTTTTTCGCGAGGAGTCTAATTTCCCTTATTTCCACTACAAACTCGCGAACACTGCAATTAGTCACGTGCCTCCACCTCTTTAACTGCCATACTTATGAACCTTTTTTTTTGACTCATACATGCAATGAAATCTTCGCGAAAGAACAATCATCTTTTACTTTAAAATGTAGGACCCAATATCCATGGCATATGGCATATGATTTATGTTTAATAATTATCAATGTCCTAGCTATTTCGAGTCCAGTAACCAGAAAAAGGATTTGGTTACACAAGGCTTGAAAAATTTCTCTAAGTGACTCACAGGTGTATTGCTCCTCTTTCTGATACAAATGCGTTAAAGCTTCATGCTTTTACGCAATTAACGCGCTCTACAATTTTCATTCCCACCATTCCTTCGGTCATTCATCTCTTCTTCTTCTTCTTTTTCATTTTCTCCTTTTTTGTATTTATACTTGCTTGAAAACGGCGTCTCGTTTCTTATCTAGCATCCTTCATTAAAATGACATCGACTGTGCAGTCTCCCTCAGTCAACAACAGCAACAAAAGCGGCTTTCCACGCCTCTTCATACTGAACCGCAACTACTCGTCCTGGTCTCTTCGTGCATGGTTAGCATTGCGGATCCTTAAAGTTGACTTTGAAACTGAGGTGCTTATTGTGGGAACGCCAGATATTCCAGATTTAGGTTCTCCAGCAGCAAATAAATTGATGCTACGCGCGGGCCCCACAGCAAAGGTGCCCGCGCTGCATGTTGATAAAGGGACTGGCGATAAGCACATCGTCTTTGAGTCGCTAGCTATTATGGAATATCTGGCTGAAGGTAAGGCTTATAGTATGTAGCTTACTTTATAGACCTCATAGGTAACAACGTCAAACCTACCGCCATTGTTACTCGCGCACTCAAGCTTTTAGATCGAGAATCATGAGCTGAATGGATGAATAAGGTTGCTTTTTTTTTTTTTTTTTTTTTTTTTTTTTTGGAGGAGAGGAATGGGTAGAGGTAGGCTGGGTATTGTTTGTGGGATTTGGTAAAAAGTTAGAGATGGTTCTCAAGGGGTAGCGGTCTATGTGATCATAGCCTATAATATTCGCTTTTAAGAATATATAGTATGGACCAATAGTTTCTTATACGTAGAGAGGACCAGGAATTGTTATCAATGAAGAAACACCTATCAATATAGAGGAGTCGGATCAAAAGAGTTGTACAAATTGAGAAATCTCTTACCAGCAACCCTTAGAAAATAGTAGACGTGCTGACACTTGTTCTGCTTTTTTGGCGTCTATCGCGCACCCTTGTATAGATTACCCCCACTTATGGCCTTCCGATCGCTTTGATCGTGCTTATGCACGTTCGCTTGCCGCGGAAATGGCTACAGGCTTTGGTGCTATCCGGAACTACGCCATGAATCTCCGCGAGAACCGTGACTTTGATCCAGAAATGTATAATGACTCGGTCCAAAAGAACATTCTGCGTCTTTCTAATATTTGGGAAGAGCTTCGTTCCAAGGCCGTTGGGGAGGAGGGTGATGAGGGCTATCTTTTTGGCCGTTTCACAGCTTTAGACGCAATGTATGCGCCCATCATGTTCCGTTTGCGTTCATATGGGCTGAGATCTAAAGTACAAGGGAAGAATGCATCGGCTTATGTGGAGTGGATATTGAATAACGAATACATGAAAGAATGGGAGGAGCATGCCTCGCATGAGACTGAAATCATTCCCTCTGACGAGCTTTACGAAAAGAAGTAGGAAAATAAGCCGTTTTTACAAACACAGCAATGAATGATCAAGAAAAATAAAATAGATATATTGGAAGTGTCTGATTCAAATGGCAGTCAATAGGAAAAAAAAGCTTAGTATGACGGACAAATGAATTGTCAGTATTGTAAAATACCAATATACAAATAAGTAGCTACCGAAACCCATTTTCTCTCCAACAATAATTGATGCATGGGAGACAGAATATTATTCACCTCATTTTTGAGGCACTAACTACATCAGATACCATAAAATATGTATCCATGTGTACAGTCCAATGGTTCGAGGTTAATTTTTTAAAAAAAACCCCGATATAATTCTTTGTCATGTTTATACGAAGTATTTTTATGAATCGATAGTACACATGCACACATGCACAAATAATTCTTTGAAAAGAATATATTATTCAAGGTTGGTTGCTCAAGTTTTAACCTTAAATCGTTATCCTTTAAATTGGGGGTCCTTCGGACATTTTATTGCACATTTTTTTGTCTGCATTAGAAGATTTTACATGTATATATAATACATTGATATACATATATTAAATTTTTTTTTCACTAATTACCAATTACCAATTACCAATTAGACATCAACAGTGAAAAGGATGAACGAAAATTCGAGATCCCTTTGGCGCCGTCTATCGGGTGGGAGAGGGGGAGAAGGGGGTGCAAGAGTCAACCAACGAGGAGAAACCAGTATGTAGTAAGACAGAGGTTTGATCCAAAAAAAGAAAATGACGGCAGAAAAAAAAATGTACTCGTTCACTTATGAGTGTCGTAAAGTGGACCGGATTGGGAAGCTGTGGCAGATTTCTTGAAATTTCATTGAGGCTGAACTCTCATTCGCTCAATTGATACCGGATAATTGAAAGAAATATATTCAGGAACAACTGAATTCTTCTACCAGTGTCTCTTTAATTGACTATATAACCCCCATCCTTCTCCCCCTCAATCTTACTCTTCTGATAACCCACCTTGTTCCAGCCTAAAGGATTCATTATCAAATTCTTATCCATATTTCTTTGTTTGGTTTGGTTACGTTAATATCCCTTTAACGTTTCTGATCCACACAATCCTCATCATCATAACCCACTCTTCAACAACCCCTGTAACTATTCGACGTACTGCCTAAAAATCTTATTTTTCATTGTTTCTGAAATCGGTAATAAACTGTGGTTTTTCCCATACACATGCACGAGGCTGCATCACATTGTGCCCTTCCTTGAACGCCAAAGCTCCCTAGTCGTTGTTATTGTTTTTTTTTTTTTTTTTTAAAGTTTAGATGCCTTATCCAATCTGATACTTCCTGGGTCTGCCAAAGCTCAGCTTTCTCTTTCTTTTGCCTTATTGCAATGTTTTTTTTTTTTTGTTTGTTTGTTTCGTTCTATAAGCCTGATAATGCCCTGGTGTGATGCATTTTTTTTTTTTTCCTTTCACTGTGCTCTCGTATCTTATTTTCCCCAAGCCGAGAGCTAAAGTTCATTTTGCTCTGTGCTACAAGAACAGTTTTTTTGTTATTTTATTCTGCGCGACTGAACGGCTCATAATTCAATGCTTCTGTAAAAAGAATAACCCACGAGTTGTCACTTGCACTTGCTTGTTATATCATCATAATCTGTTATTCCGTTCTAATGCATTAACTATACCAAGTATAGTGTTGTAATATTCTCCTCTTGCTTGCCTTTTACATACTATTGTCCTGCATTCGCATACATTGTATTGTTTCTATCATATCATTCATCCTTGTCAACGATGATTCTCGCTGAGGCCCTTTTTGTTTCTTTTTTTCTTTCTTTTCTTTCTTCCTTTCTTTCTTTCTTCCTTTCTTTCTTTCTTTCCTTTCTTTCTTTCTTTCCTTTCTTTCCTTTCTTTCTCTCTTTTGCCAACGTTTATCGTACAAAGCCTTCAGTGACAGCCTTGGCTTGGTGCTTACCTCGCCCTTTCATGTGCAATCTCACTAATATAGTAACCGACGATCTCACTAAAGCTTTCTCCTTATTCTCTTTCATCTCCTCCTTCCTGTCTCCTCCTTCCTGTCTCCTCCCCTTGTTCTCTCTTGCCCCGTTTTCTAGCTAAGAACCTTTTTCAGATCATTTCCAGTCGTCTCTCGTCACTCGAATCTCTCCACGGCTACATCTTGAATAGCCTGTCAACACTTACTTTACCTTTGTCTTCAACGTCATTGGCCTCAGACCCAGATTCAAACATCCTCAAACAGCATTCTCACTTTCTATCCTCCGGTAAAGTCTGCTTATCCTTTAACACCGCCTGTCTGGCTTCTGGCTGCTTCTAGCCCCATCCCAGGCGGGCTTGAATAACAGCTGCTTCAGTTTTTCCTATGCCCACGCCTATTCCCTTCGCCTCCTCTTCCCCTACACTGATTCCCACTACCACATCCCCGAACCACTCTTCACAGATACAAACCCATCACTCAATATTTTGCTTGAGCTCTGGTGAACTATCTAATCCAACTCAACAAAACGATGCGAGCTTTCATATGCGACCCTATCAACATCCATTTTATCCTAAAGCCTTTCATCGGCTCGAAAATCCCAATCGGCATATTCATACCCATACAGGGGGGAAAGAGTATATATGCCAGCATCCTCACTGTAACAAGCGTTTTTCCCAGAATGATGAGCTCATACAGCATTTCAACTCTCACTTGAGTTCGGTTTCAAAGGATCTTCGCATCATGACTACGTCCTTGCCAGGGCAGCCTCAAAGGTCATCTTGCTCGGCACTAACGCCAGCAAGTTTCGCTGGTAGCTTCAGCGACTCAATGCCACGCTCATATCTCTCCAGCGATAGACCGGAATCACGCAGTTCAACGGCCTCTGAAGCAGGTTCCCTGTTGACACCTCTATCCCCTCCCCCTTCTCACCTGCCTCACAATCCGTCTTCATTCGTTACTGCCCTCACAACTACCTCTTATTCAAATCCAAATCCCTTGTCAGAGTCCATTGTGCCGATGAACTCTTCATTAATCATTCCGCCCATGTGGAACACTGCTGTGGCCTCTTTCCATTCTTTTATGTCACAGGCCTGCATCTCTACTTCATCCATGGTAGAAAATCGCTCCCCAAAGAGAGCTGATCCTCGATTGCTATCCTCCAGTGTTGGCATGGACCTTATGGCGCAAGCCTCATTAACAAGTATTCAAAGCCCTGATAACCAGAGACGGATATCTCTTTCTAGGAGTTTTGGTACGTCAGTAGACAGTCTTTTTGTTTTTTTATTTTTATTTATTTATTTATTTTATTTTTTTTTTATTTTATTTTACTGTCGCCCTTTCATCAATCCTTGAAAACATTTCGCGTTTGAAATAAAGCTTGGGTTAATGATGACTAATTTTCATTTTCATTTTCTTATTTGATTTGAAATGATCTAGAGTACCCAACTTCAGCCGCGATGATGAGCATGAGGTCGGCTCCCGAATCAATGCAGGGACGCACGCCAGCTTCAATGAATGCTACCTCAATGGCCAAGATAGAGGTAGAGGCCCCGAAAAAGCCACATTTTTGCCCCTGGCCCGATTGCCACAAGACGTTCACTCGATCTGCTCATCTCGCACGTCATATCCGGTCCCATGGCGGCGAAAAGCCTTATACGTGCCCTCATGAGGGCTGTGGAAAACAATTTTCGCGCTCAGATGTTTTAAAAGAGCATATTCGAACCCACGACGTCAACAAAGTCCGGAAGCGCAAGGCTCGCAATCAGGGTGATCAAGCCAAAGCATCTGTTATCAAGCAAACCAATGCACACTCGCCCCTTGGCGCATCCCGGAATAGTATTGCTCAGATGTCAGCAATTCCACCACCACTGATGCGTCGGACGCCAGATGGAGTTGGTGCGATACCAAGTTCTGCTTTTCCTCCGTTACTTCCATCAAACGATCTGATGGAGTCCAGAAGGCACTCCGAGGCTCATTATCACTCTGTGCAGCAGCAACAGGCACAGAAGCCATATCAGCAAGTCTACCAACTAGAAACTCCTCCGAATGGGCATTCATATCCTCCACAGTACGATCAAAGACATGTATCTGTCATGCAGCGATCTAGACAATCCAACGGGCCATTTGGCTCTTCTGCAGAGGTTCAGGCTGATCATTTGCGAGGCGCGCCTGCAGCTCTGGACATGATAAAGCATGCAGATGATATAATTACCGCTGGAAGTGGTGGGGCTGAGGGTCATTGGTCCATGACCTCTTATCCTAGTCTATCACCCCCCTCTAGCGGCGGTATGGCATCAGCGGGCTATTTAAATATGGATTACCCACGGCGGGCCCGAGTGGATTCATTTGCCTCGATGACGAGCGGTTTCTCGACTACAAGCTACTCGGATGATCAGCAAAGTCACCAATCCTCACCCTCGTTTATGAGTGTCACCAATAACAATAATAACACTATTCCCTCTTCATCCTTGTTGAGCAGCTCGTATGGTTTGAGTGGGGCGGAAGGGCGTTTAGAGTCCATGATGTATCCACATGTTCTGGCGCCAAGCCCTTCACATTTCGATTCAAGCGCTTCCTACTTGCATCATCAGCATCAACAACAACACCAACACCAACAACAACACCAACACCAACAACAACACCAACACCAACAACAACACCAACACCAACAACAACACCAACAACACCAACAACACCAACAACAATATCAACACAAACAGTACCTCCAGCAAAACCAACTCTTTGTATTGCAGCAATTGCAGCAACAACAACAGCAACCTAAATTGTTTTTCCAGCAAAACCAGGCAGAACAACCGTATTCCTTCGAGATAAAGGAAAGACAAATGTCTATGGCAGCCGCATCCACGTTTTCATTGTCACCTCAGGTATCAGACGCTGACAGTGGAGTGGCTCAGCCCACCTCGAGACAGGATAGTGGCCTCTCTATCCCGAAGCCAACCTCAATGTCTTCTGTGGGCTTGAATACAAGTAATGATTTGTCTGGAAGCCCAGCAGACCAATCGCTTTCGATGTCGCTGCTGACTATAGACGAATTAAGAGAAATAGAGGCAAATATCCTTCAAAAGGATATGAGCTCGATACAAGGCCAGTATCAGCAATTGTATCAATCAAGTAGCCACAATGCTGTATCATCCACTTCTTCTTTCCCCTTGAATGCCTCCAACCTAAACGCTTTTTCTAGTCATGATAATTTAGATAACCCTACTACCTCTCCCTACTCGTAATAAAATAATGCTAATAAAATAATGAAGTAATTAATTTTGGTCACGTTTCTGAAATCAGGACACAGCTTGCTTAAGGGGAAGCCGCGCCTGCCCTAACCTTAATCAACATTCATACCATTTTTTCTCATTTGTTTCTTGTCCAGTTCGTTCGACTCGCCCAAAGCGACTCGATCCCTTTCATCTTCAGGATTCATTACATCATCACCATCTGGAAGCCGCTCGACTGACGAGGGAGTGCGCACCAAAGGCGACTTAGATACAACAACGAAGAAATAGCATCAAATTTCGGAAAAAAAATGACTCGAAGAGAAGAGAGCGTAACGTCCTATTCGTTTTTATTTCGTCTCAGTAGTTCTCATTTGCTCAATGCCAATGGTTACGATGATAGTCATGCCGATCTCTATACATAAGCTAATAACTTGGATCACAACTTTGCTTCGTATTCTTTTTTTTTTTTTTTTTTTTTTTTTTGTTTCATATTATATAGACGGACACAGGGTCCACAGACTTGGATATATTGCGGGTGCCAGGGCAACAGACTGCAGAGCCAAAAAAGAGGGTAGCTTATTTTTATGATCAGAATATCGGTAACTACCACTATGGACCAGGACATCCCATGAAGCCGCATCGCATCCGCATGTGCCATAGTCTTGTTATGAACTATGGTCTCTATAACAAGATGGAGATTTATGTAATAATAGTTGACTGTTGCAAAACTTCCTTATCTTGATCTTTATCAGTCAGTGGGACTTTTCTTTTTCCTTTTTTTTTTTGCCGACAAACGAATCTGACCTTTTCATTGTTTTTTACCTTTCGTATTGCTTTACGTCATTGATAGCGAGCTCGTCCTGGAAGTAAAAAGGAAATGACTGCATTTCATACGGATGAATATATTGATTTTTTGTCACGGGTTACCCCAGACAATATGGATGCCTATGCGAAAGAACAAATGAAATGTATGGCAATGGAAAAAAAACTTTTTCTATCATCCTCTCAGCCTCACATACATTACAATATCAAGCCACCTGAACCCATGTCCATATCGTCCATCTTACCGTCTTCAGCAAGGTTTATATTCAATTGGCTATGTTCTCTCTTGAAATCAATAACTGATAAAAAAAGCATCTGTTATATATTGCTTCACAATAGTTAATGTGGGTGATGACTGTCCGATTTTCGAAGGATTGTTTGAATACTGTCAGCTTTCCTCTGGAGGATCTATGGGTAAGTGTACATTACTTATGATGCAGCTTATTGCCTATTTTTTATTGTATCAATGTGAAAAAAAAAAAAAAGAAAAAAAAAAAATCGGTAGGAAATGAAATTACTCAACCCTGCCTTTTTTTTTTCCTCATATTTGCACGATTTTTATTCATACCTACCATTAGAGGGCGCTGCTAGACTCAACAATGGCTCGTGTGATATTGCAATCAATTGGGCTGGAGGGCTTCACCACGCCAAAAAGACAGAAGCTAGTGGCTTCTGTTATGTAAATGACATTGTTCTAGCCATTCTGGAACTGTTGAGATACCACCCTCGTGTTCTTTACATTGACATTGATATCCATCATGGTGATGGCGTCGAGGAGGCATTCTACACAACTGACCGAGTAATGACCGTTAGCTTTCATAAACATGGAGAATACTTCCCAGGCACAGGAGAAGTCAGGGTACATCACATAAAGAAAGAAAAAGAAAAAGAAAGGAAATAAGTCGGACTGATGAGCGGATTATACTAATTCGGACTTGTCGCTCTGACTTGCAATACTTATTCATTTTTTATTAGGATGTTGGTGCAGGGCCCGGAAAGTACTATGCAATCAATTTTCCATTAAGGGATGGCATCGATGACACAACATATAAGAGCATTTTTGAGCCCGTAATTCAGCATGTGGTAGACTGGTACAAACCCGGAGCTATTGTACTGCAATGTGGAGCCGATTCTTTGAGTGGCGACAAACTAGGATGTTTCAATTTGTCAATGAAGGGTAAGCTCAAGAGCAAAGGATATCAATATCAGGCCACAATGGCACTTTTTTACACGGCGTCATTCAGTGAACCATGCAACTCAACACTTTTTTTTGCGTGTACTTCTCTTTAATAGGACATGCTAACTGTGTTGCTTTCGTAAAAAAGCTCAACTTACCATTGTTAATGCTTGGGGGCGGTGGGTACACAATGCGCAATGTGGCAAGGGCATGGTGTTATGAAACAGGTGTGGCTGTGGGGCAAGAAGTTGGTCCCGATATGCCATTCAACGACTATTATGAATACTTTGGGCCTGATTACAAGCTGGACGTAAAGCCTAGTAACATGGACAACGCCAATACACTCGAGTACTTGGAGAAGATCAAACAGCAGGTCTTTGAAAATCTGCACCGATCAAAAGGTGCTCCTTCAGTTCAGATGCAGCCTGTACCAAGAGACTTAGACTTATCGGATGATGAGGATTTGGACGACCCTGACAAGAGAATTCCACGTAAGGCCTGAAGCAATCTATCTATTTTTTTTAAAAAAAAAATTCTTTGAGCTTTTCTATATTAATTTAAAGAGCATAAGCTCAAGCTGTTAACATTGTGATTAACGAAACCCACTTCGCTATTTTTTTTTCTGTTATGCATGTATGTTTGTGATGAAAATAACAGAGAGATTGTGGGACAAGAGAGTTGTACCCGAGAATGAATTTGAAGACTCTGAGGATGAGGAAAACAACAGTCTAAACGGTGTACGATATGCAAAATCAGTCAGAAGTGGACGTGTTTCAAAATCGGATGCTTCTGCTGCAGTAGGAGTGTCAAAAGACCGTAGTCGAGGCACCGTTAACTCTCTACCCGCTGCAGCTACAAAACTAAAGTCAAGCCAATATGACGACAGTATGGATGATAAAGATAAAGTACTCAATGAAAAATCAAGAGATGGTCAACAAAATGGAACATTGAAATCAACATCTGTCGAAAGAGATGGAGATATTATAATGGATTCAGATGATGTTGCTGCTAATGCTGCTACGACCAGTGCAACGCCCTCTTCTTCAACTATCAAAGCCCCAGCATCCACAACAACAACCTTGAATGACACTGAGATGGCCGAAGCATCATGAGCGAGCATTGCATCGATGTTTCTATAGACCTAGCTTAAAGACATTGCAGCTCCCAAAATAAAATAAAATATAAATATAATGTAAAGACAAGAATGACGCTGCAGATTATATTTGGGATTCTGATACGACATTAATTTTATTGAATTTTTTGTTTTATTGTTAATTTTTTTTATTGATCTCACCAAACGACAACCTCCAAGATCATGAGTCTTGTGCAAGGATAATCTTTTTGGACGACATTCGTTCTTGTTCTTCCTGATCCATCTCAATCTAATTGAACAACACGAAGATCTAGACAGTAAGTAACAAATAAGACTGGGTTTTATTACTATTATTATATCTTTCTGTAGGAAAGCTCACCTTGCGTTTCAAAGATACTGGAAGTTCTGAGTCTACTATATTCATAGCTTGATCTGAATCAAGAAAACCAGGTACATGCTTCTCTTCTTCATCCTGAAATGATGGCATCTCTGGATCTTTATGGGAGCTTTTATCTGCTAATGGACTCGGTTGTGTTGTGCTTGTCTGCATAGGCGATATCGTTGTCGTCATTATAGACGGATCTGTTGCAGAGGCAGTAGCCACCGCTGCTGCTGCTGCCACTGCGGCCTCTACCAAGGCAGCCTGACGTTGATTAGATCGAAGAAGATCTGCGTGACATGTAGCATGATATATCTAAAAACAATGGACATAAATATTAATCAAATAACTATGCAATTAAAAAACGTACACTTCCAAATATTGTTTTTTTTTTTTTTTTTTTTTTTTTTTGATTACCATTCTGTCAACAACTGTTGCATTCTTATATGACCACTCTTCCTCTATATCGTTCCAAATCTTGATAAACTTTTCTTTGCAGACAGAACAGCCCTTGGCAATCGTATTCATGGCCGCTGCTACGGTTATTGTATCCTTTTCATCCGCGCGCAATTTGTCAATAAGTGACATCTCAGACACGGTTTGTTCCTTAAGTGCATTGATTTCCTCTTGTAGCGCCTGCTCATCTTTGCTAGTCTTGCTTACACTAGATCCAAAGTCAAAGAACACAGATTGTTGACTTTGACTAAGGTCAATCTCACGCGAATGGATCCAATCCTTGAATTTTAAATTAATTAAATTGAAACAATATGAAGGCATTAGATTGAGGACAAAAAAAAACCCAGAAAATAAAACCGTCTAAAGAAACCACTATTCTTACTTCTTCTCCGACAAGCCAACTGCGTGAATGACTCTTCTTTGCTTTATCCTTCATTCGCCGGTTTTGACGGAAATGCCAGTCTAAGTGTGCATCCATTTTCTTCTGAGCATCTGCAGACTTTGGACAACGGTATCCGCATTGATTGCATTGCAATGGAGGTGTCCCATACATGACTTGAATCGCCGCAGGTCGTCTCCTAAGAATATGCGAACCAAATGTACAAATCAGTTTTTTATACCACTATTATTTTTATGAAGATTTATGCATCTGGTTGCATCATACCTTTGAATATCTTGGCTTGTCAGTTCGATCATACCAATTGACATGACGCCTTGATCATGCTCGCTTTGGTTGACTTGGGTAATAGATGTGTTTGGAGGCAATGGCGGCTTCGCAGTTGCAGCGGTTGCAGCCGTCATCAATGGCGATGGCGATGGTGATGCTCGGTTCAGATTAGCTGTATTCTGCAGAAGTTGGCTCGTAAGTGTGCCATTAGGGCCCAAAAGCCCCGATTGCATCAAACTGGCAATCAAGTCGCTAGCCGCAGGCGGCACTATAGCTGCAGGTCGGGATGGAGGAATGGGGCTTGCTACAGCTGGGGCTACTGTGGGTGAAGCTACAGCAGCACTCATGGGAATAGATGGCAAAGAAGGCATAGGAGACATCCCTGGCATTGGAGGCATGCTACCTGGGACAAAGGGTAAAGACGTAGCTGGCAGTGGTGCAACCATTGTTTGTGGGCTAGGAATTGAGCCTAGAGGTGGCAAGTGTGGCGCAAAGTGTGGCGGCATACCTGGGAATGGTGGGATTTGAGAGGTGGGTATGACAGAAGCAGCAGACGACGTGGGCTGCTGATGATGAATTGGGGGAGGGATCATCATACCCGGTGGCACTGAAGTCGACACCATGGGTACCACTTGTGGTAAACCAGGTTGTGACATATTAGGCTGAGGAAAGCCGGGAAGTACTGGCACAGATGGCGCAGGTGACGCAGATGGTGCAGATGGTGCGGGCGGTGCAGACGCTGCAGGCAATGCAGATGGTGCAGCGGTCCAGAGCTGAGCAAGCTGCTGACGGATCATGTTAGCATTTTCCGGCGTCAGCTGTGTTGTCTTCACGATTATCTCCAGCTATTAAAAGACAAATCGTGGATGGTATTTTTTCAAAAATTAACAAGCACAAATTAGTGCACAGGACAGAAAAACTTGTCCAACCCATTCACCATTGAACTGATGGCCGAATGCAATTCGCATGCTCATGCAAATCCGCTTCAATATAGAAGCGCTTTCGGAATATAATACAAGAATAGATTGCTAAAATTTCTTTTCTCTATTGACATTTCATGCATGCGCACTTGCAACAATTTTTCTTCATATTTTTTTTTTTTTTTTTTTTTCTGTGATCATTCGTTTCTATGCAAATACGACAGCTTGATACTAGTAAGAATAAAAATTTTGCACGAACCTGTTGAAGAATGGCCACCTGTTTTACGCTGGCTTGATCATTGGGGTTAAGGATAATTTCTCGTTGCTTCTGAAGCATCAACAATTGAATTTCTTGAAGCAAGGCGTTATCAACCCTAGCCTCTACCTGGACAACTGGGTCAGTCCTATTTTGAAGTCCTGGAGATCCATTCCTACCATACTATTCATCATAATGAGGGTTGTATGCGTACATCATTTTTTACAATTGTATAAATATACGAAAGATGTAGTAGAGGGATCGGCATTGGATAGGAGAGTAACCATGTTGGCAATAAAGAAGCAAAGGAAAGCAAAACGAGTGAAAATAAAAGAGATATAGCACGGTCAGAAACTCATTGATCGTGACGCAAAGAACGTTCAAGTAAGGACAGCAAGCTTTGAAAAAGTAACACATAAACAAAACACTACAGAAAATATCTCTCCTATATCCCATAAAAAAAGGAAAAAAGAAAAAAGAAAAAAGGCTTTCTACAATGGAAAGCTATCTGAAACGGCTTAAATCATCCTCACTTCATCTAGAAGGCTATAATGTATTGGCCTTGCTCCTATGCTTCTTCCTGTTGTCCTTTAACAACATCCCTATCATTAAATAGGCATGGTGATGACGCTGATATCTGATTCTTAGATAACCACTAATGGTGCATGACACATTACGGCGATGTTGATGCTTCATTATTTTATTTGTGAAGCAAAGCGACGCAAGCAATACTGAATCAAAAGAAAGGACCACGGGTTGGTTCTTTCATGTGGTGTAAAAAGTACCCAGGCCTTTTGATTTTATTCCAGCAACTTTGTCGTAGTCGTTTTCAGACAATATTGCCCCTGCTTTGGCAAAATGCTTGGAACGTCCGCTTGCCAATATGTATTGTAGAGCTCCAGCGTCATTTCTTGCTGGAATAAATCAGATGACACTGCCGTTCCTAAAATACACTAACACTAATGAAACATAAAAGAGGGCGTCCAAATGAGAAATGCATTAGCAAATGATCCTTACCATACTCCCCTGCCCATGGCTAAAAGAGCTCTCGTGCGATCGATCCGTAAAATGAGGATTGACGTGCATCGATGGATGCTGCCGGTGTTGATAATTGTGTTGTTGTGGCTGCTTCTGCTGGCGCATTGACTGTACCCCACGCTCAATCCTTGCAACCAAATCCCTAGGGAAAAGTGGAGTGTTCCAGTTAGGCCAAGTCCCCAACACCTTTTCGAAACTCGCTTTTGTGGCAGCATCCACCACTTGGTAAGCATCCAGGAATAGGTTGACGATTGTTCGAGCAAAGAGATTCAGATAGGGTCCACCAACATTTTTGATGATAGAGTCAATAAGATATAAAGTTGGAAGTTTTTGACTTGGCGGAGCCTATTTAAATAACAACGAAATAATAAAAAGATTAGAAAAAAAAAAAAAAAACAAATCGTCCAAGCGATTTATATCGATATAACTGCAAAAGCCAAGACAGGCAGATGATGTTCATACAGTTCTGATTCTTTCTTCAATTGTCTGGACAATAACTTTTGAGACACTGAGATTATCGCCAGCGGCGATGGTCAAACTCGTAATGATAGGCTTGGAATTGAAAGTCAATGTAGCAAGCTCATTCCGGTACTGCTGTCGGACTTCAAAAGGATCTACATTATTTTGGTGTCCTCCGTTGATCTGGCCATCATGTGACTGATGCGCAGGCTGTTGATATTGATGATACATGAGTGTACAGATTCCCGGAAATAATCCACTGCGATTCGGTTTGTAGGTGTCGATAATGTCGCAGTGTAGATCACGTGAACAAAAGAGGATTCAACAAATAGACTTGATTATGATGCAAATGATCCCTTCGATGAAAAGCTGACTAAGAATATTGATAAGAGTGATAGAAATAACTGGAAAGAAAAAAGATGAAAGAGATGAAAGGGTGCGAAAAATGAATTGATTACGATCATCCACCTCGTCTCAAGGCTTATATCACAAGTGCCGACGGGACAAGCCACTTTTTTTTCTCCTCAAATGAAGGCTCTTGGGACCTGACGAAATGAAACACGCATCTCTGTCTCTTTGTTCTGGTCAGGAAGAAAGACATGTCAACTAGCCAGTCACAAACGTCCTTGGGCCATGATCGATATTATCATGACAAGAAGGCGTTTATTGCAGCACAGATTCGCCTGCTTGAAGCGCCTATACAGCCGTCACCCGATTGGAGACGACAGCGTGCACGCCTGGCAGCAGAGGAAGGATCTCGAGCTACAATCCCGGAAACCGTTATCACCGCCGTTCTGACCAAACGTGAGTGTCTCTGACCTCAAAGGTCGAATGGTTAATGGCTTGCTCATAAATTAATAAACGCCAGAAGTAACCTTCATGTGTATTTATGTATATCCGTCGATAACTAGTCCACTCTACCAGCAAAAAGTATTTACGATTAACCTTTAACAATCAATCTATACGACAGTTGCTGGAACAACTGGAAAGAAATCAATATGAACTTCGTAAAAAGACGAGACAAGGTGGGATAATCATAAGGACAAAATCCACGCAGGAGCTGCTTAATTCAGACTGGATCGACATGTTTCCAGAGACTTGGCAGCAGAATAATCAGGTGGATAATGATCCGATGTCCTCTCTTTCATATCACAACGCGTCATCCTCCTCAACAAGGCCCTTGGTTGCCACAGTCAATTCATCTAAACTTCAAAAATATGCTGATCTCAGGTCAAGGGTTGTGGCTCTACAAGCAAAGTACCAAAGTTTACTTGACAAGCATGAGTACTACAAGGTAATGGTCTTAATCTTGACCCATACATCTGCTCTTAATTCGGCTCAAGGCCTTATAACTGAAGTAATTTTATTCTATTACAATTACTCGTTTCCGTTAGACCCTACAATCTGAGATTCGGTGTCTGGATACTGGTGATATGCAAAGAAACATGTTAGCACCAAACTCACAAGCTGTTCAGGAATTGACAAAGATGAAGGAGCTGTGTAAACTCCATAATACCATAAGTTTTTTTTTTTTTGCCAGATGAGAAAATTCAAATGTTGCAAGCCATCTCAATGACATTCTTGCCTTCCTTTTCTTATTTTTTTTCCGCGAAATAGTACCAAGGTTAATCAGTATTCTCGAATCAAGGAGGAATGTTCTTATAGCAAAGCGGAAAGAACAGCCACTTGCGACGAATAGAGGTAAAAAGATGTGCTGATTTCCTCGCTCCCTTTGCATTATCTTCCTTTTTACGTGACCTGGTTCATCTTTTATTTGTAACTGTTTTTTCTTCAGATATCGATGTCATCAAGCGTCAACGGCTCCAACCTACAAATCCCCTCGATACTATCATGGAGTATCTTCAGAATTGAAATATCCCAATTGTATCACTCACTGCCAATCAACTTTAAATGGCACAAGTAATAATCCCAATGCACATATATATTTTATTGATTTTTTTTTTTTTTTTCTCTTTATTTTTTACAGCTTATTGTAATACGAAATAAAATTTGCATCGCCTTGTACTTTATGACACCCAATTTTTAGGCCATGATTGTCTAACTTATTCCATGCCATTGTCAGCCTTCAATGAAGAACGTCCAGCTAAACCGAAAAGTTGAGACAATACATATATTAGAGCATGATCTCCATTTAAGAATCATATAAACATACAACCATAATCAATTAATCTTTACCTCTCATCATCTCATCAACCAGCAAAAAGTTGGTTGCGATTACAGATGCATTCTGAATCATATTACGAACAACACGGTAGTTATCCCAAATACCTTCCGCAACGGGGTCTAATGTTTCTCCACTTTGAAGATCAACGCCTACAATGTGACCGTCTTGATATTCTTCTTGCATGGTTATGATGACATCCATGGGGTCAAAACCGCCGTTTGAGGCAAGTGTCTTTGGGATAACCAAAACGCCCTCAGCAAAGGAGGTGATACCAGCTTTGACACGACCTTTGACTGTGTCTTTGAATTTGAGAAGGTGTGAGTGGAGAGCGACTTGGAATGCTCCTGCACCTGGTACTACTAAGCCATCCTCCAGTGTGTTTTTAACTGCACGAAGACCATCACGGATGGCGTCCTTGGTCTGGTGAATCGTATGTGGGTTTGGTCCTGGAACAGATGTGGCATGCAATAAATACTTTAGAAATGTTGCACTTTAACAACACAATTTACCATACATCTTGTAAGTATTGGGTCTACATACCTTTGATAAGAATGGTGGCTGAGCTAGGCTCCTTGACATCCTCAACAAATGTAAATTTTTCTTCGCCCAATGTGTGCTCGTAAATGGTTCCGGCCCAACCCAAAACCTCAGGCGAAAGGTCATCGACCGAGTTCTGAGCAATACCGCCGCAGATCAGCTGCATGCGCTCCATGTTTCTTCTCTTTGCACGTCTCAGAGCGAGGATTCCATTCTTGGCCAAAACATCGAGTGAAAGGGGATCGATGCCTTTCTGGTTGATGATGACAAATCCCTTGCCTGAATCACCGCATACCTGCTTCTTAAGATCAACGATTTTCTTGAGCTTTTCATCCACGAATTTACGTTCGGATTCAACCAGTTTCTCTCTCTGCTCTGCAGAGCTGTAAAAGAACCCAGAATTGATCTCACTCTTCTCATATTCCAACGAAACATTGAGAGTAAGAACATATGCATCCTTAACCTTCTTGGGCATGTCAGGGTGTCTTGCACCATGATCCATGACCAATCCACGAACAAGACGTGTGTCGGTTTCGCTCCTGTGCTGCATCGCCATGATCTCCACCATATGCAGATCAATGGGTTCATTTTCGCGGTAGATAGTAAGGACAGCATCCACTACAGCCTCTGTGAGAGTATCGGCCAATGCACGGTGGACTTTAGTACGGAGAGAGGTGCGGGCGACGGAAAGAAGGAGTTCGCGATCAATTTCTTTCTTGACAGCGAATGTATCCAGGAACTATGCGCCATAAAAAAGATGCTACTAATTAGCCCTTTGCCTTTTTTCTTCTTTTTATACAACCTAAACAATATTATGAAATCTGCTAATCAATTCAAAAGTACCAAGAGCGACTCCTTTTTAGCAAGCTCGAATCCCTCTGTAATGATACGAGGATGAAGGCCTTCAGAAATGTGGCGATCGGCCTGCTTCATGAACTCCCCTACGAGCATAACGATCGAAGTAGTGCCATCTCCAGTGATTTCATCCTGAGCAGTTGCTGCGCGTGCGATCATGGCTGCGGTCGGGTTTTGGATTTGCTAAAAACGACAAAGTAAAGTGGTATCAATCATACATTGAAAGTTGGAGATCTCTCAAAAAAACAGTGTCGTTTGATTTGCATTAAGTGCTGCTCGCTATACCATTTCGCTTAAGAGGACTTTGCCATCCTTAGTAAGTTTGATATCGCCAGCACCGCTAACTAGCATTTTGATAGTTCCCTTGGGACCAAGGTTGGAGCGAACGACCTCCATCAAACCAACAGCGCCATTGATGTTCAATTGCAGGGCCTGGCCACGACGAGCAACTTCGGAGTTGGGGTTGATGAGTGAGACAGCAGATGCTCCAGACCTAATGTATTAAACATGGGCGATGATACAATGTCAACAAATGTGTGGTCTTGATTGGCATACTACAGCTCATGTTGTGCTGCCATTTTGTTCAGGTTGGGCAGATCTCGTGTTGTGATAATCGAAGTTGAAATCAGCAAGAAAACTTTGCTATACTCTTTCCACAAAGCATTTTTGCAGACCTCCACCCCTGACTTACATGATGATGGATGTTAAAGGTTGAAGAAAGGAGAAAGGATGATGTGCTGATCTGATGCGCGACCTTAGAGTAGTTTCTGTGGCCTCTCGTATATGCCAGTACCATAGAAGTCGAGAGAAGGAAGTCCTTAAATTTAGTACAGATACAGCCCAAACTACGTCACACGGCCAAGATTGTGCTGATCAAATGCGCGATACCGCCACGGCATTCTTGATCCGTTTCTTCGGACGGCAGTCCCTCGTCACCAATCTTTATTATATCTAAACGGGTACACATTGCAGTGAATTAAATTCGGCTCTATCCTAATCAAGGTCAGTCGCTTGGAGGACCCCAAGAGCAAAAAAAATAACAAAGAGTAATTCATGGAGGTTGATCTGTATCAACAGTTTAGCACAGCCAAGTAGGCAACAGAAACAAAATATTCAGACTAAATAAAGAAGAAGCAACACAAAATGAGCCGTTACCATAGTCAAAGCATTTTTCTCGCGAGAACGCCTCATCTTCATATACCCACACCATAGTCTGGACATAAACTTTTATGCAATTGTACATTGATCCAATGCTTTCTAACCCACATTCCTTATCTTCTTTTCGTCTATACTCCATTGTGTTCCCTCTCTTTGTTACAAATGTTGCAGCCGTAGTTGTAGTTGATATATTGTAGTGTGCGGGCAAGCAGCATAAGGGAAATTGTAGTTATTGGAGGCGGATGTTGTCTTGCTCAATGTTTATTTGTTTGCCACAGATAATAAAAAAAAATGCAGTGCATGGCCACGGTGATTGACGTCCTAATTCATTTCTCAGTTGTTTTGAATTGTATCATGTAATTAATATTTTATACCTGCATGGCTCTCTACTTTTTGTTTCTCCCCCAAGTACCGCCCTTTTTTTACCTTTTATTTTGTTGTCTTTTTTTTTTTTTTTTTTTTTTTTTTTTTCCTTCCTAAAAGTTCATTCATTAACCTTATAACATTATTTCATTCCGATTCTGTTCTCGCATCCGGTCTCCTTTTCCAAGAGACCGAAGTGAGTCCATTGGATTCATCTCGCAAGCAACTTAGTCGCAATTCTCCTCCGCCCAACTTCTCTACGACCCTATCCCCCACACCATGCGACCACTTACTGCGTACGAAGCTGCCCATGCTCACTCCTCGAATAAGGCACAGTCGAACCTACGTCTACGCCCTCGCAGGCGCTCGCTCATAGGTCGTTCACGAGCGTAAGTTACGCTGCTCCTCACTTCTTACCCTATCACACATACTCTTCAAAACATCCAACATCCTTAGAATTTCAGGCATCGCAGGTTCTTTTGAACCAATCTTTTGTCTGTGTGAGAACTATGAACTTATTTATTTATTGATCGTTGACCAATTTGTGACACAAAAATACTAAATCCAGTCTAGCAGAGCGATCTGTTCCTGAATTGTCTGTGATTTTAATCTAACTGACTGTCCTTATTTGTATCCATCATGTCTCCATGTAGGATGACAGTAGGTTCACTCCGTCAGCGCTCAGATGACGAAGGAGATGAACAATTAATTATCTCAATAAGAGATCGCGCTTCAGTCAATAGTCAAACTGGCGCACCTTTACAAACAAACGGCCAGGCGCTGCAAGAGTATCTCATGGTTTTAGCGCCGCAACGCCTTCTTTATGAGATCCAGATGGCCTCAGGATGGGACCAAGGATTCCCACCGGAGGAGCTTGTAGGACTGATGCGAACATCAACTGGTAAAGGATGGCATACACCAAGGTACTATATATGACAGCCCATTATTTGTTTTGATTATCATGAAACACACCATTGACACAATTTATTGCTGCGATGCGGTATTTTGAACCACATTTCATAGGTTTTGTAGTTATCCACAGGATTTGGTGCTTCGTTTTTCGTGTGGAAAATCAAGGATCCGGAAAATTCAAATTTTATCACACCAATACAAAATTGCTAGCAGGCTGGATTTTTGGATGGGCTCCAGAAAAGGCGCTCAATCCATAAATACAGGTGATAATGGGACTCAGCCGAATGATGAAACGCATAGAGAGCTAGATTCGGTTGATAGGGAGCGTAGCAACGCCTTGGACGAAGTGGAGGATGGTTTGGATCTTGCTCCACAGATGGAGGTTAGAAAGAAGAGTCTACCCGTACTGCAATTTCAAAAACTTGGCTCCATTTCCTTTGACAGTAACACGGAATCAAATTACTCTAAGCGAGAGCTTAAATCGATCAATGTTGATGTTGAAGGCGAGTACTTGCGTGTTGTCATTCGTCAGTGCCACGTGAACCCCTTGAACATTTATCATCAGGTCGCAATACTGGCATTGAATGTACTTGGCGAACCACTCGAGGACGAGCTTCATGGAGAATCGGAGCGACTACATTTTGACGACTGTGAGGTAGTGAATGGACCTGGTCACGGACTTTCAGAGCCATCCACCGCCTACTCCCTGAATCAGATAACGGAAATACCTGAAGTGCCCAACCTGTCGGAAGCAGTGAATGGATTGACTATAGTGGAGATTCAAAATCAACCCCAGATTTATTTGGATCAAGACGTGCAGAGGCTGTTGTTTGGATTTGTCAAAGCGAAGCAAGACGCAGTAAAAGGTAAATGCCGGAATCTATACATAGGAAATGGATATCCATGCTTGAAAAGTCCTCTTTGTAGCTGATACTTGCAATTTGTAACCTCTGCTGTACTGTTGCACCATATCTCAGTGGAAGATTTTGCATCAGCGAAGCTCTATAAGGCTGGACATGACAAACTGCTAAAGGTACGCCACTATGACTTATGATTTTATACTGACTTTTTCTATTTGACTGCTGCTTGAGTACATATTGATTACATCTTGCCTACAGTTTGCGGATGAAATTCAGGCCCTAGATATTGAAAAGCAAAGAGCGGCGGATAATGATGAGTTCGATTTGGCGCAAGAGCTAAAGGTAAAATAATAATAATAATAGTAATAATAAAAGTAAATGACAATAGAACCCTTACTATAACTATGCCTATTTCCTCAACCAATCCTAACAATCTACATCTGCTTTTATGCGTGCATATCCAGGCCAAAGTTGCAGAGGTAAAAGCGAGGATGAATAAGTATATGTCTTTAAGTGGGTTCCACATCATTTCGAATGAGGATAGCTCTATCGTTTCGTTGACTGCTCCGGAGGTAATCGAGGATGAACAACATAGCGACAAGTCGAATAGCACTTCTAGGGTACGGATTGTTGTTATTGCCATAACAGCAGGAGGAAATTGACGAACTTTTATGCGACAAAGAATTCACACATTTACCATTGATCCGATAGGTTATGTCAACGTACGATTTATATAAATCAATAGATATGCGTAACGCGTCCGGTAGCAGCATAGAAATCCATGGGCAGCAAATCTCAGTGGACCGCAGACGTATCCCTCCTGCTGCGACACTCAATCGCACATTCTCAGCGGCCAGTGACAGCTCTGATGCGGAAAAAGTGCAACGAGGATCATACTCAGTAAAATCACCGGCATCACTCTTAAAGGCACGCTCGCGATCTTCTGAAACTCAAAAGGAATACATTGAAACAACTTCTTCAGCATTTTCGTCTATATACAGCGTTACACCATTGTTTAAAGGAAACCCTAAAGACCAGCAATTAAATAGCTTGGGTATTGCGGACGACAATTCAGATGGCTTAAATACTCAAGCTTTCACTGGATATGAAGAGATCAACAGCATCCAGTTGAATGAGCTGACAGAGCAAGAACAAGTGAGCTTTGCTGCGTCATTGGAAGCCTTCCCTAGAAAAGTTATATCCTGTCTCCTTAATCGGGAGCTACAGCTGCGACTCTACGCTATCGAGTATGTGAAAGAGCATTTAGAGAACGAGAATGCCTCCGAGGACACTGATCATAGCAACGATTGGGTAAGTAACGATAGTTGGAACATAGTTCATGCGTAGTGATCGATTTTAGGTTAAGAATGCACTCTGACGCCATGCGCCATTTCAGATAATGCTTGCACGTGCGGCCTTCCAAGTTATCTCAATTGTATTGTCAGACACGCGCGAGAAAGTTGTCACTCTTGCATTGGCACTTCTTGATCAGACCGTTAGTAAGTACTTTGAGTACTTGGGATGGACCATGACGAATATTATACCTGCATGTCACGAAAGGCTCACCTAATCATACTCTTCTTGCTATAATAGAGTTTTCTTTGCAAAATGAGGTTCCAAGTTCTGTAGCCTATCGGTCTTTGGAGCCCATATTTTCCCAATTGCTCGTGAAAGCATCTGATCTCAACACGCGTGTTGTTCAAGGCACCCTCGACCGAATTGTGATGCTTTGCAACTCCTTCAGATCCAGTCCCTACGCAATCTTGCCGTTAGTCTTCAAGCCAGCTAAAAGTACAGTGCTCTACCGCCAGGCGCGGTCTAGAATTGAAATCGTAGTTAGGCTGGTGGATGAATTTGGCGTGTTTGACAGAAAAGAAAGCAAAGGAACCCCCGGTGGCCTAAACTTTGAGGTATGCCGTGCATAATATGTACCAAATGTTGATAAAAAAAAGCCCCACCTTAGTCAACTCCTTTAACCATTCATTTAAAACGGACATCATTATCTCTGTAGAATATTACAGAGTTTGCCATCCCATATCTCAGCCATACGAATGGCGAGGTACGTATTGCGGCACGGAAACTGATCATTGATGTGTGCAAGTTCCTGGCCAAGACAAGAGTGGAGCAGTTCCTGCCTGGCGTGAAGCCATTGATCATCGAGGTAATTCATTACTACAGTTGACATTTCAAGCTTGGCATGCAAAGTGAGGTGAATGAGATACTGACCTAGAAACTATGTAAACAATACTATAGAGCATCCAAAAAGAGTTGATTCCAAAATTTGCAAAGAAAGTCCCATTGGCGCCATTGTCTTCTCAATCTCGGCCGGCGGCGCAAAGCACGAGTACGACGCAAGTGAGCTCGCGATTACCAATGAGCACATCGACCCCTACATCAGGAACGAATAAACGGCGTCAGGCACCTGTATCAATAGGAGTAAATCTTCATATGGATTCACTGAAGAGCCTCTTGGTAGAGCCAGGCTCTCCTGGCTTGGCAAGAACTAGCCGCCAATCTTCAAGGCAAAGATCAGACGCAGCAATGGCTCACCAAGCACGTTTGAAGATGCCTCTAAAATCATCCGCTAAAGCCCAACACGCAGTTTATACAGGTATGCTCTTTGATTTCCCATCATAACTTGGATGCATTTGCATACGCTCGAGTCTAACATTTAGGCCTTTGTTGTAGGTGTTCCACGGTTAGTTATTAAGAAACAAGCTACACTTTCGCCAGATGATGAAAACGATTCGACAGCATCAGAGGACATCAAAGTATTTATTCTTGTTTAGAGTTTAATCTATCATTGATGCTATCGCTTTAGCTACCTTTTTTTTCACACAACGTCTATTGTAATGATTTAAACCTTAGCCTCTAGCTTCCCGGGCAACGCCCATATCATATAAGGCGACTACCAGGCCTTTACAGTCTAGATCCAAGTCAGGGTCATCCTTGTCGACCAGGGAGCCTAGACATGGTATAAAGTCAGAGAACTTATCAGGTAGCGATACACAAAAAGGTCCAGAAGATGTATCACGATCTGTCAAGGACCGCTTCTGTGTATTCTGCGATGAACACAATAATGCGTTCACAGACGAAGGATTGATAGCGCACTATTGGAATGACTGCGCCATGTTGGCTAACTGTGCTCATTGCAAGATCGTAAGACATTGAGTGGCTCTTTTTTTTATGAAAAAGTTTTTTGAATGGTATACTTATATCTAGGATTGCTTGGTCTTAATCGTAGATAATTGAGATCCCTACATTGGCCGACCACATGCTCAATGAATGTTCTAAACGCAAATTTGTGAAGCAATGTGAGACTTGCAAGGAAATCATGGCAGCAGACACTTTTCTCGCTCATGTTGCGGCCGGCTGCTTCGCGGTCCCGGAAGCTACTACGAGGTGTCCACTTTGTCTGCTGATTTTACCTTCGAATGATGAGATCGACTGGAAAGAACACCTTTTGACTGGCCAGGGGTGCCCCAAGAGTAAGAAATCCCCAAAGAACCAAAAGCCAAGTGCTCCCCTCTTGAGAAGAACAACCAGCATACTTCCTCCTGTCAATACATCGTCTGCGCGACGGTATACAGCATCAACGGCGCCGATAGCGCTTACTGCTTCACCAACCTCCCCTCTTTCATCCTCATCTTTGTCCTCTACTCGCATCAATTCTACAAGTAGCAGATATCGAGGCAATACGGTCTCTGCAGCCGAGTCACCAGCATCCTCAGTGGCATCCTTTGTAATGGAAGGTACCAAAGCATCGATCCCACAATGCAACGCTTCATCTGTGCCTTATCACATTCAACGCGCACCTCTGCAGTTACAACAAGGATATTTGAGTGGTATTCATCAAAACCAGCCTCATCAAGAATCCATCCATCCGCTGGACCCTATACCTGGTCAAACAAATCCTGATCTAACGACATTTCTCACTTCGCCGCCTCTTGGAGCGCAAAGCTTACATCAATCAGGCAGTGCCTATAGCAATAGCGGGAGTAATAATAGTCGGATTCCAAAGCTGGGGATCTTTCGATCAGCCTCTTCTAACTCTGGTAACTACTTTTACTTTGGCTCTGTTTTTTCATTTCCAAAAAAAAAAAAAAAAAAAATTGACAATCCTCCTCTGGACCAAAATTTTTTTTTTTTTAATAGTGTCAAGCATGGCCTGGAAATAAGCAATAATTAATGAAGTGCAAACTCAAACATGATTAGTTTATAGTAATAATGATGAATGCTAAGAATATCTTTCTTGAAAATGAAACGCAGAATAAAGAACCTCATATTCCAAGCTAGATTTGTTTTTTGTTCAAATTAATAACAAAGTAAGGCTTATAGCTTACAGAACCATCCTCATGCTTGCCACAAACAGCTTTTTGCTGTATCCTCGCCCAACTAACTGTCTTTGAGCGAGAGAAGTCTTGGTACCAAATCTCATGTCATAAAAGTACCAATATCTTAAAATACTGCTTCCTCTGATCCTTTCAGCGGAAGAAAGGTCAGTTGACGCAAGGTTGCCAATAGTGAAATCCTGTCCCCATGCATTCATGATATACCAGACACAGTAAAAAATACGGGTATTCAAAGAGAAAGCTGCTTAGATAGCATCGATCTCATTTTGAACTTGGTCAGTGATGACCGCGCTAGGTTGATACTCCTTTTCGCATAGCTCATCCATTTTCATCCTCAAAGCCCGGAGCCATCACTCTAGGATGTCCCATTTTGACTCTTTGTAAAGAAGAAAGCACATGGTTAGCCCAGCCTGTTTGTCTGCTCTTGATAAAATCGTGAATAGGCAGGTATAGGAATCTTGCCTATAAGAACAAAATATACCAATAATCTGTGAGTGAGTAAAACCAGATCTTGAGGCTATATACATTCTCTTCAATTTGTTAAACAAAAACAGAACAAAAAAAACCCTGCTTGCTTGATATGTGCCCATTTCCTTAGTTCTTGCAACTGAGGCCATACTCCTGATCAGAGTAGACAAAAAAGCTTTGCCTTCTCCTTTTTTATTTTTTTAACCGTTATTGTGTAAAACATTCCTCGTCGTTCCTGGAACTCAGCTCGTTTCAATGAGCGACAGCTCTGCTTACAATATTCATGCTGCTCTCCTTGCATGAAAGCTAACACTCTTCACCAACAGGCAGTAGCTCTAATGCAGACCAATTCTTCTCATTCCCTCATCTTTGTCGATCGTCTACAGGCCAAAATACTTGTCCTCTCTGAGGTCCTTAAAGTAGCTGTTCCTCACCTTGATCTCTAAGGATGGTAGTGATAATCTGAAGGCCTCTAGTCATACTGAACTCGAGTTTTTTTTTTTTCTCTTTATACCAAATAGCGTTAAATAGTCTGGAGATGGAAGCATGAGCCTGTCTACTGTAGGCCTCAGAACCATCTGGATCCTCTATGGAGTAAAAATCTCTGCTTACTGCTAAAAACGTAATAGATGGTTTAGAGTTTGTAAACCACGGTCCCTCATCGCACTGACGATAGGCCATAACAGACAGCTGACGGAACTTGGCACTTTAACGAGATATGTGATTCAAGGCCATCCCGAGAGAACCTGTTTAGATTGATTCGTAAGCAAATATATAGGCTGCCTAAATAGTTTGCATTGTACCGTGAGAAGTTCTAATGTCTTGCCTGGTGACCGCTCCTTCTTCTAGCGTGTCCTAGACGCCTCCGTAGGCCACATCCGACAGCACGAAGCCCTGTATGACTGTAGCTATCAGTCAACTGGGATATGGCCACAAGGGACATTTTTTGCATTTAAATTTCAAGGTACACAAATGTATGCACATCCGTTGCATACTTAACTCAGTCTGTCGAACTGTTTACTGACATGCTTAATGAATCATGTTATATTTTATTATTGAGATAATTGAAATTGTGGATAGGATGAACAGATGTAAATAATATCGTCTGCCCTCCACATGTTGTTTGTCCTGATTCCTTCTTTTTACTTGATTACTTGGCGGCTGTTGTCGTTGCTGGTGCCTTCGCTTTTTTCTTCTTAGGAGTTGTTGTGACGGTTTCATTTTCTGTAGAGTCAGCTTTTCTCTTCTATTTAGCATCGCCGAGTAATCAAATGATACATGTGTTATAGACATAAAATGGACAAGTTAAATAACTGAATGCATATAGATTCTTTTTACGTAAGCGCAACTAACCTTGCTGCTTGCCGCAGCAGTAGCCGCCGGCTTTGCGGCAGTATCCTTCTTCTGCTTGGGGGCCTTAGTCTCCTTGGTTTCTTTAGTTTCTTTGTCTTCCTTAGCCTCTTTAGTAGCCTTCGTTTCCTTTGCGGGCTTCGATCCATCAGTCTTGTTGTCGGTCTTTTTAGGAGCAGAAGCTTTCTTCTCTTTTGAAGGAGCAGGAGTAGCTGTTGTAGCAGCATCGGTCTTTGGCTCGTCAGTATCATCGGCCAACTCATCAATTTCCTAAGGTATCACAATATCACCAGTTTTGAGTTAACATTAGAAAATCTAGCAACTTTTTTCTTCTTTTTTTTTCTTCCTCAGACAGTTATCGATGCTAAAAAAAGCGCTCACCTTCTCTGCAACAACGCTTGCTTTGGGTGCTGCTTTCTTAGTAGCCTTTGGCTTTGCCTCGCCTTCTTTTGTTCCCTTCTTTTCCTTCTCCTTCGAAGCCTTCTCCGAAGCTTTCTCTGTCTTGTCAGACTTGACTGCTGGCTTTGGCGTTGAAGCGGTAGCCTTGTCCTTCTTTTCCTTTGTTGCCTTCTTGCCATCATTATCGTCGACCTTTTTTTCCTTAGGAGCTTTAGTCTTCTTCTCTGTTGATGGGTCCTTGCTTTCTGTGTTTCCTACAGCCTTGGGTGTCTTCGATACCTTGGAAGCTTTCTCGTTCTTTTCTTTCTTTTCTTTGGATTCCTTCTCGGCTTTTGCAACGCTTTTCTCCTTCTTGGGGGCTGCGGTTGTCTTAGTGGCCTTGTCCGAATCTGCCTTTTCGGCCTTCTTGGCCTCCCTGGCCTCCTTCTTTGCTTGCTGCACAGCCTCTTGCCTCTTCTTTTCGTTCTTTTCATTCTCTGTGTCCGCCTTAGTTTGGTACTCGGCTCTGTTTGCTGCTGGTACTGCCTCCCACTTGTCTACGAGTTTTTTGTAGATATCGGCACGCGAGGCATCTGGTGCAGCCTCCTTGATAGCCTTCTGGTGCTCCTTAACATAGATATCGAATGCAGATCGAACCTTCAGAGCCTTGACAGCTTTGCTAGTGCTGCTTTCTTTTTGTGCCTTGTCTTTAGTAGATTTGGAGACGCTACCCTTTTCGGTCTTGCTCTTTTTGGCATCAGCTTTCTTTTGGGCCAGTAGTTTTTTGGCTTCCATTTTTTTCCTCTTCAATGCAGCAGCTTTTTCTGCCTTGGCAGCAAGCTTGGCCTTCTTGATCTCCTGTTTCTTGGCTTTCTTCTCTTTAGCCTCAATCGCAAGCTTTGTGAAATTGGGTATGAGAAGAATAAAAGTATGATTTAAATTAAATATATATAAAAAGAGACAGATCTGAGCTTATGGCTTCATTAAAGGCCAACTATTACCTTTTGTGCGCGGGGAATGAGCCCAGAATCCTCAGGTTTCTTCAGGAAGACCATCAATCGCTCAATTATAGCATCCTTAAAATTAATTATGAGGGGGAAAAAGAAAAAAAAAAAAAAAAAAAAAAAAAAAAAGTTCACATCAGCTCAATCAATAAAAGTCGCAAGACAAAGAAAAAAAAAAAAAATACCTTATCACCACCGGTTTCGAGGTTAAAGAGGTCAATGAGTTCACGCAGGCCGCCAACAGTCCATCTGCCAAGCTTCTCTTCAATAGCCTCCTCTTCTTTCTATGATATTATGAAGGTCACATGCATATTATTCAAAGAGCAAAAAATGTGATGGGAAAATTAATATCAGAGCTTGAAAAATGATGAATTTTTTTTTTTAATTACCTCGCTAAGATCAGGGAATCCATGGAACTCGCGTAAGTTGGCTTTGAGGGCCTTGGGAACTCCGTTCCTACCGAACAGAAGGCGATGGAGCCCTCGTGCAGTCTCGTCGATCGCCTTTAACTTGTCAAGATTATTATTGACTATTTAATATAAAACAAAATGTATTTAATTTATGAAAGAAAAAAAAATACAGAAATAAATGTAGATGGCACAGCCAAACAAGAAACGCGTTTTTTTTTTTTCCTTTTCTTACCAGTTGGAATATCGCACAGCTTCTTGCCTTTGCCCTGTTGTTAAATGAAAACATTAGGATGCAATCAAAAGGTTAAAAATTACACCGGACGAGCGGGCGCAATACAAATATGGGGACATGCTTCATTTTTTTCCCTCAAGCTGCTATTCAGTACCTGTGGGATGACAATGGGCTTCTCAGTTTTCTCAGGAGTAACAATAGCGAAGCGTTCGACTTTTTTGCGTTCACGAGGGCCTGAGACAGGGACTGAGCGATGCAAACATCATGTATACAAAAGCGGACAGCCAAGAAAATAAAATAAAAAATAAAAATAAAAATAAAAATAAAAAAAAGACGTATTGTATTGTTAGTGGACCATGACGACCGAAGACTTGCTCAAAGGATCCAAACATGAGAAGACGCGTTTTGAGTGGCTGAAAATGGATAGAGAGATTAAAACAATCTTTTATCCAAGGTTTGCTTGTATTTCAAATAAAATAAAATTTATGTGTATGCGCGTGTGTGTCTGTGTGCAGAGAAAAGAAATGAGCAACTTACGAGGAACAACTGGGTCGCGAGGAATGTAAACTTCAGAGTCAGAAGAATCGGCAGAATCAGACATGGTGGTAATAGTTGGTAGTTAGTACAGAGTAGATGAAGGTGAAAGCAAATGTGAGCCAGATAGAATGGATGAATCGAATGAAGAGATGGCTCGAATGTAAAAAAAAAAAAAAATGGTATGAATGTGTTGTAACAAAAGAAAAAAAAAAAAAAAAACACGAAAATTGAAAAATTTCACATTTTTGGGTTTTCAGAAAAAAATAATTCCCGAATTGACGACGCGTCGTGTGCAGGGGGGAGAGGAATAAACATCAGCTTTCTGTGGCACTTTCTGTAATACCAAATGCATACCCCCTGCTCTGTCACTTCCCCTCCTCCTTCTTTATTGCTTCCAATCTTGGAAGATCGCCAAAAGATCGCTGTGCGCTCACAGACTCAGTATCGCCTCACAAGTAATTTTTTTTCTATTTTTTTTTTTTTTGAATGTCGAGCAAACAAAAAAAAACTCTGTGTCAATATTTAACCCCAATCCAGAGTTTATTCCCAGATGTAGTAAGCATGGAAATATGCACATTTTAATCATCGTTCCCTCATGAAAGAGCGGCATACAACGGTGAATTGCCTTCATCGCCTTCATTTACCCTTTACTCTTTATCTTTTTCATATTTTCCTTCCTATGCTAGCAACTCTCTTCTGTGTAGTCAATCTTTTTACTGATACTCGAGATCCCAGAACTATTTAAAATGAATAAATTGCATATGATCCCCGAGGTTAGTCCTCATCTTTCTTTTTCGATGTGGTAGAAAAATGAGAATAGATGTGGTGGGACAGACAAGGGCTGGTGGCTCGGATAATGGACATAAAGACCTCTTTTGTCGTCTTAGTACTCCATACCCCTGCAGGGTACGGTACTATAAACTGTTTCAACATAACAACGGTATCCTGATACTCGCTTTGCTGCTGCTTCCTTCGACGCTTGACTTTAGGTCATTATCCTATCACAGTCAAAATCCACTCAACGTGACTCCACATACTACTAAGCGATACAACAACAGGTCTACTATGTTTTCGGACCCGCCATGCACTAGGCTCAATATAGCACGTAGATATCACGCACCAAAATCCATGCCCACTGGATCCTGATCCCCAAATAATAAATACTCTCCTACCCTTAATACAAGCATCTATTTCCTCTTTAAAGCGGACAACGATCTTTACATTTTGGCCCTTGAACATACCATGTAGCGGGCTGAGAGTGATAGTGCCCAAGCTACAAGGTTTCTAGTACAGCCATGAAAGATCAGTAATATGAGAATAAGTATCTCTCAGTAAAGGGTGTGCTATGATGTGGATTGTATATGGCCCTTACAAGTATTAATACCAATGGGAGACCCAGTGCGATGACGTTTAATTTGTGAAGGGAGGACTTATAGAGCAGCTAATAACTTGTAGTTGATGAGGTGATTTGGCAAAGCAGGGTTGCTCGCATGTTTGCTGAACATATCGAAATGACTATTGAGAATTCGATACGGGTCCACGCACCAAGAATTCTTTTGCTATCCAAGTCAAGCGTCTATCTGCATCAGAAAAGATCCTAAACATCATAGAGGTTATTTGTATATGAAGCCATGCCTACAGGTTTCATTCAAGGCGCGCCTCGGTTTGTCTAGCGACTATGTACTGTCACAAACCATTCAGCATAGCCCAAGTGAGCGGATTGGAAAAGTACATGTACATTTCCATATGCTTAATTTACAGTGTATACTTCGCAGTTTTAGTACAAACACTGAGGCCGCCTTGTTCGTCTCTCCTCTCAAATCCTATATCACTATATGCGACGGTAATCCTCCATCGACAAGTATATAGGTTTGGAAAAATTGGCGTAATATCGACAGAGGTTCGGATTTTTTCCTTATCCAAGTATCATGGCCGCTAAATCAGGTCTAAAGTCCCTACTGCATTTTTTTTTTTGATGTCTGTCAAAGGAATAAGATGTTTGCACGGCCCCGTATACACCTTATTTACACACAGTGGAACGCAACATAGACTTAAAGCCCAATGAGTTTTCAGAAAGTATGTATTTTTCATTTTTGAAACCAGTTGTGGTAAATATGTGCCAGTTATAAAGCAAAGAAGAAAGGCTTCCTTTATCGAATATTCTAAGCTCATTGTCTCAAGAAGCACTGCATAAAGTATAGAAAAATGGGGTCCATATTGTAGCAATAGCCTAGGCGAGTGATCTTTGCTTTGGCCAAGCTCCGCCTCTCAAGGTTCCGGCGCAATAACCCACACAGTCATCAAAAATGACATGATTTTACTTTTTCTATGGTTAAAATAATTTATACAGGTATTATTCCATATTCTTCTAAGAGTCATTTTAAATCAAAGTAACAAGCTCCACTTGTCTCTCACTCTAACAGGAGCCATCATGCTTAACTTTGTCACGATTAACACTGAACGGACTGTTATATCTAGTATCCTCTTTTGTATAGTGGATATAGTGGCATACGATAAGCACCTAGTGCTCGAAGGAAGAAACAACAGTTTACAATGTGCTTTCCATCGAGACATTTACTGAGGATAATTCTGCGTTGATGAGAAGCACAAGAGCTCCTGTTGAACTTGTTGACATCCAGCAAAAAAAAGTTTGCCGCCGTAGATCAATGTAGCTTTTTGTACGTGACATCTAACTACAATCCAGTGACAGTAACGGTTAGAGACACATTAACGTATTTATGTGATCCCAATGCTTCTTATCTATTGAACGCTTTTATCTGGAGAAAGCCCACCAATCAAAGGCGGATTTTTAGTGTGAATTAGCTGTGAAAGGGGCGTGAAAATATCTTGGATGAAGTTATTTGCACGGACCTCTTATTTGTACGGCCCCATGCACTGCCCCATACACATCTTATTTATACTGCACGGGGTTCTTTTTTTTATTTGCGCGGGGTCTTTATTTCATCTACAAGCGGCAACGTGTATCCTACAGACTACATAATTCTAGCTTTTTATTTCGAAGGAAATAAGCGAAGGTGAGTCTAGAGTAGAGAGGAGTCTGGAATTATTACTGTTGGAAGTTGCAGCGCCGTGGGAGCTGTGATACTCATCACGCTCTGTTGCATATTTCACAGTATGCAATTTTATGATAGCCCAGTTAGAAAAAATTAGGACTAATGCGCTAAAAAGATTAGCAGTAGAAATTAGTGGCAATAACGCGCCACACATAGACGCGATAAATCTTTGATATGAAGGTTTTAGAACGAACCTATGTCATCCTATAGATAGACACGTAGTTACCTGGTACAAGTCCCTCTACCAGAAAATGAATAAATACCCCATGGGCGTGGTATGTGGACCCATATCTTATTCTCGCTTACTTTTCTACTGCTTACTATCTATCTACAAAATATTTTTTCACGTCTATTCCGCTCTACAGTCACCCGAAAGAAAGTCTGGTCGAAGTGGGTTATTTATTATTTTTTTTTATTTTGAATCTCTGACAAACAGCTCATTTGTGACATACAAAAATACTTCACCAGCCAAGGTGGAAATTTACGCTTTTATTAATGAGATCAATGTGGATAATCATCGAAGTTTTGGCAGTGCATGCTGAGGGAAAACGGCAAGAAATAGGATTGAAGCTTCTCTTCAAAAAAAAAATTTTTTTGACTAAACTTTCTTTCAGGTGATTGTACAAAATGAAGCTAGTCCCTAGACGCAGTGAGCATCTACATGTGCCACTGAGTATGCGACACTGCGTGCTAAAGACGACCCAAGGCAGGTTCTGGTTAACCCTGATTGAACATGATAACAAACTTGGAATATAATGAGATAAAAACAAGGATCTTTATCATCGTAGCAGAAAAGAGTATTTATGTCTCTTTTCTATCACTATAAGTCACGGTTATGCGATTAAAATATTTTAGCTATTTAGATATAGGGATATAGGTAATTGTGGCACGATCGAGCTTGAGTGTGAACTGTCACTAACTATCAAAAGATAAGTAATCTCTCGGGTTACAAGCGTGTAAGAGGATAAACATTCTACAAAATAAACTGAGGTCTACCCATTGTATTTTGGTGAATTTGATAAACAAAATTTATTACCGAGGGCGCTTGAGCTCTTAATAAAGAAGAACAGAGATAAAGACATATAAGAAAGAGAAAAGAAAGGGGGTAGTATCATGGCACGCTACGCATCGTAGTAATGATAATGATAGTATGATTGTTTGTATATCTACCAAAAAAACAAACTACACATTAGAGGTTCCTAATTACTGAGCTCATCGTGGTGTGCTTAATAGTGTACAGAAATACTAGAGATGAGATGTATGCACGCGCTAAATGAAAGAAAGCATCGGGGAACCATCCACAATCAATAACAACACGGCCAACAAAAGTGCAAAGTAGAGTGGCATAGTATATTTCAATTATAGATAAATCATTTGTAATTCTGTATTTAGTCCCAGAGCCGCATAAAGAATATCAACATCTATTCTGGGCTACGCACGACTTTGATAAAATAAATATTCTGGTCAATATTTGATGCTTGGGTATCGAGCTTGTGTCGTGGAAGGCTTCCTGGCAGTGGTATTTAAGACTGAAATAAAGACTCCGTACAAATAAAAAATGACCCTCGTGCAAATATCTTTGGATTAATCTATTTGGCAGCCTACTTCTGGGGGCTGCCACTTAACTTCGCACTCTTGGGTGGCAGCTGGGCTGCCAAATACAGTACTTTTTCTTTTTCTTTTTTCTTTTTTCTTCTTTTTTCTTTTTTCTTTTTTCTTTTTTCTTTTTTCTTTTTTCTTTTTTCTTTTTTCTTTTTTCTTTTTTCTTTTTTCTTTTTTCTTTTTTCTTTTTTCTTTTTTCTTTTTCTTTTTTCTTTTTTCTTTTTTCTTTTTTCTTTTTTCTTTTTTCTTTTTTCTTTTTTCTTTTTTCTTTTTTCTTTTTTCTTTTTTCTTTTTTCTTTTTTCTTTTTTCTTTTTTCTTTTTTCTTTTTTCTTTTTTCTTTTTTCTTTTTCTTTTTTCTTTTTTCTTTTTTCTTTTTTCTTTTTTCTTTTTTTTTTTTTTTTCTTTTTTTTTTTTTTTTTTTTTTTTTTTTTTTTTTTTAATAACAGGGTCATAACATCAGTGGTAAAACAAGCAGCGTTCTGTGGATACATTGCCTTGCACAGC